ACTAGTATTAGTTCGTTCCTTTTTAATGAATGTGTATAGTACTAGTACTAGTAGTAATACTACTGGGTAGTATGTATGTACTCTTATGTAGTTTTTTTTTTTTTTTTTTTTTTTTTTTTTTTTTTTTTTTTTTTTTTTTTTTTTTTTTTTTTTTTTTTTCCTTTGGAATACTAACGTTAGATGGATTGGTTTCGTGTGATAGCTCGTACCGAGATGGCTAAGTGGTTTGTACTGGAGTTGGTAATTGAGGGAGATGGCTGGTTAGTGGGTTTCTTGTATGTAGCTTTAGTGTATCTCTTTCTTTTCTTTTCTTTTTTCTTTCCTTTTTATGGCTCTCGATTACTGGCACGGTACCACGACAGAACATAGCGTGGATTATAGATATGGTACTATTACATCAGATATTTCCCGTCGAATGATGGTAAAGAAAGACATAGATTATTGGTAATTAGTAATGATAGTAATAGTAACCCTACCCACCCCTCTCCATCTATGCACACTGTCCACTATTCCCATCTCTTCTGTTCTGGTCATCTCACATAGCACACGTATTCAAGTCGTGAGTACGTAACGAAGGAAATTATTATGTTAGATATCAATATTAACGTCGATGTTCAATCAAATCAAGCGTGGTATCATAGTTGGTATTATCATCATCTCGACGGCGGCTGATTCTTGTCTGAGGTGGCTGAGACGAGGATGTGCGTTGATATTGTGTCACCATCGTCGAGAGGCAAGGTTGGTTATATCTAGACCGTGGCCACGGGGGCATCGGCGGGACCGCCGTGGGCACCGCCAGTGTTCTTCTCGCGGACGGGTGTGCTCTCGCGACGGTAGGCCCAGAGGGCACCGATCTCGACGAAGATGGCGAAGAAGGTGAAGATGCTATGATGGGTTAGCAAGGAATTATAATGATAGAGGTTGGTGCACGTACAATGTCAGAAAGATGAACGCTTCGTTGGCCCTTTTCTTGGAGCAGCTGACGCCTGGCGGAGCGTTAAACAGACAAGGACGCCAGTTGTAGTCTTGTGCCGCGAAGACGAATGCCGTGAGCCAGCTTCATGACAGTCAGTATCAAGGGTGCATTGGTTCAAGGGTGATGGCATACAGGTATGAGAAGATGACATCGATGCCCAGGACGAACTTGCTGAGGGCTTTGGGCAAGAAGGGCGACACAAAGGCGGGCAGGAAGAAGACCACGGACATGGTCGACTAGACCAAAGTTAGCAACATGACCCCAAGGAGGGGAGGCTTCATACAATGACTTCCTGGTAGATGATATGTTGGCCGCGAGGTCCCCTGTGGATAAAGTACGAGGTGATACCCATCACGATGACTGCACTAGCCCACTGCATAAACCGAATGACCAGCTGCAGGGGACGGGCCACGGTACTGGAGAACATGGCTACGGTTGACTGGACTGGATGGACACTGAATTAGAGGAATAGTAGGATATTGGACAGGACACAAGGTGCGGTCGGTTCCCGTGGCAGGCTGGGTCGGCTCTGATGAATGGATGATGAGTGGGAAAGAAACCGCCAGGAGGGACCCGGACAAGGTTTCTTATATGTCGGCCAGTGGGCTGGGATGGACCGGATGGAGGGAGCCAGCTTTACGTCAGAGGTGGAATCCTGGTGTTTGCTGGTGCCGAAGGTTTGGCAACAGAGCAGCGAAGGGCCAAATCCCCAGATGCGTCATAATTTCCTCTGCATGAAGTAAGTCGGTTCCGAGCGGGCCAGTCTTTGGGTGTTAGGGTTGTGTGATTGCAGTTGATTGCAGTGACGAGCTGCAGAACCTGCAGCCAGAGAGACACTAAGGTAGGGACAGCTTGGTTTGTTCAAGGAGGAGGGGTGCCCAACCACCATGGCGTCCAAATGGATAGTGATGGCCATCGGCGCGGCAGCTCTGCCGGCCAGCCAGCATGCTAGTGAGAGGATCTGCAAGCGACATGGACTGATTGACTGATACCAGTCGATCGACGCAGGATGGAGTAAGGAGGAACGGGTCCGTCAACTCATGATCCCAGGTTGCGTGACGTGAAGGAGAGAAGGTGATTGCAGGCCACCGCCGAGCTCGCTGGATGAGGAAGCCAGCTCGGGTGGGGCAGCGCCCGGTCTGGATTTACCTCTCCCACCTTTACCTTCATTCCCCTCGACCATTTCTATTCTTTCTTTCTACACAACATAGCATTCAGAATTCAATACTTCTTGACTCCAACATACATTATATTATCTTTTAAGTCAAATCACTACAACCCCAACTATAGTTATACTGACTCATCTTACTCAGCCAGAGTCATCATTCTTCACTCCCCAGCACAGACCAATCGCAACCACGCCACCTCCCATTCATCGTACAACTCCGGGAATCAACGGGATCCTCCCATCCATGGACGACACTTCAAAGCTCACTCGTCCACCATCTGCTTCCTCGGAACGGTCGGCAGGATGATCTCATCCTTTCTCGGGGTCCATCACCCAGTCACCTGCCCCATCACCGTATTTCTTCCCGACTGAACAATGGGTCTGTGATGCCGGACCCACAAGGCTGAATTGTTTCATTTGATGAGTTGGTCACTTACAGAGGAGGGGAGAGTATGAAGTACCATGTAGGATGTGCTATGCTAATCTCTGCAATGTGCAGACTGCAGCACCCTGTCGGTCGGTTAGTTGCTTGCTTCGTTGGTATGACGTCTGTACACCCCGACTCTATGTACATAGTACTTGTGTCTCCCCCTCCCTCACCTATCAAACTTTCTCCCTTATCTACATCCACAGTATCTACTCCGTAGCACTCCTAGCACTACTCCTCCCTGCATACAGCACTCTACTCCGTCCCAATGACCAAACTCAATCCCCAAACCCAATATCCCCTCTCCATCCAACAAACTCCTCAGCAACCACCACCTGACACCCACGACCAGCTACTCCCTCCCATCTGGCTGGTCGGAGAGCTTTCCCTGCCCATTTGGTCTTTGGTGCGGATCCAGGGATCCTGGTGCTATTGTGGTGCTAAGTTACTATTGAACTTTTTCTTCGCTTTTCCCTTTTCCCTTTTTGTGGGTTGGGTATTTTTGATTATGCTTTTACTGGATTCGGATGGTTCTGTACACAATTGAAACTCCGTAGAATGTAGCTGGGTTCATCTGGGATGGATCGGTAAGGGGGATTGGTTTGGGATACTAGGAAGGGTGCAATCACGGGTCGGGAAACGGCCACGGTGCTGGATGATGTGTTGGTGGTGGTAGTGGGACGGCCCAATAGTCCCGGCGCACATGGGCTACTGTACAACCGTTGGCGAACAGAATATGACAGGAAAAAACAATTATGCAGATCGGCTCTAGTATCGAATCATTGCGACTACATGCTTGGCCCGTCCGAGTTCGCCGACGCCCGACTCCCATCCCTTCAACTACACCCGACTGGTCCCTGTGGTATCTTCTTCAGTGGTCCGCCTCTTCAACAACCATCCCCGCGGCATACTGCAAAGTCCGTGTTGGATTACCACGTGGTGACATTGCCCAGATCATGTTCCTGATCATACTAGTTAGCCATCGTTCGTATCACTCGACACATCCCGCCTACCTTGAGGTATTCGCTGCCCTTTTCCAGGTACTCCTGTCGTGTAATCGATGACTTCCGTAGTTCCGCCCCCGACGCCCACTGCGCCGCCCCCTTCCAGGCATCCAGCACGGGATCAGCCGCCCGCCGCACATTCAGTTGCGAGTTCACGGGGAGGAATTGCCGGAACTCATTGCGGAAGCGCTCGTCGAAGTTTTGGAACAGGGTGTTGCCGCCCGTGAGGAACACATCCCGCAGCAGCTTCGCCTGTTCGTCGGGATTCGAGAACCGCTGGTTGACAATATCTGCCGCCACTTCCAAGAGTCCGGCCTGGTCAATGCCCGCAATCGACGGCTTGAATACCACCTCGGGAACCCGGATGCGCTCCACGTTCAGATGCAGCTGGTGAGCCTCCCGCTGGCTTTCAGGGTCAAAGGGCCATGGGCCCCGCAGGAAGACGTGCACTAGGCTCTTGGTCCAGTCGGATTGCGCCGCAAGCGTGTGGTTCTCCGTGAAGTCGGGGTCGTGCTCAAGGAGCTCCTTTTCAACCGAGTCAAGCATGCCGCCAAGATCCTCCTCTTCCTCCTCGTCACTCTGCTCGCCCGTAGCCACCGTGCGATAGACACCCCAGTCTTCGTCGTTGGCACCAAAGTTGTCGTCGTCTCCGCCGCGCCTCCGCTTCTTGGGTCCGTCCGCGGCGAGATTGGCGAGCGTCTTCATGCGCATCTGGCTGGCCAGGGACTTGCGGTTGCCGAGATCCGCCTTCATCCGATCCCGTTCCTTGATCTTCTGCAGGATGCTCTGTAGGGGAAAGTTAGATCTGCCAGAAGAATGTCATGGATGATCCTACCTGTCGCGAGGCTCTTCGCTCAGCGAGCCAGTTCTCAAAATCATTCTCTCGCTTCTCCCGGTCGAGTCTTTCTTCTTCCTCCCGACGAGCCTTTTCACGCTCCTTCTCCGCCTTGGCGCGCTGTCGAGCTTCAACATTGGACTTCATGAGTCGCTGATGGCGCTTCTCCTTCAGACCGGCTTCGTCAAGCTCCTCATCAGGAACGTCTAATAACGGGAACGACATCTCTTCTTGAGGCTCCTCGGTTTCTTCGATTCCCAAGTCCCGGTTGCGGGACCGCTTGATAGAACGCTCAAGATCCCGAATCAGCCGATCCAGATGTGCTTCATCCTTCAAATCTTCGGCTTCCAGAATGCGCCGCGCTTCCTTCTTGGTTTCCGAGGCGAGCCCATGCTGTAGATCCTTGTAGTACTCCAGCTCCTGTTCCTTCTTCATCAGCTTCTCCAGTCGCATCTTCGCGGCCTGCTCTTGTAACCGACGTCCACTCTCCTTCTTCCTCTCCGCTATCCGGGCGAGTTCTTCTTCGGTCTTCTCGGGCACAACATGCTCGGTATAAGGGTATTGGACGATACGGTCTCGGTCCTCAAGGCCGGTCCAGTCCAGGTAGTGGCTGAGCTCCTGGTCGTAGTCCTTGGAAACATAGCAATGTTTGTGCACAAGATCCTCCATCTGGCTCTCGGTCATCCTTGCCGGGAAGGTCGGATATTTCAGGCGCATCAGCTTTAGCAGGTACTCGGAGGCGTGTAGTCCACCCCAGTTCAATCGCGAGCAGTTGGATAGCAAAGCCTTGTTGTTTAGGACAGGAATAACATGGGTCGAGGTGTGGGAAGACGAGACAATAAGACCATCCTTTCCGCGATTGTATCGGTAAGAGAACAAAGAGTCGATACCGTAGGCGACCGAGGGCGCAGAGTAGCACTCGAACAAGATCTCGTTCATCACTATTGAGTGTTAGAAATATACCACCATCGCGATGACACGCGACGCGACTCACTCTTGCGGGGATAGCTGAGGTTCGCGATCGGCTCGGTCATGACAATCGGCCGGTCAACACCTCCGTTGGCACCATCGACCCCCAGCTTGATGAACAGATAGTCCAGCACTCCCTCCATGACATCCCAGTTGCCCACCACACTAGTGCCAGGGTCGAACGCATAGCGCAGCTGGCCGCGCGTCGTTGCATCCACATAGGAATCGTATCCGACGAACTGACAGGCTTTGTTGAGTTTCCGATCGCGATACCGACTCATCACAGGGGGGATGACGAAACGGGGGGTTTTGTCGAACGACCAACCGGCCTTAACCAGGCTGGAGCCTTTGCAAAAGATGAAGCGTCAGCAGACCGTACATGACACCGTCGTAGGTTGGGCAGTACTCACCATTGTCGATAACTATGGCGCTGGTACCCTTGCTTTTGCTGTAGCCTTCGGGTTGAGGGGCATGGTAGCCTTTAAAAGGATGGTCTTGGGCGTTGTATGCCTTCGGGGGAGGCTTCGCGGCGCCTTTTTCGGACGAATTGATGGCGAACCGGGTTGGAAGAACCGGCTGGACCGAAGTAATGGCCATGGTGATGGTATGCAGGCGGTCTCAGCAGCAACTCAGGAGCTCCCGGCAAACACCGTTCACTGCATTGCAGTGTGTCGCGAGGGTTAGCACACCACGTATCCGGGGAAGGGAGCGGCGGGAAAGGAAGAAGAAGCAGGTTGCGTGGCGTTGGTGATGGAGAGGAAGGGAATCGGAGCATGAAAGTCCCCAGGTTTGGTCGGGGCCGTGGAGGCCTCCGGCCACCGCCAGCGCTTGTATGCCGCCAAGACCATCACTCCAGGAGGACTATCGCTCGTTACGGCATCGCGCGGTTACAAATGGTCTACATACATCTACTCGACGGGATTATTGCAGTGAATATGGGTGAATGAAAATATATGTACTAGTAAATCATGTCTTCGTTACAAAATCAGGAAACCATTAAGGATATCAATCACTGGAGGATGTTGAGGGATCCTTCAAATTCTCCGTCGCTACGACCGATTAGCTTTGTCCACTTAGATTGTCGAGAGACGGTGTTTACCTTCCAAATGGAATAGGACGTTCGACTGGTAGTTCTTGAACATTTGGGCGACAAGCTCGACGTTCATGTTCTGGATATTGACCTCCTGTAGGCCATCAGCACCGGATAGTAGTAGAAGTTAAAGAGCGTATTACCTGGAGGCTTCTATTCATGACCATGATCGACTCATTTAGTTTTTCCTAGAGGCTATCAGCTATGCACCAAGATGCCCCTCCAGATGACATACAATGTTGCCGATAATGCGAGAGAGCAGCACGGCTTGCTGGTGCTCATGTGGGCTCTCCTACATCATTTTTAGTTTCTTTAAGACAAAGGATTCACCATGGAGCGTGTTATGCCTACCATCTTGAATATAGCGTAGTTATGTTGATGGTCCTTGCTTGTTGTGGTGTTTGTTTGTTGCGCCTTGGATCACGGCAACCCAATGGGCTCACCCACGTGACTGGCTGGGAATTGGTCAGTATGGGAAGTCATTGAACCTACAACATAGAAGTCCGGCACTGAAGCTATCTTGGTTATCTACTGCTAAGCTCCCAACTGCATACCAAAGGCTATTCATGTGCCAGTTATCCTCGCCATTGTGCAATCGCGCCCATCGCATCAGGTGCCTATAACTCATCCAGCTCCGGACAAGACGGCCACTTCTAGACTCCAGCCGCATCAGCATCAACCCTCCCCGAAAAGCGTCCACCTTCCCTCATCCTTTCAATCAAGTCCCTTCCGCACACCTACTCTTAACTATCGCCATGGCTCCCCAGACCCCCGCCGAAGCGGAGAATCACCAAGCGCTTCTCGATCGTCTCGACATCGCGCATGTCCCCCGTCCTTTCCGCAACCCGAACTGGAGACCGTCCCAGCGTCGCAACAAGAACGTCAAGCAGCTCATTTCTGAGAGCTCAAGAAAGGAGGCCTCTGTGATGGCCACACAGTCCAATTCGGGTGCAACAACCCCGCTCCCAGCCACATCTGCCAGCACCGATGGAAGCCAAACCCCTGCCGATGGCACACCCCGGACCAACATCGCGCAGGCCGCGCAGAACCTCTCGACACTGGTCTTGGAGAAGAACGCACGAGCGGCATTTACCTCGGGACCTGCTGTAACTTACACCAATATCGAATCCGCCCCGTCATTGCACCCGTCGCAGCAAACCCGCTACTGCGATATCACAGGGCTGCCTGCTCCATACACGGATCCCAAGACGAGACTGAGGTATCATGATAAGGAGGTCTTTGGCGTGGTTAGGACACTGGGGCAGGGAGTGCCGGAGAGTTACTTGGAACTCAGGGCCGCGCATGTTGTGCTTAAATGAGGTTATGATCTATGGAAGTGTTTGTTCTACGTTGTAAGATATCAGGTAGGTACGATGTTATTGCAGGCATAATGCACTGGATTCTAATGAAGGCCACAATAACAGCCTCTTCTAATACTATATTTATGTACGATCGACACAGTCAAGCCCTTTCCACCCACCTGCCCCTCTCGAGACAGGTTCAAAGAAAGCGCTCCGGCTTATTCGCGACCTAATAACTTATAGAGTTGTTGATCTTCGCCTTGTGCTGTTGCACTCGACTAGTACCGATGCTCCAGGGACGGAGCATCAGTTACAGCATCCGGGGATGCTGTTGCCGCGGCGTGGTATTGAGCTGCCCACAGGCTAGCCAGGGGTATACAGGCAGGGTAGCTGCAGTAATTGGACTGGTTGGGCTGTTTTGCAACCCGAGTCATCGCATGGACCCTTTTTGTAGCTTTGCTGGCCTCGGTGCGTCGGCTGCGTTGGTCGTAAACTCGACAATTGTATATCAGGAACATCTATACCATCTCATCATAAAAGAGGATAGTGATCCATGTAATCCATAATCGCAATCGCAACAGGGTGCGTTGTCGGCAAGTACCAACGCAGAGCCGTAGCAAATCGGTTGAGAAGTTGGGAGAGCCAAAATGGCGGCTGTGCGAATGTTGTTGATCGCCCGACCGCCATCCCGACCCGGCCTAGCCCAAACCTAGCCAAGAAGGGACGTGGCAGAATTGGGAATTTTGCGCAGCAGCCGCAGTGCTTTAGTGTTTACTCGGACTGCTGGAGCCTTCTGCGTCGAGTGTTTCAGGAATCCGACTAGACGACAGCTTATCTATCGACGCGCGATACCTCCCCTCTTATAAAGCCAACGTTTTCGTTGATATACCGTCCCATTGTCTGTTTAACTCTATATACTCCGTACTGCCACGTGCACGCGACCTCCGCAGCCTCCGAATCCCGAGGACCCAACGCATCGCAACATTGGAATCTGAGATTGGCCTGCACTCATTGGATTCTTGTCTTCCATATATTCCCTGGACTCTATCGGTGGTTAATCTCGTATATTCGAGCGAATAACAAAAATGCCCACAATGTGGCTGTCCGATAATCAGAGTAAGACCACCTCCGTTCTCAACACCTCCACAAGCCTATACAGATCGCTAACACTCATGCTTCTCATTCAGAGATCGGAGTCATCTTCTGCTCAGCCGGTATGTCAAACACTATACTCGCGGCGCAGCGCAATCGCCATTGCAAACCATCCATCCTATACACCTACTAACCACACCCAACAAACAGGAGGCTTATTCCTCTTCGGCGGAGTCCTCATGTTCTTCGATCGCTCTCTGTACGTCCCCAGCCCTTCCCCAATCCCAATCCTCTATCCCCAATCTAACCTCCCTCCTCTACCAGCCTTGCAATGGGAAACGTACGCCATCTCCCACCCCCCTCACCCCTCACCCACACAACTAACCCAACCAACCCCACAGATCCTCTTCCTCATCGGCCTCACCCTAATAATCGGCTTCGAAAAGACCTTCGCCTTCTTCTCGCGCCGCCAGAAACTCAAAGGCACGGCAGCCTTCGCCACGGGCATCCTCCTGATTCTCCTCCGCTGGCCATTAGCGGGCTTCATCATCGAGCTGTACGGCCTCTTCATCCTCTTTGGCGATTTCTTGATCACGATCGGTCAGTTCGCGGGGAATATTCCTGTCGTCGGGCCGTATATTAAGCAGATTTTGGAGACGTTGGCCGGTGGGAGGAGGAATGCGGAGTTGCCTGTATAGAATCCCATTCTCCATACTTCTCTGTCTTTTTCTCTTTGTGGGAGAGGAAGGTGGGGGATGGATGTCTGTGTAGGATTCATGATGACAGAAGGATGAGGATGAGGATGAAGAGGAGAGGAAGAAGAAGGATTGGATCTGTTATGTTACGTGTATGACTATGCGACTGAGCTCTTACGATACGACATTGCATGATGAGATGGGTATGGAATGGCCTGCGACTGCGACTGCGACTGGTTTGATGTTGGGTCTATCGCGCAGGGGAGGGGCTACGTTCTATGGGTATTAGGTATTAGAGACTTTTTAATTGTTAATATATTCTTATTGGTGGACTGAATACGATACTGTATCTTGTTCTTTGGTTATGCCTTGGGAATGCGTAGTCGCAACGAGGACTGTTAGTATCTAAATAGACAATGCTCTGTATGGTTTGGTGATAAGCTGTTCCGCTCTATACAGTAGGAGTAAATAGAGTTCTTTAGTCGAGAGTGAGATCATTAGGAATGCGGGGCCTAGCTAGGAATATCCATGAGCATAGAATAAATTATAACCACCGCTTCGCTGTGCAAAGACATCTAGTCCATCGAAACATTTTGTGGGGTGACCCGTCAGCACATATTGCACAGATCTACGTGTTATGATTGATGCCGAAGAACAAGACGAACAACAAGATCCGAAAGAAACAAAGAAAGAAGAAAGAGACCACGATGATTTACATTCAAGTAACCAGTATTACCACTGTCCTTTGCTTGGAACGAGACAATATTTTATTCTGCTTTTACACCCATTTACCGGGGGTTGTTGATGTAGTCAACGAGGTTCTCAACCACGGTAGCGGCGTTCGTGGTCTGGACGTTCTCCGCGTGGTGGGCGACCATGACGCAAGAGACGGCCTTGACGACGACGATGCCCTCCTTGCCCTAATTCCGATGTTAATATATCGACTGGCGGTTCTCAGGGTCGTCGGGAGATTTTGGTTCTACCGTACCTTCTTGCCGTACAGACTGCGGTCGTCGGCCTTGATGGTGACGAACTTCTCACCACCAACGGTGATACCGTTGGCCCAGGCGCTGTCGCTGTTGGCGAAAGCAGAGGCAAGGCCCTGGAGTTCTGTCGGGGAGATCTGTGGTGGTCGTTAACGTGGGGTTCGTGCTGGGCGGTGGTCTGGTCACGCCGATCAACGGGGTTGTTGGAAAACATGTGTCATACCGTGAAGCCAGGAGAGCCTGCCTCGAGGCCAGAGAAGTCGTGACTCAGGATACCGGCCTTGTCAAATTGGCGAGATCCCATCAAGCTGAATAGCCTCACGTCAGAATTCCGCTGCACAGTTGGAGGGGCGGCAGTGGCCGAAGCGGGGTAAACATGGGTTGGGTTATACGGTACCTGGAATCGACATAGCCTAAGCAGCAAGGGGACAGGTGTCAGCTCAGAGGGTTATGGAAATCCCAGATAGGAAACAGGGTATGCAAAAGGGGTGTATCGTCATACCTTGCCAGATAGCAGAGTGCTGACCCATGGTGACGGTCGGATAAACAATCGACGGGACGGTCGGGAAAGGGGACGGAGACGGGTAAGGAGAGGAGCAATTCCACAGGAGGCTGAAAGCAGAAGTGGAACTGGGGATAAAAACTCCGGGCGAAAACTAGGAAACGTCCAGGAGAAGGGCAGAAAATGCGCTGGGGAAGAGAGGGAGTGGTTGGGGGGTGTTTCGAGGAAAGATGGTGGGAGAGGAGGGGAAGAAGGCCGACGGAAGATGAGGTGAGTTACTAAGGCGGCCTTAAAGGGACAGGTCGGTGGTGGGGTGGATTGCGGCCAGCTGAGCATCATCCGTCTCTCTAGTCTCGTCTTTACCCAGCAACCACCACCGCCTCAACTGCCCCGCCAATCCCGACTTTTCTCCTCCTGTCGGTCACAATAAAGTATCTGCTATCAATAGCACCGCCATATTCTCCATTCTCTCCACAGGAGGTGCATCCGGCATCCGGACGTCTGCCTAGCAGGTAGTATCCGTCTTCTCCTCGTCCTCGTCTGTCATCCCCATTCGACCTCGGGGGATACGTGATGCTCCCTACGTCATCGCCTAGAACACAGAGCTTCAGTCTGGCTAGCATTGTCCATCCCACCGAAGTCTAGCTCAAGAACATCGCTCACGAACGCTAGGAGAGATATGTACGTAGGTAGGGAGGATACCAGCGGTGGGGAGTAGTTCACCCACTTCAGTATAGAACTAGACCCTGTTAGACACTCGCCTGCCCACTTGCGGATCTCTTTTCACCGGTTCCTCCTTACCGCCTCTTCGAGGACATCCCCTATTGACTCTCGACTATCGAGTCACTCCCAATAATTAATGAGTCCTGCAGGCACTAAGTAGATGCCTGAATTGTACGGGTGATGCCGGGCACGTGCCTGTCAGCGAGTCAGGTGCTGGGGATCATCTGCAGCCATCCGCCTGCCACTGGACGGGTCTTCCTCACTTCATCCTCACAATGCCCCTGTCCGTGCCTCGGCGGATGGTGGATGGCGTACCTCCGTCTATCATCATTTCGCATTCTATACTAGCCTCCCCGAACCTTCTAGCCTTGAGCCACGATAGACACCGGTCCAGAATCTTCGGAAGGAAAGAGCATTCAGGAGATGGATGATGGTCCGTGACTTGTCAAGTGAGGGCCGCGGGCCAGTTCCTTGGGCGCTGCATACTCTAATTTCCCCAGTGGACTAATTCTTATCAAGCGGGCCTCGCGTCCGGATGGACTATCGCATCCACCCCAAAACCCTCGGAATTGCGACCATCGGCTGGTGACTGAACGCAGGTGCAATCGCACCACGGTGAAACCCAAGGGGTCCCTCGGGTTGGCGGCACGGCTATGGACGAGATCCGTAACACCAAGGCCCTGAGACTGAGTCTCAGGCCTCTGGAGATCTCCAGGCGACTCAGCGGGCTCCAATAATCTCATTGGTTGGGCGCTCGGAGGTTCAGAACAGCTGGAACCAATGATGCTAGCGGTGCTCACGCTCGTGTTTCTAGCTTGAAGTGAGACCGTCGGCGCAGCATTCTTTTTGGCCCCTCGCCCGCGGTCGTAATCATTTGCGCGCGCAACCGCCACGCTCATTTGTGCCCACCAGAATAAGCACCTCGCGCGATTTTCGATAGCGCTCGCCTATGTCATAACCACTAGACCGTTGGGCTTCTGTGACTGGGCCATTGTCCGTGTCCGGTGTTGGCTACGCGGGGGTTCCGTGCGGCCTCTCCTGAGCAATTTCTCTGGAAATTTTTGTTGGCTGTTTCTGCCGTCGCGCTTCGTCAGATCTCATGGTACTAATCTAAGCCCTCACACTAGCCCGCCCCTACCACTCGTCTCACTTAGATGTAGCGCTCTGCCTTGTGCTCCACAGTAAACTGCCGCAACGTCTTATGTCTTAACTATGCTGCTCTGTCCCTCTATCGCCGAGTCTCCTTTTCTCCCCATCATGGACTGACACTTCTCTTCCCTGACTGCTTGCGCTCGCGTTTTGGCCTTCTGGAAGGCCGTCCATTCCTTTTCATTCAACTCATGATCAATAGGGCTTGGTATTCCCTTTAACGTTCTCTACATCTCTTTTCCCACCATCGTCCTTCTCTTAGCAACTCACCGGAAGTTCCCGTTCGCTTTCGTTTCAAGTACCGTATCGGATATTATCTCCACCACGCCGTCAGGAATGGCCAGAGGAACGTTTCTTGGGAGATCACGTACGATCCGGCAAGCGGAGGCCATCTCGTCCACTACTTCGAAGCACTCCGATGCGCGACAACGGAAAGATCTCAAATGTATTGAGGATGGCGCAAATCACACTCGCCAAGCGCCTCATGCGCCTCGGGATTTTCAGCGCCCCGGAACGTCAGAGGGACGCCAACAAAGGAAGTTACAAGCTCTAAGTCCTGTCCATACCCAGGCTCCTCCGCTTCCATCTTCGCCCATATCGTCCCCTACCGGCACGGATAACGGTGCAAACGGAAGTCTGATTGGCGTCGCTTTGGGCAGCCCGCGGATGATCGAACCGCATGTGCCCATGTCGCAACCGCAGGAAATATGCCCTGTCAAACTAGCAGAACCCCAAACACGACCCGCTTTGCAGCGCAAGCCCAGTAAATGGAAGAAAATCGGTGGCCTTTTCAAAGCTAAAGCTGCCATGGCAGCTGCGCCAAACCAACCTTTCTACCAGGTCCGGCTCGAGGACGAGTGGCCAATGCAAGACTCCACCTATTCTTTCGACCAGGAGCCAAAGGTTCAGCCTGAGAAACCTGCTAGTCCTATTTCTGGTACGGAAGCCTGGCCATCTTTGGAACCAGAAGTTCAGCCTCAGGCGCATGAACAAGGACAGTCCAAGGAAGACACAAATGTTGCGCCAAAGTCTGATGAACAGCCTCTTGCAACAATGCCATTGCTGCAAGTCGAGATCCCCGATATCCAGCTGGAGCGATACAGCGTCATGTTCGGAGGCGTTCTTAGTAAGAACAGGCCGCCTTCGTTTAGACGAAGCCAAACTATGCAGGACGCCAGCGCGCCGGCTCCAGAGGTAGCGTGCTTTCTTCACCAAATATTGGCAGAGACTCTTCAACTGACTCACTGGTCAGGACATCCCCCCCACGCCGGAATTAGGACCGCCTCGACGGAGAGCCACTTCCCCGACTCGGTCGAAATCGCCCAGCTTCACTCTGTTTCCATCAACACAGGTCAGCAAGGCTTCAAAGGTGCTCGGTAGCCAGAACATTCCCCGCGGCCCCAGTCCAATGCACAGAAGTCAAACGTCATTGGCAGAATCACAAGAGAATGTATCAAAGGAGAAGAGCAGTTTGGTCCTCATGGTGCATCAACCGTCGCACAAACCGCAGAATTCAATGTCTTCATTCCTTTCCTCTACAACCATTGGCTCGGAGGATGAACAGCTCCTGTTGCAGAGGCTGGGCCCAGTCCGCTCCTATATCGACGCAAGGGAACCAGAATGGGAAATCATCAACAAAAAGCCTGCAGCAAAGGATCCCGCACAAGACGCGCCTCCGGCGCTCAGAATCGATACGCAAATGACGTCTCCCGAAACGGCTAGCTGTGAATCGACATTGTCCCCAGCGACAAATACACCTGTCAATGCTCCCCAACAAAAGAACGAGGTCCTCTCCCCCGGAAGCAGGAGAGCTTCCCCAACTTCACCCAGACGCATGTCCCCCAAAACCGAGGACAAAGACATGAATCCCACCGAGCCGACAAACGGCGGGCCCGCCGTCGAAATCTCCATCGCACGGTCCGTTTCCGTCTCAAGAGGTAAAAGACAGGTTCTTGTACCCATCAGACCGCGTCAGGACCGTCCGGAACCCAGCGGCGACAACATGAAATCCCCGAGGACCATGGCGGGTAATCGCAACCGTATCCCTCCACGATCCAAGGAGGCGCTCATGAACATAATCTAGCGCTCTATTTATTTACTTTTCCACTTTCGATATTCGATATGATCATGATCATATGATTTTTCTTCTTCCTTCAATTACGCTCCTTTTTCTTTACCCACTTGCTTTTCTCTATAGCGCAGGTAGCGTTTTCCACTTCAGGCAGGTGTCAGAGTTGCTGGTCCTTCATAGAGATTCCTTCTCCTTTCACTCCATCTTTTTGACATTGAGCTATTTATCGAATTGTTATAGGCGATGTACGTCTGCACATGAAATACACCACGGATTTTCATTTTGTGTCGCGTGTTTATGCTAGTTCTTTTCTACACACTCCTGTCTCGACCGCCCGTGACGTTCATACTACCTGGGCTGGAACGGTTGAGCTTCCGTCTCCTAGTTGAGTTAGACAGATACTGGTTTTCTGTATGTTTGGTATTTATCTATCGTATTCGATCTCAGATATCCAATTCTTGCATCTAAGTTTCTATGTATATGATGTATAAACCACTACCCAAGGGTATTTATTCACAACAAGTGCTCTGATCGCACCGATCAAGCCTTCTCAGGAAAGGTCGACGACTCCGGCACCGTCTGCGTCTCAGGCACCGCGTCCGCGTCCGCAGCCACCTCCACATCAGACAAGGTCCATTCCATACCCGGGTACGAATCACTAATCACCTTCACAGTGATGCGCTTGGCTTGTCCCGCTTGGTTCTGGGGGAACTTGACGGATGAGCGAACAACGAGCGGTCCAGACCTCTGGTTGTTGTTGTTCTTGTCATTGGGTCTCCGGCTGGATCCGGCTCCGGGCCCGTTGCGACCATTCGTTTTTGATGGCCAGGATACGCGTTTCAGGGCGAGGAGCTCGGCGTCTTTGCCATCGGCGGTGGCGCTGTAGACGAGCATGAAGTAGCCTTCTGTTTGGGGTTTGGGGAAACGAGGGGCGTAGATCCGGAATTCTTTGTCCTTGGGCGCGTTTTTGCGGGTCAGGGAGACGGTGAGTCCGGTTGGGGTGATGGTGGAGATGGAGAGGGTGAGCTGGGGTAGGTAGGATGTGGCCTTTGTGAATTGTGCTGGGAGGTTGAGTTTCCTGATGAGAGAGTCGGTGGATTTCGCGGGTAGAGAGAGGAATGCAGTGAGAGAGGGTGGGAGGGCGGATCGCTTGTCTTCTGGGTTGATGCCTGGGAGGATGGAGAGGGGCGAGTCTTCGGGCCATCTGGCGGATTTGATGCATTGCAGGAGGGACATGAACATGTGGCAGGCGTGGAGGTAGCCCAGCTCGGCCATGACGTCGATGGAGGCTTGGATGATACGGATACCTTGGTCGAGGACGGAGGTTTGATCACCGACGTAATCGGTAATGGGGAGATCGATCCGTGACATGTATGCCTGGAGCAATAGGAAGGCTTTGACATGGGGATCCCAAAGGGGAAGGTCACCCATGGATTCAACTGAGAGTGGGAGATTGCGGGCCAGCTCTACGTTGATCAAGTCTTCGTTGTGTCGCACTGGCAGCTCGTCGAACTCGGTAGCTGAGCACATCCAGCTCAACACATCCTGGAAGGTGGGGTTAGGCTTCGCATGTGTCATGAGGTATCGAATCGTCTTGTGCGACAGATAGTAGTAACTCATGATCTTGCCGAATGGTGTTGGGTCCACCTCGCCAGTTGCCGAGTCAAGCACAATACAAGATGACTCGGCCAACTCCCCTAGCGATTTATCAACCAGGTCGATCATGAATTCCTGCGCGATTGCTTGAGCGGCCATGGTGTTATGCTCTTCAGCCGAGATCTCCAAGCCGTAGTAGGAGGGATTTTTGTGCAGTCGCCGGAAGAAGAATGTCCAGGTCAAGTAGTCAAGAGCATCTTGCTTCGTGCTGATCGTTCCCGCAGAAACTTCGGCACCCAAGTGGTTGTCAAGCACTTTGTGGAGAGTGGACTCGACAGGGAACCCGGTATGCAGGAAGTGCTTGTAGAAAGCCTTCTTTGCATCCTGGGTAAAAATGCGCGCAATACCTGAGGTGTCGAACTGGGGACGTCCTGCTCTACCTAGCATCTGCAGGACATCAGTCAGGTCCATGTCCCTATAGCCTTCGATCTTGGCATCGAAGAACTGTGTTCCCTTCACCACGACAAGATGTGCTGGAAGGTTGACACCCCAGGCAAGAGTACTTGTTGCCACGAGGATTTGAATCTTGTTGTTTGCGAAAAGCTCCTCTGCTAGTTGTCTATCTGACTCCACGAGACCGGCATGGTGCAGACCGATACCAAAGCTGAGCGCCTCGCGCAGTGCCTCATCTTTGACTCTCTCAAGGTTCAACTGTAGGTCCTCCTCAGACATACGGACAAATCTGCGAGGATTATCTTCCATTCCACAGTAGTTGATTAGATCCTTGGCCGTCAAACGGGTTTGTCGGCGGGAAGCAACGAATACAATCACTGGCTTTTCCGGAGAGTGATTCTTAATTGCCAGGAAAGTCGGCCTGTTCATCGACTGCATCAGAGGGCAGAATCCACGCTGCTCAGGGAATCCGTCAATGTAGATCTCGAGTGGAACAGGACGCACGGAATGTCTGAAATTGTATAGTCCTTCTTTCACGCCCAGCCAGTTGGCCAAATCGCTGGCATTCGCGCAAGCAGTCGACATACCCATCAGCCTGACAGATCCCTTGGACTGTGAAGCGATGTAGTTCATCCGAGACACAATAATCTCAAGAATGGGTCCTCGATCGCCACCCAACAGGTGAATCTCGTCGATGATCACCAGGCTCACCTTCCGTACGTAGTCCCTAGTCTGCCAACTACGGGAAATACCGTCCCACTTTTCGGGGGTCGTGATAATGATATCCGCATCTCGAATCGTCCGCGTATCGGGGGTGTTGTCACCAGTCAATTCAACCAAACTCAGACCCATGGGCCCCGTGAGACGCTTCTTCCAGTCCTGAACTCGCTCGCGGACAAGGGCCTTCATCGGTGCGATGTACACAACTTTCGAGCCCGGCCTTTCTCTGAAGGCCCACCACATGGCCAGCTCTGCAGCCACAGTCTTTCCACTACCCGTTGGGGAACCCAACAGAACATTGGCCGGGGTGTGGTAGAGCAGATGGAAAATCTGCGTCTGCATCGGATTAAAGAACTGGAAGCGCTGCCCGTAGAGCTCTTCCAATATCGGGTTCTTTAGCGCAGAGATGGGAAGAGGCTGAAGATTGAGGAGATCAGTGTATACACTTTCCGTATCCGGTCGAATCAGATGTTGGAAAGACACCGGAGTCACCGTCTCTGCACCCAGCCAACGGTCAGATATCGCACGAACATAGATTTGACTTGGCAGTGGATCGGAAAGCGGGATAGTGAAATTCAGCTCGTGTTCGTCATAAAGCTTCTTCCTGCTGAGGATGAAGTACTCGTGATGGTAGATTTCAGAAGTCTCCGAGTTCTCTACCCAGATCCAGTACGATTCTGAAGCGCCATGATGCCTATCGTTCCAGCTAAACTCTGGGTAAAGGCTCAGACGAATTCTCAAAACATCACGGTTGAGTGGTGCAATTTCAGCCTCCACACCGAGAGTAGGGAAGTTGTCCAACAACTTAGCCAATGTTTTCCCCATCCGGGTGTTATGGACCAGCTGTCCGATCTCCGCGGTTTCCATATCTTTCATTGACTCAACCGACGATGTCGGAAGCCTCTCATCCAAGTTCCTGAGGATCGGCTGAGGAAGATCAAATTGGTGGAAGGGATGGTCGAAAGGCCACATCTGCTTCTCGATGGCCTTGCAGAGGGAGAGAAGGACCTGGCATTGGTAGCCCCAACGCCGGTTCAACGCAATCATGAATAGAGAGCGACAGATTCGAGCTGCATTCTGCGCCACGTATCCGGTATCCGACACCAGAGCAAAATCCTCAATCCTAGCACGAGAGATATAGGACTGCAGGAGGATATTAGTCTTGGCGTGTGGAGAGTCATTACCGCCCTCTACCTCGGTCTGGATGACCTCGTCACGCAGCCTATTTAGCTCTTTGCTTTCACTTTCCCTGGCCTGGATGTTGTCGAATTCGCCACTCATACTGATCATTCTCAGCACATCCGCCTCGCTGGCTCGCGGACGCATCATATTGTTGAAGATTTCCACGCTGGTTTGCAGAACATAATACTGGCTTGCAATGCGGCCAACATCCTTCGCGCGTAATTCTTCCGTCTTCTCGTTGAATATGATCATTTGGCTCTTTTGTAAAACGAGGGCGGCTTGAATGATCAGCTGACGGCGTCTTTGGACTAGCATAGGATCATCACGGATTTCCGCGAAATCAATTCCGTAGTTGCGTGGCTCACGTTTCATACGAACGAAAAGATAGGAATATCCCAGCCATTGCACGGCTTCTGAAACTGAAGTGACCGTACCAAGAGAGATTTCGGCATTCAAATTGTCCACAAGGCGGCTCGAAAATCGGGATTCAATCGGCTGCTGCGACGTTACGGCAGAGATGTAGTGGTGGAGCTTATCATGTGTCGTGCAGATGAAACCAATACCTGTATCCTGGAATTGGGGACGACCCGCACGACCAAAGATCTGCAGCACATCCAGGATTCCTAGATCCACGAATTTACCTTCTTGCGGGTTATACAACTGAGTACCTTTGATGACGACCCCTGCAGCAGGAAGGTTGACACCCCATGCAAGCGTGGCAGTACAGCAGAGCACCTTCAGGAGCCCTTCGGAGAACAGACGCTCCATGAGGTTACGGTCGCTTCGACTCATTCCAGCATGGTGGGTTCCAAGTCCACTGGCGTAGAGCTCGCGCAGCTCGCGGGCACGGCTGCGTTTCACATCGCCAAGACCGTTTGAAAAGCCCTCGTGCTCCTGACAGCTGAACAGGTTCTCACACCCATCCTCAGTAGCCATTTGTCGCAGCATTCGAGCCGTCAAAACGGTGTCCTTCCGCGAGTGGACAAAAACCATGACTTGGTGTCCTCGTTCAAGCATATCACGGACCTTCTCGAAAGACACGACGTCGATATTTTCACGAGACTGCTTGGTGCCAGGCTTGCCCTTGACACCAATGAAATGTTGTTCAAGAGGAACAGGCCGAAAAGACTGGTCAAAGAAGAACAACCCGGCCATTTTGTTCACCTTGAGGAAATCGGCAACGTCGATATAGTTTGGAAGAGTGGCAGAGAGACCGACAATCCTAATAAGTGATTGTGTGCTCTCGACTTGACGCTGAGTACGGGCTACAAGTGACTCAATGACGGCACCACGCTCATCATGAAGCATGTGGACCTCATCAATGATTAACAATCGCACCTTTTGCACGAGTTCCGTATCACCCGTGCTCTTTCTTGTTACCACATCCCATTTTTCAGGGGTGGTGACGATGATTTGGGTTTCCACGATCTCTCGTTTCGTCAGTTGCATATCTCCTGTGAGCTCTCGAACTTTAATTCCCAACCAAGCGAGACGTTTCCCGAGCTTCTCGGTGACTTCGGCAGCTAGGGCCTTCATCGGAGCAACATAGATGATTTTGAAATCCTCCACCTGTACAGCAAACTCGGTAGCCTCTGGTTGCTCGATGGGATTGGGAACAGTGTTCTTCCCAATGGCGTTCAAGATTGTCAGCATAGCAGCATCCGTTTTACCAGCACCAGTCGGGGCACAGATGAGCATGTTCTCACTGGTCTTGTAGGCCACCTCATACAGAAGACTTTGCATCCGGTTGAGCGTCTTGTAACCCTTAAAGGTTCCTTGACACAGTCCATCCAGCGATGCGATCTCCACAAGCTTATGCCCCGGTCTCAGGCTACCGACCTTCGAGGCGGGGACCTCGACCTCAGTATATTTCTTTTCATCAATCTGCTTGCTACCCAAAGGCAGTCCATACCTCTTCCCCCCAAAGGCAAGAACATTTCTAGACTCATAGGACTTGAACACGTGGGGGTAATGCGGCTCCTGCCTGGTCTGTGCCGGTAACAACGACGCATGCTTGTGTTCGTAATCCGCCTGCCGCAAGGCTTGCTCCCTTTCCGCTCTTGTCTGTAGCTTTCCTGCCATCAGGCCATCTGTCTGGGCCTCCGGGCCGGTATGCAAGCTCGTGACGATATCCGTCCTGTGGGCGATCAGGTCAATCACGAAGTCGAGGTCATCGAATCCCACAATTTCGGCCAGCGACATTTGCAGCTCATCGTCTCCGCTGTCCGTCGCTAGAGCAGCGGTAATTTGCTGCGCTAGCTCTCTGGCGTCCATACCCGGCTTGCTGGCAGTGAGGCTTTCGCATTTCTGCTCGAGCCAGATTTGGTCGTAGGAGGATGATATCGGAGGGGAGGGGATATCGTCAAAGTCGTCAAACCCCTCGCTGGATTCATCGTCAGAGCTGATAATATCCCAGATGTCATCATCGGCAGTTCCAGGAGATGAGTAGTCCTCGTCGAAGTCCAAATCCAGGTCGTTTCCGTAGCTTTGGTTATTGGCGGGGTCTTTGGGAAGCTTCAAGTCCGCAATGGCCTGGCGCATGGCTGCCAGTTGGGCCAGCCACTGGGACTCGGCAGATCCATTCACAGCCATGATTAATACCTTCCGGTGGTATATAGATCTTGTAGTCAACAATGGAACAGGACAGCCAGATTTGAGCTGATCAGTAAGTGTGGACTGATATGATAATGAGCCAGAATGATTCACCCGGCAGAACGGCGACCGCCTAGAGCCTGTCAGCAGTCTAACCGGGTTAGGTCTAGCCCCGTTTACTGGAACTATAGAGTGACAAGAGATGCGGGTTGGTCAACCACTTGCAAAACCGATATTCTGGTACTATATTGAGTTGGGAGTGCTTTCTGAGCAGCAGGAACAAATTTGTGGAAGAATACTAGTCTCCGGAGAAATATGAGATAATGTAAGAAGGTGAGCATTATATACTAATCAACGGGTATTGCAGTAGACGTCTACACTGTTCTCACAGAGTTACTGAAGACCTCCGGAAATTGAGTCGGGCTCCCTTTCCGCTCTAGGTCTAACTTGGCGGCGCTTTTTCTCACTGTGAGACACTGAGTGATTCCTGAGCAGTCCCAAATTTTTCTGGGAGGGAGCTAAAAAGACGTGACATGCATTCTGAAACTTGTTTATGAGTAGCATGTCGATAGTATTCTATCCTATATATTTCCATGAAACGTTGAATAGGCTAGAGGTTCGAGAGTCCCAAGCAGTGCAGCACTTTTTACAGAGGTGCAAGCCGAATCACTCACCCTGTGTTCGACAACCTATAAATTGGCACTAACCTGCTCATTCTCTATACAAGGAATCTTTTGTTGAGAGTAGCGTTTTTGCTGACGTCACATGAGAGACTCTAAACCTTCTCGCAAACTCTCCAAAGTGGTCTTGTTCTTCTCCCACCTGCTCAGGGCTTCCTTGTAGTCCTCATGGGAGACCCAGCCATCTTCACCAATAACTTCTGCGCGCAATCTCTCAAAGTCACCAAATGCGGCGGCCCAAGATTCGGCCTTCTGCCGACTTTCATCGATATCCTTTCTTGAAAACCAAATGGGACACGGCTGTGTTGAACCTCGTCGTTCCATAATTCGGTCCCATTTCTCAAACACCTGTATCAGGAGTTCCTTTAATGGGATTGGACCGTCTTCAGAAGTTCGACCGACGATGTCAAATATGAAAGTGGTAGGATCATTATCGTTCCTCATCTTGTCCATGGCATGGATAAGACCCGGGTTGAATTTCCGTGAAGCCAGCTCGTAGAACTTCTTCAACCTGAGTCTGCTAAGCTTGTCTTCGGCTTGCCCTTTCTCGACCTGCGAGAGAGTATCGAAATCCTCGGGTAGTTTAGGTTGGACAGCACCCCATGGGTATATATCATCGCAGTTGAAGATTGAAGGAAATTTTGCCTGCATGAATAATGGGGCAGTGTGGACTGCTTGCCAGTCGATTATGCTAGATATTTTAGAAGGGTCGGAGGAATCAACAAAAATATTGTTCGAATGAAGATCAGGGTGCAATAGCACTGGAGAAAGAACTTCTTCTGGTGGTAGGATGTGAGGAAGCACCGTTAGGAATTGCTCAAGGAGCTGTATATGAACATCACGCCTTTGTAGCGTTTTGCCGAAAGGTACAGTGTCATTGCTGGACCTGCTACGCGTATTTCGGATCAGTGCTATTTCACGGTTTGTGACAGCTGAGAGGTACTCCTCGACAGTTTCCCCTGTTTCGTCAATACAGTAATCAATTTCTGAATAGAATATGCCAAAGATGCACTCACAAGGACCCCTATCAATATCCAGGGCTCCTTTTTCGTCATCCCAAAAGGACCGTTGAGTTGTTGGCCCAAGGACAAATCTAGATTGACCTTCTTGGTCTGCTCTTTCGACGGCGGCAACTCTTCTTCCTTTCGGAAATGTATCTCTGTAGTACAAGCTGCCATGTAACGCGAATTTTGCTTTCACCAGTTTCCGTTCAATAGCCACTATGCTCTTCACAAGCCCAAAGCGTTGAGCTTCCGACATATCGTCCCAGACCTCGCTCAGTTGCCGCCCTTCCACCCTCTCCATCACAATATATTCAGCACCAACTGGGTTAGGTTGCGACGAAGAGCTCCACGAGAGAACACGGGGGACCGGTATTTCGAGAACGGTCCGAAGCTATAATTTCATTACTTCGATATCCGTATATCACAGTGCGAGACTAGGATTGGAGACCACGTACAAAGTCAAGTGTTGCGACTTCACTGGCCACAATATAATGTGGATGGCCAGCATTCGGATTCGGAATTCTCACCAAAATCTCCTTGCCATTCTCCATTTGTAAGGAAAACACCTTGTTGAAGAGTCCCTCGGGTATTTTGTTCATTCGAACACATTGACTTCCAATCAATTGACCGGAGATGCGCTGTAGCGCTGAAACGTCGAACTTGATATGACGCTTTTCGAGTTGCCGCGCTTCATTGATAAGCCAACGACCAGATGTGTAGTTGAAGTAGTGACTGCTTGTGTCACTCGGTCGACTACTTGTGGGTCGGACCTGCTGAGATGAACGAAAGTATATAGTCGAGCTCATGGTCAGTCTTGACAGGACGCGAGACATGATTTGATGTCGTTGAATGTACGGCATGACTTTCTTCGTTGGTTAAGACACTGTGATGTGGGAGTGTGATGTGACTAGTATATACCAAAATCTGGATCACATGACGATTAGAGAGCCGATAACAAACATTGCCCTTAGTACTGCCAAGCGCGGCTTGGTTACACTGCCGGCCAGGAAGGCCCCAAGCCCTTGGGTGGCTCCCAGGAAACGCTTGGAAGGCTCCTGTGAAGCTCTTGGAAGGCTCCTTTAGAAGCCCCTTGAAAGGCCCCTGAGAAGTCCTTGTAGAGGCCCGTTGGATAGCTCTGGTGAACTATTCCTCGGAAGTTGCAAAGGTGAGAAAGCATTATAAGTAGGTCTGAGGTATCATGGGAAATTCTGGCCTCCAGTAGAAGCGCGAAACCGAAGCCTGCGTCTGAACTTCTCGGGTGACAGTTGGAGCTCTGCGTACCTTGTATTTACATGTTCGAGGCGAAATCACTCCAAAGGTACATATTAATGCATCAGACCCTGAAATATCAAAGTAAACAAGAGGTTGATTAAGAGGATTCCCTGAGCCAAGTCACACCCTCAAATCACGCTTCACCTTAGCAGGGAGAAAATCGGTCAGTCAATCATGGCATATTTGAAGTAAGCTTCACATCTAACGACATCAAACAAAGACGATGGGTGCAGTCCTCGACGCTATACTCTCACTTCGGCAGAGGGGTACGCAAAGTATCCTCTACGAGACTGAAGCTTTTACGTCCCGCAGTCGGAGACAACAACGCCGCAGGTAGTCGGATTATTCCGGCCAGAAATCATGACAGTTCCATTGGAGTTCGTATTGACAGGGGCATGCAGGTCGACAAACGTGTCAAAATCTACGTTCAACCGAACAAAAATGCTGACAATCGAACAATTAAAGATCTAGCCAATAAGAATAGTCACCAGAACCTTGCTGAAGCCTGGGTCGATATTGAGGATCCTATTGAAGACTCAACAGTAGATAAGATCTTTGATGCTTTGGAGGCAAGTGCTAAAGAGAATGGACATTGATCTCAGGAGTGTCTTCTGTAGAATGGGAAAGATATGCAAGATGGATGTCGAATGTCCGACAATATCCAGCTATGCTCACTTTCCTTTACTAGTCTTGTTGGAGCCCCATATCTTTGACTAGTCTGACCACTGCGGACTCTTGAGAAGAGATGAGACCTTACTTCTGGTGAACAGATGCGGTGGTAGCCAAGTGTATCCTTCATTATAGTTTCTATCCCACTTGATAAATCTATCATTGTTGCTGTTAGATCACTGTCCATGAGTTACCGCCTGCCAACCTCTGGTAAAGTGACTGTCGGTTTAGTGTTAAGTCCCTCTTTGGTGATGTTGGTGTATTGTTAAGGTAAGGACAATCGCAAAATAAGGCGTAAGAACATTGTAGAACCGTCCAAGGGTTATTAAGAAATCGTAACCAACCACGGGCGTGGCACTCATTAACTTTCAATTCAGTGTATATGGTATGTATAGATCACAGTAGGTCTAATATCATTTGGACATCTTCCCACTGTATCTGACACGATTGCTATCTATCTCCCATCATAATCTATACTGACTTGGCTGCAAACCCCCCTAATAGAGAGACACATAATCTCGCCCTCCAAATTTAGCATTGATGTGCTTTACGTGTTGTAGGCATGACCTTCATGAACTCTTACTTGAACTAAATTATCACTTGTGACTCTGAAATTAGTAAAATCATTGAGGACTTCACTTGGAGCGGTGAGGAACAAGAGCATGCGATGCACACTATTGCACATAAAATAGATGTCTACGCTACAGTTAGTGACTTGTTGTGTGATATGAAAGGCCACTCCTGAGTTGTCAAGCAGATGTGTTAGCCAGTAATACTGTCTATCTAGCCGCCTCCCTATTCTCTGAGATTGGAAGCCGGTATTGAGATTACTAGTTTTTAAACAAGCTCTCACTACCTCCTGCCTCCAATGCTGCAATGGTGTCTTTTATGGTATTTCTTCTGAGCCAAACACAACCACAAGTGTGGTTGCTTTTGCATCTAGTCATGGAGGATGCAGGCGACGCAATTGCCTTGTCCTTACTGTAAGTTGGTATTCGAAACGGGCAGAGTAGTCCAGCAACATGCAAGTGTTGGTAATGTATGCTATTCAATCCTTGCTTGCTGCTGACCTTGTCAGGGATACCTCCTTCATCTTGTCGGACAACTTGCGAACCCAATCCTTACTTCAAGCTATGAAGGCTTCCGGGTTTCTAGCATCATATCAACATATTCAAACCACCTCCAGCCAGATACTACCTACACAGCTCGTGGTGGTTCTGTGATTGGTGAGAACCGCTCAAATGTGATTGCTGCTGAGGACGAAATATTATGGAACAGATTACGCTTGAAGTTCTAAACAAAAGCCCATAACGTGATTCTACAAGAGGAAGGCGAAGAATGTCTCTTATGATGTATACTCTTTCTCTCATTTAGAGCTATTGTCTCCTATACGTGCGTCATTTTCGTAATCTTTCATACGTAAGAATGCAGACGGGTAATCGGCTTCATTAGCAATCAGACCTCCTGGGTCCAGAAAATAAAAATGATCTGTCGGCCCGACACAGTAACCAGTCAGACCATGCGAATCACTTGTAGTGATCTCGCAGCAGCCATTACCAAGTTCACCAACACCGTTATCTCGACCAGCCAGCTAGAAATGCAAGCATTGGACGACACATTTATCCGGAGCTTTGATAAGCACATGGTAGACTGACGAGGTATGAGTTGGGATGAGTTGTATATGTGAACTTGGGGCCATGCCCCAGCATATTCGTAGCGTGGATAGGTCGAAATAAACCATTCCAAGTTAAAGGCCTATTCAGGCTCGGGTAGCATGAGAACATATTCCCGAGAGCTCAAGCCAAACTGGAGCACATCCTTATCCCGCAACTCAACATAACGTCCAGCAGGAATTGCATCACCGTTCACTGTCGTGCCATTGGCGCTCTCCAGATCGATAAGGTAGGGCTTAACACGTCCGATTCGGTCACCATATTCATTCCGCTTCTCGACGAAGCGGAATTGAAGCGCGGCATGCTGCTTAGAGCAACTTGGATGTTCCAGGGGGAAATCAACCACCATTTGCTCTCTCCCTACGAGCCAGCAACTGCGGATTCCCAATTCCACCATCTCCAGGAGATCCTTTCCTTTGAACACGTATAGCCGCCAAGGTTCTTTTGCTGGGGGTTTGCGTGCCTCCGGAGGCTCGTGGTACTTGAGAACAATAGAGCTTCCATTCACGTTCACAGTATTGCTCTCTGCAGCCAACCGCCCGGTTTGACCGAAATTGGGCTTCTCCTTCTCGGGAGGAGGGCCCGCCGACTCTCCCGTCCGTGCCACTTCGGATGAGGTATATGCGTCATTTTGAGGAGGTAGGGGTTGCTTGGATCGTACTGGAGCACGCGTGTCCGGGCTCCGCGAGCGTCTTGCAGGTGAGCGAGATCGCGAGCCATCGCGACGTCTTCGAGAAGACCTCTCCTTCTTGTCGTAGGAATCCCGGTCGCGATGACGACGGTATGAAGATTCTCTGTCGGAAGTGTGTCGACGTCGTCTTTGGTCGTCCCCGGAGGCATCTCCCTGTTCTTTGCGTTCTCTGCGACGGCGGTCGTGATCTCTCCTGTGGCTACCTCGATCGGCCGGACTGCGGGATGACCGATTTTGAGAGCTGTCTCTGCGGGAGCTTCGATAAGAGTCGCGGCGTCCTGAACCGCTGCCACGGTCGTCGTCGCGAAGTCGCTGTCGTCGGTCACGGTCGGGAGCTGGCGAGCCGGACGGAGACCGGTGTCGTCTCCGACCGTAGTCATCGCGTGATTCAGGCATTTTCTGTACAGCGAATCCAGTTGGCGAAGGGGGTAGAACGCTGGTTTTCATGCGGGAAGCTTTGGAGCTTAGAAGACCCGCACGTGATGACCTCATGTGGAGATCCGAACTTCGGAAATACCGGCAGTATGCATCAACGGGCCAAACAATCCCGGGGGCCTCCAAACCCGTACCTACCCCTCAGTCGAAGCATTTGGGGAAGACCTTGCAAGTTCTCCATGTGAAATCATGCGGCCATGCTCAGGAAACCCAACGTCCTTTGCTGTGGTGGACTGCAGTTACTGAACTCGCCATGCATCCCATCGCCACGGTCTCGTGCTCTCTCACCGTCTCGGCCTGCTGCCAGACGCTACGCCACTGCGTCTGATTCATCGACCAGGGATCTTTCATGGCCGTCAAATCCAACATTTACACCATATGAGTTGTTCAAGTTAGATCGGACGGCGCCCTATTCGAAGACTCGCTACTATGAAATGGTCAAGGTCTACCACCCGGATCGCCCAAGTACCGGGCATCCACTCTGCAAAGACATCACCCCCGAAGTGAGGCTCCAGCGATATCACCTGTTAGTAGCCGCTCACGAAATCCTTTCCGATCCGAGCAGACGGGCAGCCTACGACCGGCATGGCACTGGGTGGAACCTCCACCCTTCAGTCGATGAGACCCCGACTCCGTCTTGGGCGAAAACGGGTTCGAGTGACTACGGTCCAATATACGCGAACGCAACTTGGGAAGACTGGGAGAGGTGGCACAATCGTCATCAGGGTAAACAGGAGACGTTGGTTGACCATCGGACCTTTGCAACGTTTGTCATTCTTCTCACTTTGATGGGCGGGGCAGTCCAAGCGTCTTGGATCAGCAAGCTCAGTACTGGCTACGAAGAAAAGCTTTTGGAGATCAATGAAGAATCCTCACGGCTCCTGAAAGGGCGGAGGGAAAGCACGCAGAACCACATGGGGTCGTCGGACGCCAGGGTCCAGCACTTTCTTATCCGAAGAGACCCGTCGGGGTATGGGTTGAAGGAAGAGGAGCAGCCGATCTATAAGGAGGTGTTAGGTTCTCAGAAGGGCCCTGACTCGTCTGTAGAGGCTACTGGAAAAGACGTTGAACACCCCAAAGATGTCATGAAACCGGATGCAAAAGTCTCTGGCAGCTTGGTTCAGACAGAACCCCGCCATTGATGCCGACCACATGCATAGCCATGCAGGCGCTGTAAATAGAGCTGGTCCGGACGGAGACCTGGGGTCGCCGTGGCGGATCAGGAATCATCAATCGATACCCATGCATGATACATTCTTAACAAGCGCATATAGAAGAATCTTCTAGTTCCGTATTCCTCTTATATTTCCCATAGTAGACCATCACGACAGCAGTCCAGACCGCCAGTGTCCAGCTGCTTATCAATCCACGCCATCACGTGCGCCGATCCTCGGGGAAATCCCAGATTCCCGGCCAGTACGCCAATTGCGTCAGAAGCAGGATTGATGATCCAATAAAGAATAAGATTCCAGGCCAATTGCGCTTCAATTTCTAAGCTCCGTCGGGTTTGATTACCAGAGAGAGTGGTGACAAATCGCCTAATCGCCTCCGCTAAGCAAAGAGCATCCGGGTTCCCCGCCAGCTTCTGCGTTGAGCCCCTCCGCCCGCGTCTGACATCTTTTTGCCTGGCTGCTCCCACGACACCAACCCATTAGCTCCCCATGCTTTCCTGCCCCTCCCTCCGCCCTCTTCCCGCGCAGGCACTCAAGAACCGGCTCCGTCTCGCTCCAACGTCTTTACTCCGGTCCTCTCCTCTTACCACTACACCATTGCGTCAGGGTAAAGACATTGCTACCGCGACACCTTTTAGCACTTTTCCCCGACGAAGCACCCTGGCTTTACGCTCCTCCTCGTCCCCCGCAGTGTCCCGCCTCTCTTCTCTCACTAGACACTTCTCATCCACGTCCCCAGTCTTTGACTCAAGCAACATGGCTCCCATCGAGGTCAAGGAGTATGACTACATCGTTATCGGTGGTGGTAGCGGTGGTAGTGGTAGCGGACGTAGAGCCGCCAGCTACGGCGCAAAGACGTTGATCGTGGAGAGTGGTCGCGCGGGAGGTACCTGTGTCAACGTTGGGTAAGGGTCTTTCATTCGGTACTGCACACTGTGGGATTGTGGCTGATGAGAAATCTTTCCAGTTGCGTCCCCAAGAAAATGACCTGGAACTTCGCCTCCATCAACGAGAACCTCCACGCCGCCAAGCACTACGGATACGACGTCGACGCCAACGTTGCGAAGAACTACCGTCATTTCAAGGAACTCCGGGACGCCACGATCAAGCGGTTGAATGGTATTTATGAGCGCAACTGGGGCAATGAGGGCATTGATCTCGTTCACGGCCGTGCCACCTTTGTCGAACCCAAGGTCATCGAGGTGACCCTCGAAGATGGAAGCAAGGCGCGGTACAGAGCGCCTCACGTCCTGGTTGCCGTTGGTGGACGGCCCGCCATCCCCGATGTCAAGGGCGCGGAGCACGGTATCACCAGTGATGGGTTCTTTGAGATCGAGGAATTGCCCCCCAAGATTGCTGTCGTTGGTGCGGGTTACATCGCGGTTGAGTTGGCGGGTGTCATGGGTGCGGTGGGCGTTGAGACACACATGTTCATCCGTGGCCAGGAGTTCCTGCGCAAGTTCGATCCCATGATCTCGAAGACCATGACGGAGCGGTACGAGGCCACTGGCATTCATATTCACAAGCAGCACTCTGGCTTCAAGGAGGTGCAGCTGCTGCGGGACGGTAAGGGCAAAGACAAGTTGCTGAAGCTGATCTCTCACGACGGATCGGAGATCGAGGTCAACGAGCTTCTCTGGGCTGTGGGTCGTCTGCCTGAGACCGAAGAGCTGAACCTTGAGAGCACCTCTGTTCAAGCCAACAAGTCTGGCTACATCGATGTGGATGACTACCAGAACACCAGCGCAGAAGGCGTCTATGCCCTTGGTGATGTTACCGGTCGTGCTGAATTGACTCCTGGTAAGGTTCCTCTCATCTTTGATCCACTCTTTGACTAACAACCCGGTAGTCGCCATCGCCGCCGGCCGCCTGCTCAGCAACCGCCTCTTCGGACCCGAAAAGCACCGTGACGACAAGCTTTCCTACGAAAACATCCCCACCGTCGTCTTCTCCCACCCCGAAGTTGGCACCATCGGTCTTACGGAACCTGAAGCCCGCGAGCGCTACGGCGACGAGAATATCAAGATCTACCACACCCGGTTCACGGCCATGTACTACAGCGTGTTCCCGGCCGAGGAGAAGGCCAAGAACCCGACTGAGTTCAAGCTGGTGTGCGCCGGACCCGAGGAGAAGGTCGTTGGTCTGCACATTCTGGGTCTCGGTGTTGGTGAGATGCTGCAGGGCTTCGGTGTGGCGATGAAGATGGGTGCCACCAAGGCGGATTTCGACAACTGTGTTGCTATTCACCCGACCAGCGCGGAGGAGTTGGTCACTTTGCGGTAGATGTAAATTAGATGTATAGACATACAATATATTTCATTGAATTCTATTTTTGGTGTATTGAATCTTCTTGATCCAAGATTGACGGTGCAAGAACGGACATGCAGGTAGAGCATGCTCTTCACGGCAAAAGTAGCCTGAGATATACTATAGTATCTTTTCAGATCAACCCTATCACTACTACTAGTAGTAGTAGCTCAGGTTATACAAAATTCTTACTGCCGGTCATCCACGTCCATATGAATACCCCGAACAGGACGAATGAGGCGTGTACCCTGCAACTGTGAGATTCCTCGTTATTAATGAAGTTCGATAGTCCGAAGAAGCACAACCAATCACCAAACGCATTGAATGAATACGTGCAGGTCTTCCCAGTTTGGCAACGCTTCCATCTGCGTCCCTGATCTCCGCTTGGTCTGAGAAGTTCAGTCAATGTCAACATCTCCAGAGATATGCATCTCAATGCTCACTCCAGTATTGACTGAATCATTACAAAGACACTGCTCCCCCTAAGATACCATCTGACATTGTAAATGTACCCACCGTGACTCTTATCTGAACACCAACAATCTTACTATCATGAAAGAGAAACTTATCAAGAAAACCAACCCCTCATCTGTGCATTATTACAATTCTTGTATGTTACGACCATCTATTCTACAATAATCATAACCATAAGTAGCTCTATATAAATACTAGTCAGAGATTATCCACACCGTCTGGGAGACATCCTAACTGAAACACTTAATCTATATAGTCTTGTCCGATTGGTTAATTCAATAGGTAGGATAAACGAGAGATGTGAGAACGAGGCTTATACTCGACCGCAAGAGGCTAGTGTGGTTAATGGTCTGCGTCTTAGGGATGAGGATAGATGATGATCTGGTGTGGCATAGGAGAGGGTGTAAAATCAGGAAAGGTATCTTTTAGAATGTCTGTGAGGAACTGAAAGGTTCTGCCGAGAAAGATCCACCCTGACATGATGACTCTAGTGTATTGCAAGAAAGCCATGTAGTTATTCCTCACTCCATCACATAGTAACCACCTCGCACACTCAATCAATTCCCCTCCTCCGCCACCTTAATGCAAACCTTCCCCACATGCCCCCCCGACGCCAGATACTCATACGCCTGCACCGCCTCCTGCACCCCAAACCCGAACTCCCTCTCCACCGGCAACCGCAATCCCTTCGTGCCCACAAACCGCACCACCTCCTGCAACAACTGCGTCGACCCCACCGTTATGCCTCGCACCGTGGCGCCCTTCGCCAACGCCAACCCCGCCACATCCGGCATCTCTTTCGCCTGCGACAAGAACCCAATCACCGAGATATTACCGCCCATTTTCACCGCGTTCAGGCTCTCCGCGATGGTGCCGGAGCCGCCGTTCTCCAGAATGTAGTCGACGCCTTCGTTGTTGGTTAGGCGGAGGACTTCCTTGGACCACTCGGGGTGGGTTTTGTAGTTTATGCCGTGGTCGGCGCCGAATTTGCGCTTCACGTATTCGAGTTTCTCGTCGCTGGAGGACGTCACGATGGTGGTGGCGCCGGCTGCTTTGGCGAGGATGATGCCCGTGAGAGAGACGCCGCCGGTTCCTGTAGCCTCATCAGCTTTTGTTCACGAATGGGATGGGGTGGGTGTTGGCATACCCTGTACCAAAACAACCTGTCCCGGTCTCAACGGAACATTACCATAAAAGGCATTCCAAGCCGTCACACCGGTGCAAGGCAAGGTCGACCATTCCGAGAAGCTCTGCGGTGAGTTTTCGGGGATCTTGACGGCCGCGGTAGCGGGCAGGGTGATGTATTCACGGAGAACACCGTCGACGGGCCCGCCTTGGCCATTGAGCCAGTTCGTTTGCTGGCCGAAGAGGTTGGTCGGGTCGAAGGTGCCGACGACGCGGTCACCCTTGGCGAGGTTCTGGACGCCTTCGCCAACGTCAACGATGACACCGGCGGCATCGGAGCAGGGAATGACGTTGTCTTTCACAGGGAAGGGGTAACCGGAGGTGGCGATGGCGATGTCGCGGTAGTTAAGGGAAACGGAGTGTACTTTGATGAGGACTTCGTGTTTGGTGGGGACGGGGATGTCTTCGGTGAAGGATTTGAGGTTGCGGACGGAGGTCCGGGGACCGTTGATGCGGATGACGGTTTGGGACATGGTGATTGATTTGATGTGAGTTGAATGAGTTGTTTGAATGAGTTGTTTGAATGGAAGATGCACTGTTGATGGATAGAGATCACTTCGAGCTGGGACGTCCAGCTCTTTTATTTCTGGATGGCAGGTCCATCCTACAAACTTGGTATACCAAACCCATTGCTGATAAATCCGTGATTAGCAATTACTCTGTACCCATGCATGAAGTAGATACACCTACATGATGTTACACAGTATAGGGTTGGGGAACAAGAGAAACCCAAATCTCCAAACGAGGCCCTGGGACCCACTTTCCCCAAATTTGGAGAAAGCTCAGTCTGCATCTATGAATCCCCAACTGCGTGATTACTATGCCGTCAGTAATACTCATTTGCAATCCACTCGCTATTCATAGACTTGATCACTCAATCGCTCAGAGTAGCTCCGAGAATTTTCATGTAAGTTTCTCCGATCTAACCGGCAGTATCAACACTCACGTTGCATACTGTCTCCCGTTCAGTGTAAGAAACCTGATTGACTTTGGTTTCCCCAAGTCCATTACTTATCTGATATCTTGTCGCAGATTTGGAAATACCTCACAGCCCTTCCATCACCGCCGGCAGTGCTGTCAATTCCTTGCAGATAACCGCCCATACTCAACAAGTACTTCGCTTATCATTTTGATGAACGGAAATGGTGAGTTACCCTGCATTATCTCGGACCACACAGTGATGATCTGGTCGGGTAATTTGGCAGGTCCGCCAGTCCTGTCAAAAGAACAGTTGTTGACGGATGATAAACCCTCATAAACCACTTCTTTAATCCAGTCAACGAGTCGTACTTCATGATCTAGCAAACATTAGTGTCTACAAGCTATGTTGGGATACGCACGAACCGGTCAAGGGTATATCGTGCATGGTATCTTGCACCCGGTGGAGCCATTGTTCAAGAAATATGGAGCATTCCAGACCACAAAGTGTAGCCTCGATGCTCCAAAGAATGGATTGGTTGTGCTTGAAGTACTGAACACCAAGTTTGACCAATGTGGCGAGAAAATGCGTCGCATGATAAGCTGCTAGAAGCGAACTCCATTTGCGGTCCACGGGCGGCAACGCTCGAAGCGCCTGGGCAATTTCGGTCGGGGCCCATGTGAAGATCTTCCTCGTTCGAGACACATCAAAGCAATTGCGAACGTATGCAAGGCTCAGCAGAGCACTCGATGTGAACGGTAAGGGCCCGTTGGGATCTAGCGGTTCCAGATTGGATTCGGGGGTTTGTTGCCAAGAGGACGTCCATTTTCGCAGAGCAGACCTTAATGAGAAATTATAGGGCGCGTTAGCAATCGTTATTGTAGGCTGAGCTTAAGTATGGCAAGATAGCGGCTTACTCGAACGCTGATTCATAATCCAGTGAGGATACCCGCGACAATATACCAGAGGCCGATTTACGAGTCCACACAAGTTTATGCAACAACCCGTGGATTAGAGCATAATTCCCTACAGGCGTTGGAGTTGAGATGGGGTGGTCGACTTGACTCACGGGAGACAACAGTGTGTCTAGAGTATCATGAAAATTTCCTTGTTCACCGGGAGTAGCTTGTCGCAGCAACCTCCAGCTTGTTCCGTCCGGTGCTGTCCACTCTGGACAAGAGCATGGTAGCTTCAAATTAATCTCGTCACACCAAATGCTGGGTGGCATATCATAGGCAATACTTTGGAGCCCGAGAAAACAAAAGGCAAATAGCTTGGTGCGTCTCTCAGATTCCTGCTGGGCCCACTGCTCCCAGTCAAGATACTGCAGAGTTTGCGGAGTTTCATCCAAGCCGCTTGATCGTAGAGCCTGCCCAAGTAAGCTCTGCAAGACACAAGCCTCAATTTTGAGACTTGGGTCTCCTTGCCATGTGGCAAAATGTGCAAGACAAAGCAAGCAGCGCACTTCATCGATTAACTGCCTTTTCAGTGCGGAGTCATCACTTGGTGAAACGACTGGCCGCCTCGTCTCAAATTGCGCCCTCTGTTGTTGGCTATTGAACAGGAGGGCCTTTGCATAATGGAACAACTCGATTGCCGCTGTAACCTCAAATCTATCCATGGCACCCAGGGCCATCATGGCTAAGAAAAGCTCTGGCGAACATGCTTCAAGCTTGAAGGTCGGAGCATGTGTGAAAGGACAGCGGGGATAGAACCCAGTGAAATATCCAGCCAGATAGCGCGTTAATGCGCTGCTCGATGGCAGGTCGGGTTTAGGAAAGATTTGATTTACTCTCGCCAGGGAGAGGAGTAGTCTGGACCGGTCCGAGGTGCTGACACTGGGACTCGCAAAGTGTGGAACAATTTGTGAAGCTGCATGACTGTCAGATATTGTTCATAAGAGTACATGTTAAGCACAACGTCACACACCTAGAGAAAGTTGGGGAGAGGGAAAGATAGTGGGGAATGCATCGGAGGGTCCTTGTGTGTTGTTTTCACCATATCCTTCCCGATGCTCTTATTCATTAGCTGTCAATCCGTAGCGGTTGAGAATGACGGCAGTAGCTCACCAGCCTGTTGAAGAACTTGTGCCAGTACAGAAGAAGTAAAATGATTCTCAGATGGAGTAGAGTCAGGTCTAGATCACGTTAGGGCATGAAGAAAGCTGTTATGGTACCATGTCGAGAAGCAAAGAGGAAGAACTATGAGTTACCCAAGTATTCGGCCCGGATGGATACTAGTAGAGGAATCTAGAGAATGGGGTGATTGGTAGTGAACTTCGGCATCATTTGCGGGCCTATTATTCAAGGCTAATTGATCCTGGCGCGGTCTCGATTGCTCATCGTCATCCACAGTGAGTGAGTGACAACTAATACGTTCATGGCGGCGTAAGAGATCGCGACGAGAGAACAATGCACCGCAGTGACAGGCAAAAGGCTTCTCATTTGTGTCTGGGAAGAATGTTCACTTAGTGCGGTCATCCCACATGGAAAGTTAATACGAACGTCGTCTTGTGTGGCGTTGCAGATGCTCTAGTTTTCGGAATATTCTCTTGCAGTACGTGCAACAGAACTCTTTCCTGCCGCTGGCACTAGAGACCTGTGTTGCTGACATCAATAAAGATTCTGTGAATGGATGAAGGGCGAGGCTCAATAATTTGTTGGGCAATGCGAAAGGATACTCAAGGCAAGGCATCTGGGAAACGGAGAGGGGGAGCGAGGTGACTCAGCATCGATTTATAACTAGTTAACTACTCCTGACCTTCCAGCTGGAGTTACTAAGGTGGCATGCTGGATGTCATGATGAGTAGCAGACGCTCTCTCTGGTTTACATGGATCTCAGTCTTGGGACATTGATGATATTTCATTCTTATATATGGTAGCAAAGGATATCTAGTATGCATGGGTCCGCCCATGTCATGAATTGGAGTTATTTTAGTTTACGAAGCGCGCTAGCGCTGAGTAACTCTAGGTTTGCTCCTACTAGGTCTGTTGCCAGCCCGTTTGCTTCTTATTGGTCTAAAGGTTTCACAAACTCGGCTTCTTATTAGATTTTATATTTCACAGATAATGTGACTTCGTTTCTGCTATTTCCTTTTGCTGCTTTTTTCTCCCTTTCTGCTTACATCGTCCGCTGCTGGCCCTGCGTGAGGCCCTGCGTGAGGCCCTGCGTGCCTCTATATAACTTGCAGAACTTGTGTACATTATTCATGTAATTTAGAGAGAGTTGTCTGCTTTAGTAAGAAAATGCGCTTTGGAATGCCTTGAGCTGTGTGTGAGACCGTAGGTCGTGGCCGCAGGCCACGACCTAGTATATATATTTAGAACAATCGCCTGAGATCCAAGCACTCAATCAATCAATGAACCTCAGTAACTACGTGGCAGCTGCAGCACCTTCTCGCTCACATAATTCAAAATCATCTCGCGACTGATCGGCGCAATCCGTGGCACCAAACACTCACGTAGATACCGCTCCACGTCGTATTCCATGGCGTACCCCATGCCCCCGTGGCTGAGCACCGCTCGTTCACACGCCGTAAACGCTGCCTCGGCAGCCAGGTATTTAGCGCTATTACATGCCACTCCGACCGAGTGTAAAGGGATAGTCTCATCCTGCTTCGATGCATCATAGAGCCGCGCCGCATGATACGTCGCCAGCTTGGCCGCCTCCAGCTTCATATATGCATCCGCCAGCGGATGCGCAATGCCCTGGTTTTGCCCGATAGGCCGTCCAAAAACTACACGTTCCTTTGCGTACTGTGCTGCTCGCTCCAGTGCCGCATATCCCAGCCCCAATGCCTCGCCTGCCAACAAACAGCGCTCGGCGTTCATGCCGTGCAGGATGATTCGAAATCCATCGTTCTCCTGTCCAACAAGCGTTTGCGCAGGAACCTCATACTGGTCGAAGAAGACCTCGTTGGCGTCCACTGCTCGTCCGCCCATCTTCTTGATCTTGCGCATCTCCAGCCCCGGCTTGCTACGGTCCAGATCAATGCAGAACATAGACAATCCCTGAGTAGACTTGGTCACTTCCTCTAGTGGCGTCGTTCGCGCCAGGAGAATCATCTTCGAGGCTACCTGGGCGCAGGTGATCCAGATCTTCTGACCTGTCACAGAGTAAACGTCCCGGGAAGGATCCTTGGTGGCCAGTGTCTTGAGCTTCAGTGTTTCTAGACCGGTGTTGGGTTCTGTTACACCGAAGCATGTGCGCCATGTGCCGTTGATGATGTTGGGAATCGTCTCTCCAAGTTGTTCACGCGTCCCGAACCGAGCCAGCGGTTGTGTGGCGTATACATTAGCATGGATGGCCTGCGCGCCGGCCATGCCTGCCCCCGACTGGGTGATGGTTTGCATCATCATTGTCGCTTCCGAGATTCCTGGATTCGGTCAGTGAGATGTTCTTCCAGGTGGAAAATGCGTATATACCCAGGCCCGCCCCTCCTAGCTCCTCGGGTAGTGCAATCCCCAGCCATCCATCTTTGGCGAAAGCGGCGTGGAACTCTTGAGGGTCACGCTCGTTTTGGTCGCATTCTTGCCAGTACGTGTTGGGGAACTTGGCACAGATGGCCGATACAGCATCGCGCACTGTTAGCTGCTCCTCGCTGAAGCCTGTCAGTTCCATCAACGGGCGTGAAGCGCTGGTGGAGAAACCGCATCGTGTCGACGTTTGTAACGAGAGCGGTCGCAGGGGAGCGCCTCGGCCGGGCCGAAGTGACCGGCATAATCGATACATACAAGACATGATGGAAAGTCGTAAGCAAGAAAAATTTTTGAGGGTCTGATTCTCTTGACCTGGACAGGATCCTGTCAAAGGGAGTGGAGGGAGGGATGAAAATTGGATATATATAAAGCAGGTCAAGAAGACATGCGGTCATAGAATGCGGCGATGTACTATCCGAGGCGCATATAGCCTTCTTCCGCCCAAATAGCCGAGACCCGCAGATCAGCAACCAAAGTACAGCCTGGCCATCATATAAAGTGTTGTGAAATATTCAACATCAAATTCACACGCCACAAATAAATGATCCAATGAAAGAGAAAACCAACCAGGCATCTCACATCAACTTGTATACTTCACAGTGAAGGCCGAATCACTTTGCACGTCCACCTCCGTCAACACTTGGTTGCCCTGCTTGAGTTCGACAATCGATGCATCTTTCACTCCCCAGGTGGACCCTCCTCCCTCAGCTTGCGCTCCCCAGAACCTGACCTCGCTGAAGTCTGCTAGCGAAACCATTGAGTCCCCTGCTTGGAAGTCTTCCACGATCCAGTCGGCATTCTGACCACCAAGCGTCGCCGTCGCAGCAGGCGCGGTGATTGTCTGCGTCGCTTTCTTCCCCGTCGAAAGATTTTGAATCGTAGCTACGCCCTGACTAGGGGAGAGAGCTTCCACCTTGGCCACAATGATGTCTCCAGTGTTCACCTCAAGACTGAAGTCGTATGCATAGTCCGGGTACCATTCGAACCAGGCGTCATTGTACGTCTGCCCGTTGTCCACATAGAAGTCAATCCCTGTTTGGAGGATTGCGGCGCTATACGTGTCGCCATCGATTCCGACCCAGGCCGACCCTGCCTGCGTGCCAGATTGAGCCGTCCCCGTGGGTTCTGGTACACGGAAGGTTGCTGTCACAGCTGAATATGTACCTTGTGGAGGTGGTTGCTCACGCACAGCGCCCGCCCAGTTGCTGCTGTATGTGACAGTCGAGGAGGCTCCGGCTAGTCTGTATTCCTCGGAGTTTTTATCACCTGGAACTGGTGCTAGAGGGCGAGACTGACGGGAGAGTGACCGGGCTCGGATTCTGTCCGCCAGCCCACTGCGGGGGGCAGCCAGGACACTGCCAGCAAGTGAGGCGGTCGTTAAAATGTAACTTGCAAACTTCATCGTGAACGGCCAGAAACGAAAGGAACACAATTTGAGAGTGGGTATAGCGAAACAGAGAGGCGGGAGATAGCAGGTCTGTCCCGCAGGGCCGTGGACGCACGGCTTTATTATATCCCACTTATGATCTGCGAAGTCGCATGCGGATGACCTCTACTTATCGCCAGATTAGGAAGATTCTCAATAGCAGACATCTGGATCTACTTGCGCCATAGGAACATGACTCCATCACTGGCAGGTGTGGGCGACGTACGTCATGAAGGGTATAACCAAGAGGATCCACGAATGCTCAATTGGCCGTTTCACTAGCGATCAAGAGACCTATTTTTATAAGGTTTACCGTGGCTGCGCCTGGGACCGGCCAATTTACTCGGATCCAAGCCGGAACAAGTGGAAGCAGTGAGCACCTTCCCCGAATGGCACGCGGATTGCGTCAAATGAAGCCGCTCAGATGACGGGAAGAGATCGGCTTCAGATAGAGTAAGATAAATCTTCGACGGAAGAGGAGAGGATCGACGCGGTCGAAGTCCTGGTGATGGCGCTTTTTCTTTCAGACGACTGCATCATGTGTGTTATGATCGAGTCGTCTGCTGTTCAAGTATAAACACAACAAATACCTGGTCTCACATCCAAATGAACAGCCGCCAGCTGTAAAGCTAATTTAAAGTGAGCGGACCCGAGCCCTGGTGAGACAGTATCTGTGGTCTCGAAATCGAAGCAAATCAGCGGGTGACGAGTGCAGGAATGAGAAATCTCACATACCAAGCAACGCAAGGGAATTCCGGGTCGGTGGCATGCCCCGCGTGGTGCTGAAAGCATCCGCCCGATTGCTTGTTGATCCCTTTTTACCTGTCGCTTCTGAGGACGGACGCTCTTGTCTCCTCATATCTCTTCTCCTTACTCCGCATTTTGAGGTGCTTACCTCCAACGACCCGCAGACCCCAGAGCCGGGGCAATCCATCAGCCACGCTGGCTTAGACATCCGCTGACGAAATGAGACACTGTGCATGTTTGTGTCTGCAGAGTCAATGGAATGGTTATGACTTGGTACGTGCAGACGCCGACGAAGGTGTCTGTATCAGGTGCCTCCACCGCCATGGGTAACCCTGCCATGGTCTTTCAAGAATGCCGATAGGGCCGGTCATCCTGCTTAAGCTTGTGATACGTTGGATAAGATAAGGCTTTCGCCGCCCACCTAATTAGCAAGACTTGGTCTTGACCTCGTGATGGAATCATGTAAATTTCCCTGAAGAACGTAATCCCATAAAATTCTAGTCTAGACTCTATCTTATCATCATGGGTATCATCAGATCCTCAATGGAGGATCAGGTCTCGTTTATGTGTTCATTTCCAGCGCAAGGATGCTTCCGCTGAAAGACTGTCACACCATCCGGCCAAGGGTCTGGACTATCGTTGAATGCGACAGCATTGCTGGGCGTGACCATCTGCCGGATGCCTCGTCCTTTCCAGTTGTGAGGTTGCAATTAATGCTTGAATTAATCAAAGGTCTTGTCCAATGGAACACTCTTCTGTTCGACACATCGCACGGAAAGGAGAGCCGGCTCTGTGCCTGCCGGTCCAGAAAGAGTGGCTGCCTTGTGAATTTCGCCGTTCAGTTCCAAGGACATCGAACTGGGTTGTGGCGGGAAGGGCACGAAAACATCAAGATTCGCTCTTCGTGACATCAGCTGTGGCAGTTTCTCCACGCTTGGTAAAATGTCCCTGAATCCAGCAGCGGTACATCTTGAGCTTGCGTTGACGGTTAACGATCAACCGATAATCGACCCCCAGCTTGTTAACCTCAAAGACGCCCTTTTTGTCGGTAGCATCCTGCTCACTTGGTTCCTTGATTTCCTCTGTTGTCGCACTTGCAGGCAGGCCCTTCTCCGGAGTCCATTGACCCCACATGTTCTCTAATTCATCACGATCGAAAAAGTATACTCGTGTTCCATCACCACGAACGTAGAAGTTCTCGCCCATATAACGGTTTTTCTTGAACCGAACCTGCGCCAAGTCGCCCCGCCCGTAATCGCGGAACAGAACGTGTCCGCCCGGCTTCAACACGCGGTACACATTGCGAAGAGCCTGTTCCCACTGCTCCGGTGCCAAGGCAGAGAAGATGAAGATCAGGACAACGACATCGACGGAGCCCTCAGTGAGACCGGGAGGGAGCCCATTGCTGTCCTCATCCGGTTGTGCCGTAACATCCCACACATCAGCCGTGATATGCTTAGGGTTGTAATGCGGGCTTTCGCGCATGACCTTGACAGCAGTCTTTGAGAAATCGCAAGCATGAACCATGAGCTCCGGGTTCTCATTGTTTTCCAGCAATGGAAAGGCGGTGTTTCCGGCGCCAGCACCGACCTCCAGCACGACCTTTTTGCCTGCGTCGGGCTGGGTGACCTCCGCAAGAATTGGGAATTCCTGGCGGAGCCACTTCCGGTTCTTGAAAAAGTTGGCAGTGTTGTTCTTGTAGAAGAGATTCCACCACTTGGCGGGGTCGGCGTTGAAACGGGTTCTGTCGAAATCGGAAACCGGGGTTTCGCGCTGCTTGGAGTATTGCACCTCTGCGAAAGCCTTGAACTCATCATCAGGCTCTACATGATCCCAGGCGTTGAACTCGAACACATCGTCTCCTTCTTCCAGGTACCGGGAGCCGAACTGGAAGGGATCGCTCCGCTTTTGATTGTTGGAGGGGTCATGGGAGCGATGCGGGGCAATCTGGGGAGGGTTGACCAGTTGAAGAACGGTCGCAATATCGTCTGAGGGGGACGCGATCGGAGCAGGAGCCATGGTGACAAACTCCAGCTAGAGCCTGGGAATGTGAACCGATTGATTTGGTGTGGAGGCGAGTCGAAAGATTTCCCCCCTCAGTATGGAGTAGAACCCGATAAGAAAAATTACAAACTCTGCAAACACTAAGCGACAGTCATGTGATTCGCCGACCACGTGCGACACGATCCATGGAAGCCTAGAGGTTCTAAACAGGACACTACAAGGTGGAGGTGATATTTAACAGTATTATTTCGTATACATGATATTTAGTAGATACACTCGAGACCATTCAGAGGTCATAACAAGCAACACTTTTGTTCGTTTGAATTCGCCTATACAAAACAGTAGCCACGCGTGGTCCCAGACTTAAATCGACCCAAACTCATCCCAGAAGCCGAAAAAAAGAACATTGATATAAGACATAGTTTACTTTCGAAGGAATTTACGGTCGTAAGGAAGAGTGCAGAAAAACATATGTTTCCACCTTACTCGAGAGAATCGGTGATACAGCCGTGGCTGGCATCCTTGACGGTTCTAAAGGAACGTTAGCATGACAAACTTTAAGAGGTAACGTCGGATATTTAGACGATGCAATGACACCAAAGGATACATACCTAGCGTACTTGCCGAGAGTACCTCTCAGAGTCAGGCCAGTGGGGGGCAGCTTGCCAGCGTCTCTAGCAGCTTCCCACTCCTTTCTTCTCTGGGCGAGCTCAGTCTCGTTAACATCAAGATCCAGAACACGCTTTGCAGCGTCAATTGTGATGACATCACCATCCTTGACCAGACCAATGGGGCCTCCAACGGCAGCCTCCGGAACGATGTGTCCGATCAAGAATCCGTGAGAGCCACCGGAGAAACGTCCGTCAGTGATCAGGGCACAGGATTGTCCGAGACCAGCACCCATGAGGGCGGAAGAGGGCTTCAACATCTCTGATAGGAAATGATCAGCTAGTGTAACAACGGGAGGACACTTGAAACTGAATACGGTGGGGAAAAGATTGACTGTAGCGACTTACCGGGCATGCCAGGACCACCCTTAGGTCCAGTGTAGCGGATGACCACAACGGTCTTGTCCTCCTTCTTGATTTCGTTGCGCTCGAGCGCCTCGATGAAGTGATCTTCGTCGTCGAAGACACGGGCCTTTCCAGTGAAAACCAGGCCTTCCTTACCGGTGATCTTACCAACACTGCCACCAGGAGCCAAAGTACCTCTCAGGATCTGAATGTGGCCGGTTTCCTTGATAGGGTTGGACAAGGGACGGATGATCTTCTGATCCTCGGGGAAGTCGGGCACATTTTCCAGGTTCTTGGCCAGAGTCTGACCAGTGACAGTCATACCAGAGCCATCGATGAGACCTTCCTTGAGCAGGAACTTGAGCAGAGAGGGCGTACCACCGATCTTGTGAAGGTCAGCCATGACGTATTTGCCGGAAGGCTTAAGGTCCGCCAGGAAAGGCACGCGATCCGAGACGGACTGGAAGTCCTCAATGTCCAACTTGATGCCAACAGAGTCCGCGATGGCAATCAAGTGAAGAACCGCGTTGGTGGAGCCACCAGTGATGTTGACCACAACCATGGCGTTCTCAAAGGCCTGGCGAGTAAGGATGTCGGAAGGACGAATGTCCTCCTTGAGCAAGGTCTTGATGGCCTCACCGGCGGCAAGACATTCGAGGTACTTCGCATCAGACTCGGCCGGGTTGGAAGAGGAACCAGGGAGAGTCATGCCCATGACTTCAATCGCGGTGGCCATAGTGTTGGCTGTGTACATACCACCACAAGCACCACCTCCTGGGCAGGCGTTGCGGATAATGTCGAATCTTTGGGGCTCGGTGATCTCCTTGCTCAAGAACTGGCCATAGGCCTGGAAAGCGGAGACGATATCAATGTCCGCATTGTTCTGCATGGAAGCACAACCGGGCTTGATGGTACCACCGTACACCATCAAACTGGGACGGTTTACTCTTCCCATGGCCATCAACACACCGGGCATGTTCTTGTCACAGCCGGGAATGCTAATGTTGGCATCGTACCATTGACCACCCATGACCGTCTCGATCGAGTCGGCGATTAGGTCACGGCTCTGCAGGGAAAAGCGCATTCCCTTTGTACCCATACTGATGGCATCACTGACACCGACGGTGTTGAACTGGAATCCAACCAGGCCGGCCTTCTGGACACCCTCACGGACGCGGTTGTTGAGATCGAGCAGGTGCATATTGCAGGGGTTACCATTGTACCAGACAGAGGAAATGCCGACCTGGGCCTTGTTCATGTCCGCCTCGGTGAGACCAGCTGCATACAGCATGGCCTGGGAGGCACCCTGCGAGATGGGCTGGGTGATGTGACGGGAGACCTTGTTGAGACCGGTATACTCGTCATCGCTGGAGTTCTGCCTCGGCACAGTGGTCGACAAAGGGCGGCTAAGATAAAAAAGCTAGTATCAGCGCATGATATGGAAGAATTGAGATGAGACTTGTGTTCTGGGGTTATTTCCCATACCTGTTGAGCAAAGAGCGCTTGGCGATGCTCCGGAGAGCGGAGGGCATACGCCCCCGGGTTTGGGAAAGAAGCATTGCCGTCCTAGTGCACGCGAATCGCAGGACAATGGAGTAGAGAAGGGTGCAGCGGGGTGATTCCGTTCAAACACACGGAGAGACCTTGTGAACCCTCTAGCACAACAGGTGGAAGAAAATAAGTTGACTCAGGTAGTGTAGTGACTCCGGTAGCAAAAAAGGGCCGGGGCCTCCGCAGCGAAGTCGGGGGGCCGGAGTTGGACAGCGACTCCGGCCGCCCAATGTCCGCCAATCGATTGTCAGCAACAGGCCAATCAGCATTGCGGCCCCGCTGAATAATGGGGGGTTGTTCCCGTGACTTGCCTTGCTCCAGAGAGCTATCTTGAAGCGGACTAGTGGGTCGCCCCTTAGTTTTGCCGTTCCGAGAGTTGCACTGAATGCACCTTACCGCATTGGGAGGGCCTTCTATACAACCTTGAGGATGAACGGATTCCTTATTAAATACCTACTCTCATCTCCCGTCCTTATTTAAAATGCCAGATCAGTAGGCACATGATATTGCTCTAAACAAACCAGCGATGATGAGGTCTGCGTGAGCGCACGATGGACTCAAGTCGACTGTGGTCAGGCGGGTGGGTAGGGAGGTGAATCGTTACACTGTGCTCCTTGATTTTGCTCACAATTTCAATCTTTCCCGTGCTATTGCCGCAATGCCACCAGATCTTGTGAAAATTGCAATTGCCAGATTGTCTATAAACTGTAGTTGTCATGCTGTTTGTTCACTTGAGCTGGAGCTGATACGCGATCGCGGGCACTCACCCTTGATGCAAGGCACGCGGTAAGAATGCAGACGGAATGCAGGCTTTACTCGTGGAGAACCAAAAACATCTCCCAGATCACATATTGATCTAGAGGTTTATTGTCGACAATCAATCCCCGACGCGTCAATATTCTTGACTACCAGCACTGGATGTTGTTCAGCCTTCATGTGGGATGGCATCGAGCTCAGATATGGCGTCCATTGCGATAAGCGCTATAGGCCTTCTCTTAATCGCAGGCTGCAGTGTTCCTGCATCACTGCAGATTGTGTGGAGATTTATGCACGGCAAAACGACAACACCATCTCTATACGCTCTCGACAAACCTGGCTATGAGGATGAAGATGGGGAAGCTACCGACGGGACCTTGGAGGAATTCTCAGATCTCTGGCAGGGATTTGCTATAGCGGTACTATCAGTCATCGGGCTGGGCATATCGTTGGCACAGGCTATTCTTCCAATTACCACCGGTCAACATGAGTTTGTGGTTCCCTTCTGGCTGCAGATGGGGGGTTGGGTGAGTTTTGACACACATGTTCACATTCGCTCTTACCCTAACGCGTAGGGAAACTTCAGGGAATCCTTTGTCTACAAACAGTCGGCTTTTTCGTTGAACCAGCACCTACGAAGCGATACATATTAGGAGTATATGGGTTTGGGGCCGGCACAGTCGCCGCAATCATCCCCTGTTTGGAGGCTGCACTGTCTTGGCACGCTGGATACGACCTGAACTATGCGTCGCTAGGGTTAACAATAGGGCAAGTTGGGATTGCCTGTATCAGGGCCTTCTTTTGCATTCTCATTCCCCGACGTCCAGACGTGCGCTATGATGGCCAGGTGGTCGACCGAGAACGTACCGTGAGTGCTTTGGAACGGCTCACCTTCAGCTGGGTCAATGGTCTTTTGAACTATACCATGGCGAACAAGGGCTTGGACATTGATGACCTTCCGAAACTGCCATTTACTGCCCGTTCGCAAACCCTTCATACACGTCTTGAGCAGACCCAAGGCTCACGAGAGCTATGGAAATCACTTGTGCTGGCCCACAAGAACTCACTTATCATTCAAGCAGCACTGAGCATTGTCGCGTGCGCGCTAAGTTTCGGTCCGCAGGTGGCTATGTACGGAATATTGAAAGCTCTCGAGGGCCGCTCTTCAATTGCCCAGGAGGTGGATCAGGCGTGGGTCTGGGTATTCGGACTGGCAGCAGTACTCATTCTCGCCTCCAGCATCGAATCGTGGCTCTGGTGGATCATTTATGCGAAGCTCTGGATTCCGATATATGAGGGGCTTTCAGCCCTCGTGTTTGCCAAATCAATGCGCTGCAAGGACATAAAGCAGGTGGTATTTAACGAGCCCGAAGGAGAGGATCATGACTGTGAGGACGAAGAAGAGGAGAATAAAGGCAACAGCCAGAGTACCATTAACCTCGCCTCGGTTGACTCGAAACGGATTGCGGACTTCGTCATGTTCAACTATTTAATACCCTCGTGTGTGATTCGACTACTCATCGGAGCTGCCTTCCTAGTCCATCTCATCGGATGGCCAAGCCTGCTGGCAGGTGTCGCCACAGCCCTTTTGGTGGCTCCTATAAACGCTTATCTGACGAAAAACTATGCCGCAGCACAAGAGGATTACATGAAGGCAAGCGACAAACGGATGGGGGCTGTAGCCGAGGTTCTACAGGGCATCCGCCAGATCAAGTTTGCAGCGTTGGAACAGCAATGGCAGGACCGCATTACGGAGAAGCGCCGCGTCGAACTAGGGCTCCTGTGGAAGACGTCACTATACACTATTGGCATGGTTTCTGTGTGGATTATGGGGCCTTTGATGTTGTCTGCAGTTTCCCTGACTGTGTATGCCCTGACCCACGGGGAGTTGTCGGCCTCCGTGGCGTTTACAGCTCTTTCAGTATTCGGCTCTCTAGAGTCCGCGATGGCAAGCTTGCCTGACTTGCTGTCAAAAGGGATGGAGGCCAAGATTAGCGCGGATCGGATCGATCGGTATTTAAATTCGGCTGAAAAGACACCTCATACATCTGACGTCGACGAGATCTCCTTTCACAATGCCACGATTGCATGGCCAGGAGAGGAGGATGAAGAAAGTGGGATGGAATGTGCCACGGACCAGCGCTTTGTTCTCCGGGATCTCACCCTACAATTCCCTCCTAAGAAGCTAAGTGTGATTTCCGGGAAGACTGGGTCAGGAAAGAGTCTCCTGTTGGCCTCGATCTTAGGAGAATGCGATGTCTTGGCTGGGACCGTCGCAGTGCCACATGCTCCTTCTCCGGGGGTAAGATACGATGAGAGAGCCACACGCCACAATTGGATCATCGATTCAGCTGTGGCATATGTAGCTCAGAACCCCTGGCTGGAGAATGCCACGATCAAGGACAACATTCTGTTTGGCCTTCCGTATGACCGGTATCGATACCGCAAAGTACTTTTTGCGGCGGGTTTGAAGAAAGACATCACAATGCTGCCAGACGCTGATCTGACTGATATCGGCGCAAACGGGATCAATCTGAGCGGTGGTCAGCGCTGGCGCATTTCCTTTGCGCGTGCACTGTATTCGCGGGCTGGTATCCTAGTTATGGATGATATATTCAGCGCACTTGACGCTGAAACTGGGCGTCATGTTTATGAGCATGCTCTAACCGGAAAGCTCGGCCAAAATAGGACCAGGATCCTGGTCACACATCATCTTGGATTGTGTCTGTCTCGCACAGAGTACTGCGTCCTCCTCTCAGATGGGCTTATGGTGCATGCCGGAACTGTCGATGAACTAGCGGCCACCCACAACCTGCTAGACCTGTTAGGACAGACAGCTGATCCAGCAGACATCCATAAGGGAGACATGGTAGAGGAGGATTTTGCAACGCCAATGAAGCGTGTCTCCACTGGGTCCGGCTTTTCAGTAGCAACCAGTGTCATGGAGCCACCGAGGAAGTTTACTGAAGACGAGAAGCGTGAGAAGGGAGCTGTGTCCTTGGAAGTATATACGACATATGTGACCAAAGGAAAGTGTCTGCGCTTGTGGGTGCTGACCTTGCTGGCCTATGCCATTTTCATGGCGCTTATCGTTGGCCGAGTAAGTGTCTAATTCTGTTACTTGGAGTTACAGCTGACCTTTCAGTCTTGGTGGGTAAGCGTATGGACGGGCTCTTCGACTTCTTCGTCCCAGCCGGCAGACTCAGAAACGATCTCGAAAAATGCGGTGAACCAGATTGGCATGCAATTTGTCGACAAAGATTTGATGTTCTATCTCAGCATCTATGTGTGCTTTTCGGTGGCCGCATGTGTCGTAGGGACGTTGAGGACTCTGGTTCTTGCCCTTGCTTCCGTCGAGTCTTCACGGCAACTGTTCAATGACTTGTTGGTAGCTGTGCTGCGGTCTCCGCTGCGATGGCTAGACACTGTGCCTCTTGGCCGGATCCTTAACCGATTCACATCTGACATGTATATTCTGGATTGGAGACTCGGTTATGATATTGGGCACTTTGTATACAAGGTGTTGGAGCTTGTCGGGATATTAGCAGCAGGTGTATTGGTCTCCCCGGCGCTGCTGGTGTTTGCCTGTATCCTTCTGGTGTTGTGCCTCCAGCTGTCCAAGGTTTATTTGACCGGAATGCGCGAAATCAAGCGACTCGAAAGCACCGCCAAGAGCCCTGTCCTCGAGCGGTTTGGTTCCAGCCTAGTCGGACTCACTACCATTCGAGCCTTCAACAAGGCTGAGGTCTATATCCAAGATATGTACAGGCGTCTCGATCGCCATGCACAAGCGGCGTGGTACCTGTGGCTTTTGGATCGCTGGCTAGCATTTCGGATGAGTATCGCGGGCGCCGTGCTCTCTGCAATGACCGCGGCCTTGGTGGTATACGTGCCCAGCATCTCTCCGGCTTTGGCAGGCTTCGCAATGACCTTTGCCTTGCAGTACAACTATGCCGTGTCGATGGGTCTGCGTTTCTATGCCAATGTGGAGACGGATATGAATGCCACTGAGCGAGTGCTCGAGTACTCTGCCATCGAGACCGAGGAGCAAGGGGGACATAACCCCCCGGCAGCGTGGCCGACGCGCGGGAAGGTCGAAGTCGAGGATTTGGTCGTGGGCTACGCACCCGATCTGCCGCCCGTAGTTGACGGGCTCAGCTTTACCATGGAGAATAACCAACGGGTGGGCGTGGTGGGCCGCACTGGGGCTGGGAAATCCTCACTCACCCTGGCATTGTTCCGCTTCCTCGAGGCCCGACAGGGCCGCATCCTGATTGACGGTTTGGACATTTCGCAGATCAAGCTCCAAGTCCTACGCAGCCGCCTTGCTATCATACCGCAAGACCCGGTGCTATTTTCCGGGACCCTGCGATCTAATTTGGACCCTTTTCACGAGTATACCGACCTAGAGCTCTACAACGCCCTGGAAAGGGTACATCTGATTTCGTTCGAGGATACATTGACATTGGCATCACAACCGGGGAGCGAGCAACTCAGCGATAGTAGTACCTTGCCATCATCGTCCTCGTCTGCCTCCTCGACTATGGAGCCGGGAAAATCCATCAACTTTTTCGCGTCCCTGTCCTCGGTCATATCCCAAGGTGGACTCAATCTGTCGCAAGGGCAACGGCAACTTCTTTGCCTGGCGCGAGCCATAGTCTCGCAGCCCAAGATCATGATCCTGGATGAGGCCACCTCGGCCGTAGACATGGAGACAGAAACCTTGATTCAGCGGTCTATCCGGGAAGAGTTTGGACGCAATGCCACGTCGCTGCTGGTGATTGCCCACCGGCTCAGTACGGTTGCGGACTTTGATCGGATCCTCGTGATGGATGCTGGCAAGGCCGTGGAGTTTGGCACACCACAGGAGCTGCTCGGCATCGAGGGAGGCGTGTTTCGAAATCTGGTGGAAAACAGCGGCGAGAGAGCCCATCTGGAGAGGGTTATTAGGGGAGATGGGGAGAACGACTCTTAAGTCATGAGGTTTGTTTGCTGAGCACGGCGTTGGATGGATTTCGTGTATACTATTTACCGGTACAGTGTAGGTAGATCTTCTTGCAGAGCGAGCTTGATCCCGGGGATACTGTACGAGAGTGATTATAGAGCTATGAGCGACCCAGAATGTAATTGCGATGTTCTTAAGAAATGGCCTGGTATGGTATTCCCGTAATTACCAAACCATACCGTCGATCCGGACCGTTGGCGGCGACCCGATTGGGGCAAGCGCGGCGTGGACGAAACGGAGGAGAGTTTACGGTTCGAGGCAATCTGGCGCCCCTCCCCCGACTTAAAAGCTACGGCGCTCCTGCAATCTGATTCTGGACTCCATCCCGTGCCACTTACCTTTCCTACTCTGTTATAGCTGTAATCCCCTTATCCTGCGGTCATCTGTCATCATCACCCACACTTCAGCCTTGTAGCCATCCACGCACCCACTCAGCACTCACATGGGATCGGACCTGCAAGAGTCGCTGCCCCGTCCAGACCCCACCCAGGAAGAGCCCGCGCGGCCCTCAGGCTCCTCAGGCTCCTCAGGCTCCTCACCACCAGCCCCCGTGGCCTCCGCCGCTGCAGCTCCAGTGGACGCCGAAGATGACTGGGCTGGTCTTTGCGATCGGAAAGAGCGCCGACGACGACAAAATCGGCTGAACCAGCGCGCATACCGTGAGCCTCTCCCTCCCCCATCCATCATCCCTTTCCATCATCCTCTTCCCCAACTCACCCTCTCTCCCCAGGCAAACGCAAACAAGCAGAACGCAACAATGCCTTGGTCCCCCGACCATCAGCAGCATCCCAAGTCGGCGGCTCCCCCAACCCCGAGCACAGCTCATCCCCGGATTCCGACTCCTCCCTGACCCCCAAGCAATCCCGCTGTATGCTTAATGTCAGCAATGGTACCTCTACCCCCAGCATGCCTATCGACATCCAAAAACTCTTCGAACACTTCACCCGCGTCGCCTACGAAAGCTACTTCCGTGGCTCCCCATCCGCCGACCACCTCCTTACCCTCAGCAAGGTCAACGTCTTCCGCGCCTTTGTGGCCAACATGTCCGTCCTGGGTCTAGGCAAAGACACCACCTGGTGTCAAGACGACGATGCTCTCTCCCTCTTCAACACGCTGTCCCCCGACGCCATTGAAGGGAGCACCGACAAACTCCCCGTCGCCTTACGACCCACCAAGCTCCAAATTAAAATCCCGCATCACCCCTGGCTGGACTTCTTCCCGTTGCCCAGACTGCGCGATAATCTGGTCATGATGGCGGATCGGTTCGATGATGAGGAACTATGCCACGATGTCATGGGGTTCTGGGATAATGCGTCAGATTCATGCAGTATGTTGGTGTGGGGGGAGCCCTCGGATCCAGCGAGTTGGGAGGTCACGGAGGGGTTTTTAAGAAAATGGCCGTGGGTGGTACGAGGGTGTCCGGAGTTGTTGCAAAGTACAAATCGATGGCGGCAGTCGAGGGGAGAGAAGATGATTATTAGGTATTTGTAACATACCTCCGTGCTCTCCTCTTAGGGTGGAGTTGGGTTTATGTGAGATGAATCTGAATGTGAATATGTATGTAGTTGTCTTGTTGTCCGTTTCAATGATTTCCCCTCTTTTTGTTCCAAAATCCAATTTCAACTAGAGTCAACACTACTCCGTACATTACGTAGATATAAGAACCAAGACCCCTGTCAATTCATAACCCCCTCCCCCTTCACACCACACCACACCACACCACTCACCCACACACCTATATACCACACCCTCACCTATCCAGTCCGCAGTACTTCCACGCAAAACAGTCCCCTCCACACGTCCCAATACAACCAAAACCTAAAATCCTTCCCCTTCTTACCCTCCACAAACACCTCCCCAGAAAAACCAACCAACCAACCACCCCCTCCTCCTCCATACTCCTCCATACCTTACGGAGTACTGGCTAATGCACTCTGCTGACGCCCAACGGGACCGAATCCACGCTGATCAGGGCCAGAACCAATCACGGCCCGAGAATCGAGCGATCGGCTTGGCGGGTGTCATAGATTTGTCAGCTGGAAATCAGTGGGGTGGGTGGTTTGGGGGAGTCTTTACGGGGGTGTGACGGTGTTTATTACGGGGGTGGTTGGTGGTGCCTGAGGTGTCGCTTGTAGGTATTAGGTATATGTAAGGTGGGATGGGATGGATGGGGTGGGTTGGATGGAATTATTAGTTACTCTTACTCTCGCCTGTTTCGTGAACTGAGAGCAGGATAATCTACTTTGTGTCAAGGTCTGTTCTTAATATTCCTTCTCAGTTATGATTACTAGATGTATGCTATTAGGTATCATCTACTCGAATGTCCCATCCACGGGCAATGACCAGCACCGATCCCATGATCCCCTGATGGAAACAGTTAGAGAATCACATTCTCTCGCTCGACCTTTTCCACCATCTTTCCTAGGGCATCTGCCACGCCATACGAAAAGGCATACCCGCCTCCGCCGAAGCCGTACGCAGACAGGATGATGCGGCTGCCCTGCTGCTCCGAGTCCAGGCGGAATCCACCCTGTCGTGACGGCCGGATGCCAACAATGTAGCTGAGCGCATCTTCGGAGGGATGCTCGGGAACGACTTCCGGTGCCAGACGATGAGCGCGTGCGATCTCATCTCGGGCAATTTCCATGTCGGGTTCGGGTGATCTGTTCATGGTCAGTTGTCGATTTCAGTTGAAGTATCCGCATCACACTTACAGATCGTCTGCTTGTTTGACCCCCCCAAGAACAACCCCGTGTGACATGGGGCGAGGGATCACGTAGGTATACTCTTGGCCGTTTCGGAAGTACATTGTGTGACAATTGTCCGTCTTGTAGAACACATTCTGGCCCCGCTCGGCGAAACATTTGTCATCCTGCACGTCCTTGAGGGTCTTACTCCCGATCCCGCTGGCGTTGATGAAGATGCTGGACTCAGGGAACATGCGGTATAGTTCCTCAAGGGACTCCACCCGTTTCCGGATGAACTGGCCGCCCAGAGCGGTGATCTTCTTCCCGAGATATGGCATATGGAGTGTGGGATCGGTGACGAGGGTTTCGTACGACCATCCACAGCTAAACCCTGAAGGATATTCACCCGGTAGGAGGTCACACCACTAGGTCTCATGTCAGCTTCAAGGTGCCTGCTGCTGCGATATTGTTTACCTTGGCAGCCACGGTCTTCCCCCAGGCCGAGGAGTTCTCGGAAGGAGGTCGTTCGACATACTCGAGGGCATCAACAATACTGACTCCAGACTCAGGCTCCTCCTGAGCCATCTTCAGCAGGTGGCGATGGCTGATGGCCTGCAGATATCGCCATTCTGAACTGATCCCGCCCGCGGGGTGCCATGCTGCTCCGGCCCAGGCAGATGCATACCGAAAGTCTTGATCTCCTGGTAGGTATTCGGCGACCAAGATCACTGGGAATCCATTCAGCAGGAGCTGTCGAGCCGTAGCACAGCCAATAATGCCAGCACCCAGAATGATGATCGGGCGTTGGGCAAATGGGACATTGGGGGTGTCGGCGGGATGTTGGAGCTCGCCCATCTTTCCAGAAGGATTCTGTAGCCCACTACCCGTCAAAGTGGAGTTGGCAGAGACGTGAGGTGAGAGTAGCCGGGAGAAAATAACGGTTCAGATCGAGAAGAGGAAAGGGAAAGCCTTATGAGAGGCAAATGATGCAAGAACCCATCGAAGAGACCGAGCGGTACAGACTCCATCACGCGGGGCGAAGTCGGAACTCTGAATTAGATTCATGCTAACCCGCCAACGTGATACCATTCGTGACCCTCAGGGTATATGACCCGAGCCGCTGGGCGTCCATCTGAGCGATCAGCCCCGGTTGGCGAGAATTGTGTAGTGGGTTTGGGGGGCTTTTCGGATCGAAGCGCCCAGAAGCCAGATCCGCCAGGCGGTTCGACCCGACCAGCGGGTCGAGCCGCTGCTGGTCAAAATCGATCTTTCGCCCTCATTTGGCCCCGATGTTCGCCAGCGCGGTCAGTCCATGGGGACTCGTCAGCTCCAGGTAGCTCCTGCAGCCCTAATAGGTTCGTGGTGGATAATCTCATCCCCAACACGGGCTAAGGGCGGTCCTTTCCGACAGGCAGATACTATACTCGCAAGCGGCGATTGACGTCGACGTGTCATGTCGCATATCGAAACATCCGGATAAACGATCCGGTCCAGACGATGGTAGGATGATATGTTGCGCGAACTGTCTTTATAATCGAGTATGAAGCTAGCGCACATCTGTCCTTCTTCCATGCACATTGCGTCGGCGTTGGGATTCTGCGAACAGACACAATCACAAAAGCTGATCGCTGCCGACGCACAGCTCGTATCCATCTGAATGGAGATGACTCCACCTGGGATAGCACGTCGTCGAGCAAGCGATTGCTTTGTCTGCAGGCCGTGGGGCTTTGGCTGTCGCAGCTCAATCGGACTCGTAAAGGAGGTGGACCTGTCTGAATGGGCTGAATGCCTGCGTACGCCCGACGCTTAACCACCTCACCCCTGTCATACTTCAGTTGGAGAGGCCAAAAACAGGTTGGAGCATCGGTGTTCACCGAGATGCGCCGGACAATCAAGATGGCTCGGCAACTCGGCAGTGACCTGGCATCGGTGAAATGCTCGATTTCTTTCAGGATATCGTTTTTGGCAGCCTGCTGTCCATGCAGGGGTGACGGATTCGATGCACATGAGTTCCTCGCGTCGGGTGGAGCACCGCAGGAAGAAAAACTCGTCCTTGATGCTTGGAATTGCCTTGGTTGGTGCAAGATTGACAAAGCGGCAGAACGCGGAAAGGAGCGATTGGCAGTGAAGAAGTAGGAGGAGCCACCTGGACTCCTGGAGAGGGTCCGATACGGGGCCGAGAGGTGGTGCGGAACGACAAGCCAGCAGCTGTCGGCCCCGGTCACGGTATCGGTTAGGATCCCTGCAATAAGTCCGGTTTTATTGCTGAGCTTGGAAGCTTCTGTTTGCCCTCGTTTCAGGCTAGTAGTGTTATCTGCTAGGCAGCCTCATTGAGGGTGAGGTTGATTTCTTTGTCGAAAACAGAACGCCATCCTTCGCCTAGAAGAGCAATTCATGTTCCCGACATCGGCTGCTGTCAGTTCCACTCAGCGGGCAGGAGGTCCGAGTCCTTACCGGATAAATGTTACAAGATACGATTGCCCCCGGCACAGTATACAACGGTTCTTGATCGCAGTGACAGCAATTCAAGGATGGATATCACAGATTCCATGCGTATGTACGCTATATAACACTCTATGCACAAGAACATTCACATAACTTCATCATATATTATCACGCATCCACATCATAGCGCGGACTTCTCCCAGACAATCTCCTTGCCATTGAGGCCCTCCACGGCTGGAATCTGAGGACGCAAAGCCTGGCCGTAATCTCCCGCATTCGGTGTGCGCAGCAGAGTATGAATGTGGAACTTCTTCGGCTCCTCGTTGTTCAAGAAGACACCGGAGTGGTGGTCGAACTCGATCAGAACCACGGGGCTCTGGAGCCGGTAGTAGAACGGATCGCTATCACCGTATCCACCAATCCAGCAGAAGTAAGTCTCCGACTCGTACTGGCGGATCTGATCCAGCTTCAACTGACGCGCCCGGGCAGGGAGGTACAAGAGGTATTGCTCGAAAATGCCGTACATGTAGTTCTTCTGTTCCGCTGTGAAGGAAGCAACCGTGATGCCCTCATTAGGTACTACACGGTTGTCGCGGTACGCACCGCACAAGTGGCGCTGGTCATCGCGGTTCCAGCGGCCTGGTGGCATGGCAGGATCATGCATCTCTGCATACACGCGAGCCTGTTGCTGAAGCTCCGGACTTAGGGACTGCATCAGTCGCAGGCCAAGCTCCTCCTCCACCTGCATGATCCGAGTGCCCGCGTACGGGCCGTCATCAATCTCGTTGGGCTCCGCGCCGGTGAACCAGGGAGAGGCGACAATCTGACCCTTGTATAGGAAGATGTTGAGACAGAGGTGGTGGCCGTAGAAGGACCAGCCCCACGGCCGTGTGGTCGACGGACGACCAAAAAGGACAAAGTTGTAGGAAAATTCATTCATGACCTTGGTGGACTCGACCAGCTCGCCGAGAAAATGGTTGATGCGCATTGCCTTGATCGCCTTGTCGTAACCTTCGGGCGACAGGGTGGCCTTCAAGACATTCAGGATGGCATCACGCAGCTTGGTGTCAATCTCGTCGAGTCGCAGACCCTTGTCGGCCAGAAGGAACTCGGGGTTCGACCAGGTCCGCCATTCAGGGGAGTCAATGTGGTAGGACAGCTTCTGGCGCTGCTTCTCGTCGGCGAGGGACAGCACATTCTGAGTGGCTTCCACGATGGTGCCAATTGGGACATCCTCGTCTTGGAGCGTGAACAGGCCGGGACGAACGTTGCCTACATAATTGAGGAGCATTAGCGTCAACTGGTTGCTGTGCGGGGAGTAGAGGAAAATGACATACCATCCGTGGTGACGCCCTTGAACGGCTCCTGCAGCAAATCCACCCAGTGCATGTAGAGGCCATGCAGCCACGGGGGGTTCTTCAATGTCTTGAAATCATGTGCGTATTCATGGGCATCTTGACCTTGCATCACCTGGAAGCGCTTTAAACTCAGATCGGGCAAGTATTGACGGTACTCGCCCGTGGGCTTCTCCAATTCAGCAGCAGAGTGCGACATGACGGATGGATGGCGACCAGAAGACACCAGGGTTGCAGGAGGGGAATGAAGAAGAAGACAAGGAGGGGGAGGGGTAATGGATGAGCAGGCAGCGCGCGTAGTTATAGCTGAACGCGCAAGGGGTCGGCAACTGCTTTCCGCGTGTTCCTGTCAGTGGTTCTTTCCCCATGGCGTCACTCCCCACGCTTTCTCCACGCTTTCTCCACGAACCGCCTGCTTTGTCCCCACCGTGGGAGGTGGGGAGCGGCTGTTGTCTTATCCGTCTCCTCTCCTCCCCGGATTGCCGGAGACCGTCCCAGTCTCTCGGATGCCTTGCATCGCGGATTATCAGAGCAAATAGTCATCTATTCTCTACCCGTCGGATGCACCAAGTCCTATGGAGTACGGAGTACAGCAACACGACAACCCCCCCTCCCTCAGACAAGCATCAGGCCACCTCTTGGACATCCCGACGGCTCTGTATACAACCGTCTATCGCTCACTCGTCCCACGCCAGATGCGCCCTCAACTCCCCCAGGACCCCACTAGCTTCCCCCGGATATTCAAACTGCGCTAGAACGTGTTGGTCCGGTCGGACCAAAATGGCGTGGCCCTCGGCCAGTCTCGTCAGCGCCATCCACCGTCCGCCACCTCCGGGTTGAAGGTCAAAAGTGCCCCCGCGGCTAACCATCTCCATTTTCAGACCAGCACACTTGCCGGGGACTTGCCGTTTCACCTCTTCCAGAATTGGCCCCCAATGATCTGCTGACTTCACGTCCACTATGAGGGTGAAGGAATCGAACCCGCACAAATCCAGTGTCGAGTACTGTTTCAGCCGAAGCTCCTCAGGAGACAGCTCGGCCACATAGGAACAATCGATCGGAGGGAGTCGCAGCTTATCTGGGGTCAATAGTCGGATCCATGCGTGAGGTAGACGAGCCCCCGGAACGCACACTGGTTCATAAATCGAGGCACAGTCTGGCCGTCGATGGTCCCCGTACACATAGCCCACATGGAGTCCAAGATTGTCAAAATGCTCCCGCTGGCCCTCGATGCCTTTGTTGATCTCCTTCATCATGTGCGGATCCTCGATGTTGCGATATAGATTTTGTCTCGCGACTTGAACGTCAGGGTCGGTAGTTCCGAGCGTTTTCAACAGTCCAAAGATCTGCTTCCCATTCTTGACGCTCTGCTCCGAGTTGACACAAGCAACTGGTCGCCGATCAGCTTCATAGCTGTCCAGAAGTCGGTCGCCTCCCCATCCATGATGCACCGCGGCGAGCTTGTATGCGAGATTATGGACATCTCCCAGACCGTTGTTCAGGCCTAGTCCTCCAGTGGGTGGGAATGAGTGGGCAGCATCTCCGGCTCTGTAGAATTGCTTGAGTACAGGCTCGGTTTGGTGGGGACACGGCACTCACAGGAATACCCGGTTCGCTCGGTAGGAATGCGCAACCTTTCTGCTCAAAATCCAAGGTCGATAGCTCAGCACATCGTATGGGATCTTGGTACCGATAGCTGCATCGACAGTCTTGCGACAAAGCTCTTCATCCCATGTCTCGACTGGATGCTTTTCAGACTATTGCCAAGTTAGCTTGGGAATGATTATTAAAGCAACCAACAAAGACAAATGCAGTTGTACAAGACCGGAACTCACATCGAAGTTGCAGATCAGGACTTGGTTCCCTTCCAAGTTATATCCTATGATGAAGCCGGAGACTTCGGGGTCCATCACCCAGTGCAGCATGCCCACTCGCTCTTGAACCACAGGGTGCAGGTTGGCATTAATATGAATTGTCATCATTGTTTCGTCTATAGTGATTAGTTTTGCAACTTCATGCAGGTTTGTTACCTACAGGAATCCTCGCCCTCGCTCTCGATTCCCAAGAATTTCCGGACAGCACTCTTGGCACCATGGCATGCAACTAAGTGACTGCACTTCACTATGTATTCTTGCTTTGTGACACGATCTTCAATAGTGGCTAGGACATGATCACCGCCCTTAATCAGATATTAGCAAGAGCTCAGACTCTGCTTGGTCTTCAAGGACCTACATCGACAAGTCGGACGACGGAATGATTCTTGCGCATCTCCACCAGGTTGTTCTTGAGTAACTTCTTTGCGACCAACTCCTCAAAATCCGGTTGTGGGATGTTGTGGATCATCTATCCACATGAGTAATCTCAACTCCCAATTTCTGGAATCTATGTGTTTACCGTCGGGGTGCTCTCCAGGACCTCCGGGTCCATACGCTCGTACGGAAGCCTGCCCACCTGCTTGCCATTCAAATGAGTGATGAAATTTACCCAGAATGCCTCTCTCCGACTGGTCCCGGTGTTGCGGATCTCGTTCACATCTAGGCCGTATTGACGGCATAGTTCAAGCGATCTGGGGGACAACGCATGGGCTTTGGGCGCATCTAGTCTGGTGGGGTAACGTTCGCACAACAAGGATCGGACTGAAGAGCCTGTTAGCTGTTCTGCTCCGTTGTGAACTGCTATGTCAAGGTTATTCCATACCTCCAAGCTGGGCGAGCAAGTACGCAAGGAGCAGGCCGCATGGGCCTCCGCCTACAATCAAGATCGGGACATCGTCGTCAAAACCGATCTCTTCCTCAGTGGGAGACATGCTAGTTGCGTTGCGTTCAGCTGTATATACAATCGTTGTGCCACTTTTCAGCACATTGTATGCTTATATACTGACATATGAGGAGGCAGGACAAGTGGGAAAGGCTGGCATCCTACGTAGTGTGTTGTCCTCGAGCTGACTGGGTCCCTGCTCCCCCACTCGGGTGGGAAACTTACAAAGAGCCCAGCCTTGCTATGCGGGGATGCGATTTCGTATGCTACCTTGCTGCTATGTATGTCGCGATTCGACTTCTGTTCCTCGTTGAGGATGCTATTTCTTGGTGCTCATCTACCCCCCAGTTTTCCCCACTTTGTTGCTTGCCGGACATCCCCACCGGCTATTTCCCACCTGGAGGAGATCGAGGCCGACTGCCGGCCGCCCACTCCATCTTGCTCCGACACGACGAGCCCATTCCCTTTTCTCCCAAGAATGGCATCGATATCGTGGGCAGGTGTCAAGTCTATTTTTGATGATCTATGGTTTCCGCGGTCATACAGTGATAGCCGCTTGCTGAGCGTCATTCCCATTATCACGGCTGGCTGTGCTACTAGACACGCTCGACTGCCAGTCAATATGCATCGCCGTACCTATGATGCAGGAGTATGCACCAGTCTACCTATTAAAAAGCCGTTTAAAATTGCTGGATGACCGACATGCAGAGTAGGAATTGATGCTGTTGTATGCTCAGTATACGAGTCGCTTACGTAATTAGTGCCTAGTCCGAATCTGTCCGGCCGGCCGCCTTTTCTATCTTTCTCCCTTCAATACTCTATAGACCTGCAGCATCACAATGGCGTCCCTCAGATCCTCCGCCTTCCAATCTCTGCTGCGGAGCCGGAACACCTTCCTGCGCTCCCAGCAGAAGCGCTGGGCCCAAGTGCATGATGTCCGCTTCCTCGCCACGCACCACGACCCCAACCAAGTGCTGGAGAGGTACCGGGCGAAGCTGGACGAGAAAGCCCAATCGTGAGTCGACTGCCGCCACAGCCATGAATCCAACTACTCACCAGTGCACTCCAGCGAGGGACACGAAAACATCAACTCCTTGAAAGAGGCCTACAAAGAAAAGATCGACGACCTCCGCCAGAAAGCCACCACTCCTCTTACGCCCGAACCACCCAAACCCTCCGCCGCCGCTCCTCCTCCTCCGCCTCCACCCACTCCCCAAGCTCGTGCCGCGACCGCCGCCAAATCTAGCGGCATCAAGCCCCTCGACTCCTTCATTGACGTTGAGAAAGTGCGTGGCCTCCCGCCCAAGGAAATCGAAGCCATCTGGCGTCTCCGCCACGCCGGAAACTCCCATTCCATCTGCGCCGTCATCCCCGTCGAAACCTACCAGCGCATCGCCGCCGCCGCTCGCCAGAACCCTCAATTTATCCTGCCTCTGCCGCGCACTCAGGCTGAGGGAGAGGACAGTGCTGAGAGCAACTCCGGCGCCGACATTCATTTCCTGCAATGGGCCTTCCACCCACCGGCTTCGGCGCCGTCTACGACCGCCTCCCCGGGTTCTTTGGCCAATGCGCATACGTCCACTATTATCTTTACGCCGCTGGCTGCATATAAGTTGCACGGAGCCTTTGCGCAGCCGCACACGACAATCACACATCATTTGGACTTGGCGGATGAGAAGGGCCTGGTTCTGATGCATGGACAGGTGATGCCGGATTCTGGAGTGTCGATCACCGAGGCGAGCTGGTTGGTGAGCTGTGTTCAGCGGTTCTATGACTTTGGGGGTCAGGCTAGTGGCCGCAAGGGAGAGTTGCTGCGCATGTTCACTGCTGGTGATGTGCAGGGATTCAAGATTGAGGAGCTGATGGCTGAGGCGGAGAAGTTGTGATGAACTATCTGATTTGTGAATAGATTGTACTATATGTGTTTGATGATGAAACTCCCTTGGCTCAGCGTGTGGACATCCTCCAGATATTGTCTTTTTTCCTCCCCTGCTGGATTCTCCTCTCGATCCAATACCACCGTGCATAACCCGGCTCATTCTTCCTTCTCTTGCACTACGACCGTTACAAGGATCTTCTAATAATCACCGTATATCACAAAAGTCTGAGGTTATAGTGGGGGCAGTGTTCACTCCTTCTGAGCACCAACCCCTACAGCATCTTGAAGGTGGAAGTGAGATATGCCCAGGATCACACCATCCAGGTTACTATCACACCGAAGTTCGCTCATGCCACTCCCTCGGCATGCTACTCTAGGAAGCTGTCAGGTAGGAATCTGATGATCTACAAAGGTCCCTATAAAACGTTTGGTAACGCATCGAAAGCGCCTTATAAAACACCTCCCTAGACCTCAAATTATGGACCGCACATGGGGCCTCATGAAGGGCATTACGAAGGCTGCTTATATCTCGCTGCAATCATGCGCTTGCCTGAGCGAGCTGTTGGCATCACGGCCTCTACATAGAAAGCTCAAGCGGTGAATATATTGCGGAATGTAAACCCAAGCCTTTCCCGAGAAATAAGGAGGGGGGAAATGGTATGAACCCCGGTGTGGCTATTGACTGACAGTCCGAGCAAAGGAAGGGTTCAAAAGTCGGGCGATCATGATGGAGTTCTTGCAGCAGAAACTTGAAGTGAGAGTCATCGACTGCCTGACCAAGAGTCGGAAGGAAGGCTGCTCAAGTCAGCCACACGTTCCACGTGATCTGGGAGAACAATAATCTTATAGGTTACTGAATCTCTCCGCTTGCCCCTGTGCAAATCGTCTTCCTTTGACTCTCTCTCCTCTGGGCTTCTTCTCATAACGAGAGTCCAACTACCTTGATAGCTTGCCTCTCAATGGGACTGGAATCCCATAATTGTTCGGCATATCCAGCCACGAAAGACTAACTAGTATGGCGGCAATCCAAAAGACAAGCGAATCAACATATATTTTTCTCAAGATTGCGGACAACACATTAGATGATATTGACAGACAATTTGGGTTGGAAAATCAATTAGATCTTGATTCTAGTCCGCCCCCGCGCTATGGACTTGGGGCACTCGAGAGGCTCCCTCTCGAAATCATCCATCTGGCCCTCATGCAGCTTGACATCCAATCATTCACTGACTTTCGACGCGTCAACAAAAGAACCAGGCTGATCACGAACTCGATCCCACAGTACAGAAATATCCTCATTCACACACCAGAACTGATTCGCGGGATCATCAACATAGAAACGGCACGCAATTTCTCATGCCAGGACCTGTACAAGAAACTATCCACAGCCGAGTGCGACCATTGTGGCGAGTTCGGGGGCTACCTATATCTGGTCACCTGCCATCGCGTCTGTTTACTGTGCTTCACGGAGGAGACCGACTATCTTCCTCTGTCACGGAAGGATGTGATGCGCAAATTTGGACTGGAGTCTGAACTACTAGCAAATCTACCTCGCATGAGAAGCTTCCCTGGCCGTTACTCGCCTCGAGAGATCAAATGTCGACGACATGAGACCTTATTCGACCATTCCGCTGCCCGACAAGCTGGAATTGCCGCTCACGGGACAGTTGACTCGATGGAAAAGTACGCGTCGGAAATGCTCTCCAAGAAAATGGAGGCCTACCATTCGCGATTATCCATTCGCGGGACCAGGGGAACGCACCCGCGGCCACCCAGAACGGAGGATCCCTTCGATGCACTATGTTGTAATCCCAGGCGCTTCATGGGCATTATGCGCGCGCCGTTCTTTAGTAGACAAATGGCGTCTCCCGAATGGGGGTTCCACTGCCTTGCTTGCAAACCCCACCATCGTAGCCGGACACTGCATTGGCGTCGCAAGTATACGGGTAAGAGTTTCCAGGATCATGTCAGAGAATGTGGGGAAATAATAGCGGGGAAACACGTTCGCCAAATAAACCAGGAATAATGGGCACGTATACCAAGAGACAGTGGGAAACAACTAAATAGCTACTACCCGAACAAAGAGGATTTCACAAAGATCACCGTCTAGGTACTCATCCCCCTCCATCCAGCATCCTCCTATCTGTGCATTTCATCCTTGCCGGGCTTCACCATATGCCGTACACACATGTGGACCGAAGGATCCAATGGTCTCCATCTCATGGGAGAGCATTTGACATTCGTGCCTCGCCGTTCCTCGCATTGTTCGAACTCCTCGGTCTTTTTCACAGCCACACGTGTACATCCGGTACCATTGGATACACATCTTGATTGACTGCATCGTCGATCAGCAAAACATGGACATCCATGTGGGATGGTGTAGCCTTACGACCTTCGATGTCTGGATGAGTGATCGGGTCGATGATGGGTTGCTATCCCGTGGCTTATACTATTTGGGATTATCAGTGAGATGTTTTGTCTTCCATGTCAATGATATCACCAGGACTCCACAACAAACTTACATGGTAGAAAATCTCTCGCAAACAGGCTCTGGCGGGACTGCAATTCGAGACGAGAATGTGAACGGTGACATGGCGTCTTATATGTCATTCTCTCTCCCCGAAAGGAGTACGCCTTGAAGTACACGATCAGGCTGAGGACCCAAAACCAGAGGGCGCCTACGCTCTAAAATCTTAGGCACCTATGAGTATAGGCGCTGATGATTCATATCAGTCGTTGGAGGTCCGAGCATGATGCAGCCAATCCACGCTTTTGTGGAGCCGCTGGTTTGGCGATAAACACAACCATCCCACTTTCAACCATCTCAAGAAGGGCGGGAGAACTGGGTGAATCACCCGAGAAATACTTGCTGTGCCGCTCTCGGATCCCAGAGTCAGGGTCCAGGTGGTTCCAGTGAAGATAGAATGAAAGAACGATTGGGGAAAGGAACCAAACCAACCGAAACAGAGCGCGTAACGGAGGGGATACTTGGTAGGTTCTGGGCTGCGGACGACCGACAGTCGCCCACAGCCTCATCTATCGGAGGGCTCGGGCTATTAGAAGAGCCTCCTAGAACGCCTCGCCAACTGCCTTCCAAACAGCCTTGTGAAGTGCGAATTTGCAGCGCTGGGGGGTCGTTCTTCCCCGCCGTCTCCCCTTCCTCCGAGCCGGCGGCCATGCTCAGCGCGTAATATGTCAGGTATCTGGATGTGTCCGACAACTGGCTCTTGCGTCTATCAGAAGCATGCATTACGGGGCATGTTTGTCGCTATCCTAGGTATTAGCAAGGCGGCCTGGTGAAGGCGGCTGGCCAAGGTTACAACCTGCGCCCTCTCCCTACCTGTCACTGTCTAGACCAAAAGCCTAAGCTATCTTTTGAACTTGTACTTTAGGTGAATATGTAGAGTAGGCTCCAGACCTTACGCCATAGAACTGGTGCCTCCCGCTAGTACTTTTGCACTACTCTCAGCTCTTGTGGGCTTTTCTTGGTGGAGTGCGCACATTAGGGAATCTTTTAGCTCGGGTTGCCTTCACGAAAGGATGGCCAATAGGTTGACCCAACATACTATAAGTGAAAAGTCAACTACATTACAGTCCCATTGAATTGCAATTCCAGGAGGATAACAAGCGCCAAGGATACGAAAGCACAAAGTTGTTTCTAGGGGGAAAAGAAGATGCCAATGTTAGAGAAGACCGCCGCCGCCTCTGCCAGAGAGATCCTTTAAGCATGCAGTTAGATCCTTCATCTCTTGCAGGAGCACATCGCGATCGTCACATTTGCGAGCCGTGTCGAAATCAATCAGCGTAGCTTTCGAACCGCGAATAAGAAAGTTAAAGGGATTTGTATCGCCATGTCGAATCCCTAAATCATGTAGTCGAGACAATACCTCTCTGCAAGGTTTAACATCCTGAGGACCAGCGTGCCGCGCGTCGGTTATATGTTCCATCAAGAACCCAACCACCCGGCCATGTTCTGTCAGATGGCCAAGGAATCGGGGCCCGATAGCATGACTGGATATCCATTGATATGCTGTAGTTTCGTTCTCAATGTATCCAATCTCCCAAGGGAAACGGGCGAACTTGGCGACGACAGTCTCAGCGAACAAGGAACACCTGGCTTCATAAATGCCCGTTCGTAGTTTCCGTCCGATTGAAAACTCCAAGTAGTCAACGTAAGTTTCATGCCAGGTGTTTTGAACCCCCGGGAACTGGGTCAGGTCGACGGATGCAAATTGCGGTCGATCGTCGTTTGGATCTTTTGCGATTAACCCATCGTTCCAATTCCCCGAGGGAAGCTCAGGCATCATGGAGATTAGTGAGGGACCGAAACACATATCCTCAGCGCTGTAAATGCCAGGTTCAATAGTAATGTATTTGATAGATCGACCGTCAACCAAAAGGCGAAAGAAGCTTTGGTCGTTCTCGTCGACTTCGGCCTGGAGTAAGTCGATTCTTGGCTGGCGACTCATGTTGATGGGCAAGGATAATATTGGAGTCAAGATGATGATTTCTAACTTACAGCAGGATCAGTATCTTGCACCCCTTGTGCTATTTATGTGTCGATGGTGACCGGGCGGCAGGATGCTGCGCTCGTATGATTGGCCAATGAAGCTCCAGGTCACGGCAGGAGGCAATGGCGGCGTCTGTTAAGCCTGGGTGAGACTGAGCTCAGTTGTACTAATCGCCACATTAGAACTTTAGTCCATGCAAGGATAGGACATGATATATGTATACTCTACTGCGTCCGTACTTTCCTCCTCGTACGGAACACCGCAAGGCCTGCATTTTCCTGTATAGTAATCCAGTAACAGTCAAACACAGCCGGGCTCCTGACGACACACTCACAAACTTCTATCCATCCCTATCTGACCAGTGCAAATACCGGATCTCTTCGCCGCTGGCCGTCGGACCACATCAGCTTCATGTTCCAGTCTCAGATCACCAACTGGCATAAACTTCTCTTGTTCTTCCACCCCCAATACAATACCATACCAACGCTCACACCATCACCCACCCTAACCCACTCCCGTTACAAATACCCGCAACGGTAAAACACACACCATCCCACGTGACCGCCACGCGCAACCCCGCGCGCCCCCAACCCCATGAATCATCGACAACCAGCCAGCCAGCCTATCGCTCTAGAACCCGGTCCATCTATCCTTCCATCAGTACAGTGACATGGATCCGTAGCATTCAATATCCCCAACTATCCTCCCATATCAGATGTTGAGTTCCCAACCAGTCCAACCCACTCCGGAATAACTTTCCCAAAGAAGCACTAGTACTAACCGTTAGGATTTCTCCGGGGAGGAAAGGGAAGCCCGGAGCCGGTCGGACGGACGGACCGGTCGGGGCCTGCTAGTCTAGTCTAGCTGGAAATCGAACATCATCATCTTTTGCGAGCTGGTTTTTTTTACCTTTTTGTTCCTTTGATTTTTTTCCAAGTTTGGTGGAGAGGTGTCGGGGATATTTTTCGTTACGAGTTATCTGGCACCTGCGGGAGCTTCGCCCTTCTCTCGTTTTTTACCCCCAACACATCCCCCCCCTCCCTGGACCACGGTTAGGTGTTGCTCTTCCCCAGGAAAGGTGGGAGAAAGGTGGTCCTTATCTCTTGCTTTGCTCGCGCGTGCTCGACTCGCTCGGCCCCGGCTTTTTGTTCGTTACGCTACGCGCTGCCCGGTGTTGTCTAATCCCAACTCAACTCACGTCACTGGCACGAAAACCCCGCGGTCATGAGTTGAGAACAACGCACCACAACTCATTTGATCTCTCTCCCTTCTTCTTTTTATCTGGTGCTGGACGTCCCCTTCTCTGCACTACTCTAGATTAGTGAAATACAGTCGCAGTCATGGCGCGCAGATATATGATTCCGTGGCTGTACGACCTCGGAGTGTGGATTTTCACCCTCTGTCTCGACATCTTCTTCCGCGAGGTGTATTCGCGCGGCGCATGGCGGATTCCCAAACGCGGCCCGGTCATTATCGTCGCCGCCCCTCATGCCAATCAGTTTGTAGATTCGATTCTGTTGATGCGCATCCTCAAGCACTATGCCGATCGGAGAACGTCATTTTTGATCGCCGAAAAGTCCATGCGCGAGCCGTACATCGGCACCATGGCCGGCTGCATGGGCGCCCTGCCTGTCGTCCGATCGATGGATCATGTCAAGCCCGCCAAGGGCGAAATCTACCTGCCGGACCCTGAAAATAACCCGACCCTCGTTCGTGGCATCGGCACCGACTTCACCACCGATCAGTTCATGGTCGGCGGCTCCGTCATTCTCCCGCGTGTTGGCAAAACGAGTCCCGAACAACAGGCTATCGAGGAGATTCTGGGTCCGAATGAATTACGACTGCGGAAACCGTTCAAGAACTTCGAGAAGGATCACCCGCTTTACGAGCCTTTGCGCAAGGGTACCCCGTTCAAGATCGCCCCCCATATTGATCAGAGCAAGATGTTCGCCTCCGTGTATCAGGAGTTGATCGCGGGTGGTTGTATCGGTATCTTCCCGGAGGGTGGAAGTCATGATCGCCCCAGTCTGCTTCCGTTGAAGGCTGGTGTCGCTATTATCGCTCTGGGAACGCTCGCGCAGGATCCTAACTGTGGCCTCTCCATTATTCCTTGTGGCATGAACTATTTCCACCCCAACAAATTCCGTTCCCGTGCGGTCGTCGAGTTCGGTAACCCTGTTCAAGTGCATCCGGATCAGATTGAGGCTTTCAAGGCTGGCGGTAACTCGAAGCGCAACGCTGTGGGATCTCTGTTGGAAACAATCCAGGAGGCACTCACTGCGGTAACCCAACAGGCCCCCGATCATGAAACGCTGATGGTCATCCAAGCGACACGCCGACTGTACAAGCCCTTGCGAATGAAGCTCCCTTTGCCCGTTGTGATCGAACTCAACCGACGCCTGCTCAAAGGATACACCCAATTCAAAGACGAGCCCAAGGTTCTCCAGTTGAAAAAGGCCATCTCCGACTATAACCGACGTCTCCGAGCTTTGGGAATTCGGGATCACCAGGTTGAATGGGGTGATGTGAAGCACCGGCCGTGGTGGTTGGTCCTGGGTACTTTGCTCTACCGTGTGGGCGAACTGCTCACGCTTGCAATCGGAACCTTGCCATCCGTGGCCCTGTTCTGGCCGGTGTTCGTGACCGCCAAGGTGGTATCTGTCAAGAAGCAGCGCAAGGCTCTGGCCGGCTCTGTCGTCAAGCTCGAAGGCCGTGATGTTGTTGGAACCTGGAAGATTCTGGTGGCTATGGGATTAGCGCCTGCCCTGTATACCTGGTATACCGTGATTGTGACCATCTGGCTCCATTACTGCCGCCACGACGGGCACTACGCCTCTGTGGTGCCGTGGTGGATGAACGCCAGGACGTATATCCCCGACGCGATTCCCCTCACGCTTTTCTCCATCTTCTTTTTCGGCCTCATGATCTCCGTCTCGTTCGCGGGTCTCCGTATCGGCGAGATCGGTATCGACGTGCTGAAATCCCTGCCTCCTCTGCTGGTCGCCCTCGACCCGAGATCTGCCAACTCGCTCGCGAAGCTCCGTGCCGAACGCCAGGCTCTCTCCGCCCGGGTTGTCGACGTAATTGACACCTTCGCCCCCGAGATCTTCCCCGACTTCCAATCCGAGAAGCTCATCTCGCACGAGCACCCCGAAGACGACACCTACCAATCCCGCCTCAAGAGCATGCCACCCAGCGAACCGGAGAGCCGCAACCGAAGCAAAGACCGGACCAGCCGGAGCCGATCCCGAAGTGCCGGATTCCTATACGACACCATCCTCAAGCCCCTCTCCATCAAATCCAAGGACGATCTGGGCGAGGTCAACCGGCGGATCCGAGACTCGATGCAAGAGCGTGGTCGTCAACGCGTGCGAAACGAAATCGACCCCGACGAAGACGTGGTTTCTCTGGACGGTACTGCCAGCGTCGGCAGCGGGGACATTTCGATCGAGGAGCAGAAAAAGACGAAATAATTCCCCCTCTTCCAACTTCGTACCTGTCACCGAGATGTGACACGCACGATCAGCAAAATCTGATAACCACGATCATCACGATCCAACACAAAAAGGCCTCTTATAATTTTTCTTGGGCGGGTTTCCGTAGCATGGCGTGACCCTATTTGGCGTTTGCGAAAGCATCTTTTCCTCCTCCTCCTTCCTCCCTTTCTTCCTCTTTTTCCCGCATGCTTGCCTTTGTCCTGTTCTTCTTCCCCGTTCTATCCTCTCTCGTGTGCTGTATTGAACCAGGCGCTACAACCACGCATGTCAGTAATGAGTTGATTCTCTTCACTTGCTTTCTCCTGCTTGTTTTACCCCTAGTATGCGAGAGCCAGAATGAAGATATTTCACGAATGACTGAATCTGTTGATGTCAAACTTGCATAGAAGATACATTCATCCACAAGAGAGATGTGAAATTTTTCCACCCTGAAGTATAACCTGGGAAAAGTGGAAGATTGTGTATATGTGTGGCAGTGGTATTCGAGAAAGAGAAGTGGGGGTCGGATTTCAGCTCAGTTAGTTCAGTGTACGTAGTAGTGCAAGTCCAGTTTCAGCCAGCCAACCCCGACGGCAGAGGCACGGGAATGCCTGAAAAATGAGACACTTGGAAGGCTCAGCTGGAACCAACTACATTATTCCGGGGCGGCGCCCGAGGTCCGAGATGGGGGGTGCACGTGCGGGCTGAGCTGGGACGAACAAGCGCGGGGTTGGGCAGTTCGGGTTCTTCGCTTGGTGGTGGCGGTGAAGGGTGGTCGGGTAAGGTGTGCTTCTCCATTCAAGGGGCTTACTCTTTACGAGGTATCTAGTCATGTTCACATGCTATGCTGCTTGCGATGGAAACGGTATTTATGAATTCTTTATTTCTAGCGAGGTGTATAAGCAAAGCAAGTCTACATCGTCGCTTGTGGGATGGTCTATGCGCTGATGTATAGGCTGTTAATGTCATTAGTAAGGTCGTCAAAAGCGGGTATCATGCCAGTCGTCTGAATGAGATGCTTAGGGATATCGTCGAAGAAACATCCGCTTGTTGGGCTGTCAACAGTCCGAAACGGGAGAGTAGCGAACGGAAAGGATAAGATGATTAAGCGCGCTTCTCGAGAAGCAAGCCTCCCGAAGGAGTCTTCGTGCTGAATCCGCCGTCGCGGCTGAAGATCTTCTCGCCACGCAGCCAGGTCTCGCGGACCAGTCCACGAAGCTTGCGGCCCTGGTAGGGGGAGCACTTGTTGCGGAAGAGCATGGTGCTGGGCTCGACGATCCACTCCGCGGTGTCGTCGAAGACACAGATATCAGCATCGTGGCCGGGGACCAGGTCACCCTTTTGGTTTTCCAGGCCCACTTGAGCAGCGGTGTTGGTGCAGCACAGTCGTACAACGTCCTGGAGGGCCTGTTGGGTGATGGTTTCGTCGGCAGTTTTCAGAGCTTTCCGACGACTAAGCTCCGTCCACAGGATTGGGAGGCCAAGGCCGACGGACGAGATACCGCCCCAGGCGGAAAGGAAGCTGCCCTCATTGTCAACTGGAGTACCCTCTGCATTGGATGTGCAGCCGGGAACGTGGGATGGCAGGAGTTTAAGATCAGGAGTGCAGGGGGAGTGGTCCGAAACGACCGTCTTGATCACACCGTCTTCCGCATGACGTTCCAGTTCCTCCCAAAGAGAGTCCTGATTCAGCTGGGAACGGATGGGTGGGCAGCACTTGTGGCGGGTGTCTCCATCCCGGATCTCCTCTGCAGCCAGGGATAGGTAGTGGTAGCAGGTTTCCGCGGTGATAGGAACCCCGTCCGCGCGGGCCTTGCGCAAAAGAGGGATAGCCTCCATGGCGGACAGATGGACAATGTGCAGAGGGAGCTTGGGAGCCAGGTGAGACAGCGAGATGATCTCATCCACGGCACATGTCTCAAATGAGGACGGACGAGAGGCTAGGAAGGTTGAATATGCCTCAGGGGGGCCTTCGAGCGCTTCGTCCTTCTCCACGGACCCAGTGGAGGGTGGCAGCATTTCCGCGTGGAACATGAGGGTTGTGGGCTCATCAGCCAGTTCAGCCATGGCCTTTCGGATGTCTTCCGATGACACAGCGGGGAATTCGTCAACCTACAACTGTCAGCATGTACACGCCTCGACAAGGTGGGAAGAAACCTACCCCACTATCGATGAGAAAGCCCTTGAAACCACGAACACCTTCCTGGACCAGGGCTTTCAGATCGCCAGCATTGCCGGGAATGATGCCACCATAGAAGCCAACGTCAACCCAGCACTTCCCTTGAGCAGCACGGAGTTTCTCCTTGAAGTTTGCCACTGTGGTGGTGGGGGGGATAGCATTCAGGGGCATGTCAATGACAGTGGTGACACCACCGAAGGCGGCGGCCTGGGTACCGGTGTAAAAGCCCTCCCATTCGGTACGGCCCGGCTCGTTCAGGTGGACATGGGCGTCCACCAGACCGGGGAGCAGAACGTGGGGAGAGTAATCAGTATAGGGGGTGCCAGCAGGGAAGTCAGACGCCGGAATCACCACATCGAAGACCGCGGTGATCTTGCCGGTGGTGCGGGAGACCACGATGGTGGCGGACGTCAAACGGCCGGAGATAACGGCGCGTGACGAGGCGATGACCGCAATGGATGGTATCTGAGAAGCCTCCATGATGAAAGGCCAGAAGGATTGGGCGCTAAAAGATCCGGGGATGCAACGAAGGACAAAGCTACAGAGGAAAGGAACCCGGGGGTGGGCAAAAAGAAGCTGACGGCCAAAGTTAAGAGGCAACGAGAGATAAGACAGAGACCGAACAGGAAAGGCTCCACCACGGCGAGAGGCAAGGGATGAGATGTCTGATAAGAAGCGAAGAAACGAGAGGACGATGAGCCAGGCTGCGATAAGGACTTTAAATGTCCGCGCCGATAAGCTGGGCAGGCATTGTCTTGCGGCGCCGCAGACCCACGGGGATCGAACCTAATAATCCCATCGAGTAACAAAAACTTGGGCCCACCCCATGGCCGGATCCACCGGCTGGCCAGCCTGGCACCTTCATTGTTCACACCTGACCGGATGACTGGGTTGCAGGACCGGACCCTTTGTTATCGCGATATCGATAACCGGGGCTATAAGTGTCAGCCACCTCCCTCCGTCGCGGATAGGGTGCCTTTTTCACCGGAGGGCCTCAGTTCTGTACACCCTCATTGTTGCCTCTTCGGGACGCAACGCGCTCATGGGGCAAGTGAAGAAAATTTCGGACTTATCTCCTGGGCCACTTAGAACCATGGGTCGGAGTCGGGCGCCTCCGGCATCCGCCATCGGGCCTCTCCTGCAGTGACTGATTGTTCTGCCTCACCGCTGTTACTCGATCAAAACTCCAATCCTGCCCCATTTAGGTATTTCCTTTACTCGATCGAAACCCTCCCGGAACAAAGGGGACAAAGGTCATGGGGCCTCGACTCTCCCGCTCCGGCTGTTTCGCGCATCTACCCCTCCGCAGGAGGAATTCTCGCTGTTGACATTAGCCGGGGTAGTTTCCTCCTCTCCTTCCATTTGTGCATGTTTGTCCCGATAAGAAGCATTTACAAGGTAAAGTCAATTGCATGGATCGCTTCGCTTACAGGCCCGTCATCCATCGACCGGGCTGATCGTGCCAAAGGATCGGGGATTTCCGGGCCCTGCCGGCTCCGCTCGAACCCTGCGATGGGAGATGCAGGTGGCTAGGGATTCAGGTCTGGTCAACGCTATAGACAGGTATTCTGTGTCTTGGCTATATTCAACCAGGGTATACTGGCATAGATTGGCAATAGGGAAATAGGCTGGCACCGAGGGTAAAAGTGGGAGGTTGACCCCGAAGAAAGCCGATCCACAGTGGGGAGAGGCAAGAGGCAAGAGGCAAGAGAACAGAACTTCCGAAGAAGCAGAGAAGAGTGAAGAAGCCCCTGGCATTGTGGGGAGCTGACTAACACCCATGTGCCGTGGGGCGGCTGCCACTCGTATCCGTGTTACGATTCGTAGGCCAACCCCGCCTTCCCTTCAGTTTGCTTAACACCCCTCTCTATCGTCCAGGATGGCAAACCGTAGTGCTGCAGAAGGCCTCATCTAGATTCCAGAGCTTGGGAGGCATTCTAACTCCATGGTGAATAGCCTCAAATGGTTCCTCCGATATATTCCAACTGATTAGGCCTGCCGAGTTCATGATGATGCAAGTGGTCGCACTCTGGAGTCCACCCGTCAGCTCCGAATTTAGACCTTGTAGGCGTCATCGGTCGATGATTGCCCGATTAGCAACATGTTTACTTTTGCATGGCGTAAGGATGTACAGCATCCATGTCTTTCTTTATCCATGTATCCACCTATGACTTGAAAACGACTGTTGGAAGGGATCCTTGTTCCGTAGTAAAGCGGGGTGAAACTGTGAAGGCCTGATTCACTTCGAAGTAATCTTTTGGAGTAGTCTTTGTGATAACTCGTAATTAACTCGTAAACAACAACTTGTCCCTGTTCCTGAGCGTAGCCGGCCCAGCCAGTTGTTTGGTTTGTTCTGATGACTGAGAAGGGCCATCACATGATCTCCATTCATGCCTTCATGAGTGGTCTGTGCCCGTGCCACCTCTGGCTGCACTCTGCACTACCCTCCAGGCCAGGGGAAGTGGCCTGTCCCAGTCCGCGGTTCTCAGATGCCCCTGACTCATGTCATCCTGACATCTGTTTCTTTGGTGTCAACTGTCAACTGTCGACTACGCGACGCTATAGCTGGATGCCATTGCGCTGGGACCACCCTTTCCAATGTGCCTCGGCAAGCCGATCCTCGGCCCGTTGCTTCCGCACCCACCTGTGGGATCAGGGATTAATAAGGTACTATGGGCCTGTGGACACTGGACACTTGAGGTCCTCCCTCATGTTGTTGAACGCTCTTAGTTCATCATTCTAGGACGCCTGAGAACCTCACGAGTTCTGCAGCGTGCCGATCACAGAACTCGTGTTGACCTCGGCTTACTAGGTAAATTAGTTTAGTAGCTCTTCTCTTTGTTGTCACGATCGTGGAATCCTCCCTAAGCCTGGTCACATCGGTGTTCCCGGTCATCTGGCCGCTTACCCGCTCGTATTGGACTGACCTCTACCCCGTAGGTGACTTGGTTGCCCCGTTGGGTTTCCCACGTCGCTCCGAGATGAAAGGGGCCTGTTCTGTTGGCAGGGTGCCTTATTGGAGATGTGGCAGAATCTAACTTGCCTTGAAGACAAGCTCTGATACGAGTCTGCCGGACACATGCCTGGGCATTTCTACAAACAGGCAAAGAAGCGACCAGGTGCGGGGAAATATCGCGTCAATTACCCTATAAGGGTCGAACGATGAAATTGTCGGGTTTTCCGACGCGATGGGATTTCCCTCGGAGGACGATATACAGGAGAAACAAGCTGGCTCACAAATGAGGTGCTAAACGCTGCAGATGATCGACTGGCAGTGGACCTGGCCTCCGCCCAAGCTCGTGGAAGATACCGCATTGCGTATGGTCGACGAGCCCGGTCGTCGAGATTGCCCCCTTGTGATATCTACACGACATACATTGCGGCTGCGCCTGTATACCGGTCCGGAGAGCTCTCCGAACCATGGCCAGCATGATTCAATATCATTAGCTTAGCGATGAGCGCGATGGCTTGAATCAGGCAAATCGATCTCTGCCGGTCGGAGGCTTCTCACGAGCTGCCTATTCGGGTAAGCATCGTCTACTTGCCCCTTCGCTCCATCTCCTCCTCTTTAATCTTCTTGTTCTCGCAGCTTTTTGCTTTCTTTCGTCCTGACTTGTTTTCTTTCTTGCTCCACGTTCGCTCTCCTCTTCCTTCTTCGTTTCTCCTCCTCTTCCTCCTCTCTTATTCCCTTCTCCTTCTCTCATTCCCGCCTAACCTTTTCATTCGCCACCAGGCAGGTGCACGGTCAATCCTGGCCGACGATACGTGATCCGCAAACGATCGATCGATCGAACGGGCCAATCAATCAGCGCACCATGGATCCGCTCGCGTCCCTTCGTCGCCTCGTTCAAATTCACCCTCTTATCGACAACCACGCCCATAATCTCCTCGCGCAGCCCGCGGCCTGCAACTACGCGAAATACCCCTTCGAACAGATTACCTCGGAAGCTCAAGGCCCCGCCCTGCGCAATGCTCCGTCATCCCTGCCTCTCCAGCGCGCCGCCGCGCAGCTGGCAACCCTCTACAATTGCCCATCGGCCGATTGGGACCGTGTGAAGGCGGCTCGCGATCTATATGTCGAACGTGACTATGATGGCCTGATCCGGCGGTGTCTGGAAGGAACTCATAGTCTGCTCCTTGACGATTTGCTTACGGACCAAGATATCGAGCCTTTTAGTTGGCATGACCGTTTCACCACCGCTCCGACTAGACGGATCGTGCGGATTGAAGTTGTGGCCGCTCAAGTGCTTTCCTCCGTTCTGTCCGAAGGCTATGATCAGTCCACGAGTGACCCTACCATCCTTCGACAGTATATGGGCCAGTTCCGGCAGGGATTCTTGGAGAGAATGGCTGAGGCTATCGCGGACCCCGTGGTGGTAGGCTTCAAGTCTGTCATCTGTTACCGCACCGGATTAAACGTCCAAGTGGCCGATGACAGCGATGACAGTATCCTTCTCGAGTCTTTCGCTCGGACGATATCACAAGGGTCCGGTTCCTCATACCGTGTGGAGGACAAGCCGCTGAACGATTGGCTGGTCAGGCAGGCCCTCAATCAGCTTCAATCTGCCAAGGAGAGTGATCCCTCCGCACCCAACAAACCACTGCAGCTACATACGGGGCTTGGTGATAATGATATAAACCTGATACTATCGAACCCGGCCTATCTACAAGACTTGGTGGCCCGCTATCCGAAGGTGGACTTTGTGCTCTTGCATTCTTCCTATCCGTACACCCGAGAGGCTGGCTATCTCGCCTGCGTCTACCCCAACGTCTATCTGGATCTAGGAGAAGTGTTCCCCATGGTGAGCCGCGATGCTCAAGAATCCATCATCCGGGAGAGTCTGGAGATCGTGCCCACCACCCGTCTCTTGTGGAGCACCGACGGCCATTTCTTCCCGGAGACGTTCTGGTTAGCAAACAAGCAGTTCCGCGATGCGTTGGAGAAGGTCCGTCCCATTTCTTGTATGTTTCGAGTTCGGATGTTAACTGTTGACAGGTTCTTGTGGATTATGTGCTCCACGGTGACCACACCATCGATCAGGCGAGACTGGCTGCTGCTGATATATTATTCAACAACTCCAATCGCCTGTATAGCTTGAACGAGAAGGCTTCCTACGATGACAGGCTGGTTCCTGCCATCAAAGCTCTATCCGAACCATCTTCACCCGACACATTTGACAGCTTCATGCAGAAGAACCCTGATATCAAGTACATCTGGATGCAGTTCATTGACTACACCGCGACTACTCGCGTGCGTATGTTCCCTGTCCGGGAGTTTGCCAAGATTGCCCGCAAGCAACGCCGCATTGGCATCTGTCTGGCGACTTTCCTGATGCTTCAGGATGATTCTGTCTGCCCAGAGGGTTCTACGACCGGCCAGTTCTACATGGAACCGGACCTCTCCAGTCTCCGCCGTAATGTTGGAATCGACTCCAAGAGCGCCACTGTGATGACATGGTGGCGTTCAGAGGAGGGCGCGCAGCTGGAAGGGTGTCCACGAACCGCCCTGCAGAATGTGGCGACTGATTTGAAGGTCAAGCACGGAATTGAAGTTCTCTGCGGGTTTGAAATCGAGGTGATACTGCTCAAGTGCATCACCAACCCGGATACCGGCGAGGAAGAGTTTGTTCCATGCGTCAAGAACCACTCGTGGTCCCAAATGACCCGGGACACCAGACGCATGGTGCCACTGCTCGAGGAGATTGTCGAGGCGCTTGCATCGGTTGGCATTGATCTCGAACAGTTTCACGCCGAATCGGCGCCCGGACAGTTTGAGTTTGTCTTGCCGCCAGGTTCACCCGTCGCGGCAGTGGATACTCTCCTGAAGGCACGACAGGTCGTGACCTGTGTGGCTGAACAACACGGGTTCCGTGCAACCCTTCACCCTCGACCATATTCTCATGCTGCAGGCTCAGCTTCACATGCACATGTCTCGATAAACCCAGCCACTCAAGAAGAGAGTTTCTTGGCCGGTGTACTGCAGCACTTTCCGGCCTTAATGGCCTTTACCCTCTCGGGCGATGTCAGCTACGAACGCGTCCACTCGGGCCTTTGGGCTGGCAGCGAGTGGGTTGCCTGGGGAACTCAGAACCGTGAGACCCCCATACGAAAGATCTCTGCCGGACACTGGGAGATCAAGTCACTGGATGGTCTGGCCAATATGTACCTGGCGATGGCGGCGTTTTTGGCTGCAGGATCCTTGGGTGTTCAGGAGAACCAACCGCTGACCATCCGCGACTGTTTATGTAAGTTCTTCCCCAGTGTTGCTCTCTACGATGCACGTATACTAATTGGAGTAGATGATGCCGCAACCCTGAGCGACGCTGACCGCCGTGCCCTTGGCATCACCACACAACTTCCCAAAACCCTGTCACAAAGTCTCGACCACCTGGCCGCCGACCAGGCTCTCCGGGATGTGCTTGGTCACACTACGGCCGAGAATTATATCACCGTCAAACGGGCTGAAAGCAAAAAGCTGAATGCCATGGAGGCCGAAGCGCGGCGGAAGTGGCTCGTCGAGCGATATTAATTAGATCTGTACATAGATAGAGTAACTAATCCACGATACCCTATAGTCTACCACTACCAGCGTTTCTACTGCATATCTGCAACACGAAGTTCCCAACACCACAACCGCCCGTCCAACCCTCCACACCGTAACTTACTCTTTTAGTACCACCATTGACTCATTCCCCTCCGTAATCGGCCCACCCATGCAAACCACCCAAACCCCAACAATGCCTCTCACGTGACAGCATCCCCAAACTACATTGAGTCATTCCCCAGAGCTCCCAATACTTCTCCCATCACCTCTCTCATCCAACCTAATTTCCTCCACAACCATGCCCTCCCCTATCCGCATGGCCGCCGCCCGCTACGGGTCAGCCACCACCACCACCCGACACGCCCTCCGGCGCTACACCACCCAGAGCAGCGCCACCACGCCCCCAACCTCCCCCTTCGCACCCCGTCACTTCCTCTCCACCGCGGACCTGACCCCGACGGAATTCGCAACCCTCGTCCGCAACGCCTCCTCCCACAAACATGCCCTCAAATCCGGGCTCCCCCTCCCCCCACACCTCCGCGGACCCCTAACTGGCAAAACCGTCGCCATGATGTTCAGCAAACGCAGCACCCGCACCCGCATCTCCACCGAAGGCGCCGTGGTCCAATTAGGCGGCCACCCGATGTTCCTGGGCAAAGATGACATTCAGCTCGGCGTGAACGAATCGTTGTACGATACGTCCGTGGTGGTGTCTTCCATGGTGGAGTGTATTGTGGCTCGGGTGGGCAAACATGCCGACGTTGCGGATTTGGCGAAACATTCCACCGTGCCGGTCATTAATGCCCTCTGTGATTCGTTTCATCCGTTGCAGGCCGTGGCGGATTTTCAGACCGTGTTTGAGCATTTCACTGGGGGGAAGGGCGGACAGAAGGGGCAGGGGTTGGGGTTGGAAGGGTTGAAGATTGCTTGGGTGGGTGATGCGAATAATGTGCTGTTTGATATGGCTATCAGTGCTGCGAAGATGGGGGTTGATGTGGCGGTGGCCACGCCCAAAGGGTATGAGATTCCGAAGGATATGTTGGAGATTATTGAGACGGCTGGGGAGGGGGTGGAACGGCCGGGCAAGTTGTTCCAGACGAATGTGCCCGAGGAGGCGGTTAAGGGGGCTGATGTGTTGGTGACGGATACGTGGGTGTCGATGGGACAGGAGGAGGAGACGGCGAAGCGGTTGAGGGATTTCGCTGGGTTCCAGATTACGCCGGAGTTGGCCAAACGGGGTGGTGCCAAGGAGGGTTGGCGGTTCATGCATTGTCTGCCTAGACACCCCGAGGAGGTCAGCGATGAGGTGTTTTATAGTCATCGGTCGTTGGTGTTCCCTGAGGCGGAGAATCGCTTGTGGGCTGCCATTTCGGCGCTGGAGGGCTTTGTGGTGAATAAGGGGAAGATTGAGTAAACGTTTTGTGGTGTCGTTGTATAGTATACTCCATGTGTGTGATTAGCAATTGATCTGGTTTGCATCCTTCCAAGACATCACTTCACATCAAATCAACTCTTCCTACGTCATTTGTGTCTGTGGACTAGTAAATACAAACAAAACTCACGTATACTCCAACTCGATGACATGATAGAAAGGCGAGTCTGTTTACTCAGAAGCACTATTATCAAAACTCAATGGAAGTCCAGTATGTCAAGAAGTCAATGAGGATCATCTCCAAGCATATCATGGATATATTTACAGTCCCGTGGTCTGTCTGGCTTGGAATCATGTGAGGATCCATTTTACGAAGCTTTCTCGGCGGGTGTGGGCAGCGGGCGCCTTGGAAGTGCGGAGTGACCTTACGGAGTACACTATCAGATATGCATGCGGGGCTTTAGAAGTGTTTTGCTGTGTCGCGATTACGGAACTGCTCGCGAGACGTACTGGTTGGCGATTTTGACCTATATGTGAGAGTTCGTTGACGGAATGGATATTCTTGATGAAGGAAGTCTGAGAGAGGGGCATAAACAGTTTTATCGTGCTTTGAAATTGGGGCGATCCGGGGATGTATCCTATTTTGGAGGACCTTCATCGGGATTTTTGTAATGTGGCGGCGCCTGCAGGTAAAAGGGGGGTTGAGTTGCATGGCTCGGGTTCTCTTGGTCCAACTGTTTTGCTTTTCCAGGCTGGTCTTGCTAATGGAATGAAAGAGCTCTTTTAGGTATCGTAGTGTTCGACGACCTCTCGGCTTGGAATCAGATGGTTGTTTTCGAAGTCTTTATCAGCCACCAGAACGTGTAATGATCCGAGGTATAATCAGGTAGAAGTATGTCCCTTTAGAGAACTACTGAACAGCGTTTGTGAAGACAAGAAGAGTTTCCACTTACTTATCTAGCTATATACCTATCTCGGCATCCCGGCTGCGGCTGCGGGGACGGGGAACCGTCGGGAAGCCGAATGTGGAGATTCTGAGAATCCGGGGTTGGCGTTTTTGGTACGTAATCTATCCTTAGATTAATAATGTCTTACTTTATAACTAGGTCTTAGGTTTCAGACAATAGCAGTATATATTGTATTTGTGTGTCAAGATCCACGTAGGCCAAAAGGAATATATCCCTTCTTAGCCTCGGGCGTAGAAGGTAGAAATAAGCATGTCTCAACATTGTGTATACTCTCATGCCAACGTACAACTCATCTACTCATATCAAGCATCATCACCTCCCTGTGCCGCGCAAGACACTGGTTTCTGGCTTGGCATTTTGAGCAAAGTCCTTGTCGTTTCGCATCACATACTTTCTTTATTTGCTAGTCATGGCGGAGACGTCTAGACCGGAGAACAATGTCGACGTAGGTCTTGTCGTGGCTGTAGAGTCTAAATTTGCACTTTAAGTGTCTTGATCGATTTATGAGTGTGTTGATATGTTGGTATGTTGTAAATGGCGGTTACTATCACGTTGAGGCATGCAGGGTGCGAGAAGAAGGACATAGAGATGCTGGAAGTGGGATTATGTTGGGTGAAAGAGCGCTGGGAGTAGTTGTATGATTGTATCAGAAATCAGTGGGAGAAGTCATTGTCAGAGAAACAGCCCAGGTGATATGGCTGTCGTATGTCCCGGTGAGACGAGAAGTGGCTCATCTCGGTAGGTGTATGGAAACTTCCGCATTAATTCTTGACTCCTGGAGCAGGGCTAGGAAGTTGAGTGGAAGGAAAGGGGTCTCTTCGGTGGTGGCTTGAAACAAGCACCTGCCAGCATTGATTCTCAGTTGACCTACGCATCATGCATGAAAACTGTCCAGATGTATATCCGGATGCGATCAGAATCCCTTGCCTACGGAGAGTATGAAAGCACATCCGCGAGAAACCCCGTGTTGGCGTCCAAGAGATTCTATACAATACTATACAATCTATTCTAAGTATAAGCCGTCTACAACCTCAATATCCCACCATCACGATCAATCCCACCCCGAAAATGATCCGCAATGACCCTACCACCCAGAATAGTCTCCTCCACCACCCCCTGTACATGTTTCGGCTCTATCCGTCCATACCAAATGCCCTTGCCCGCCAACGGATGCACCGCGGAAGAGCCAGCTTCCTTCATGTCCGGGGGGATATACACAATCACATTGCCAGCGTACTTGTGTCCGCCCACGTGGCTGATGAGTCCGATATAAGCATGTTCCGGACTGTCGACGACATTGTGATCGCTGTCTACTGAGGTAAAGCCCTTAGTCTGCAAGACGCGCTGGAATTCCTTCTCCAGAACCGGGGCCATCACGCCGCACCGCATGTCGCGACCACCGTGGCCGCAGATTAACACGACGGGGGAATGTTGGAGGTCGATCGCGTCTGGGAACTCAGATGCTAGGCCAGCTTCGCGGGTTTTTCCACCGTGTTGGGATTTGCTGGGGAGGAGATATGCGCGGACGAAGGTTGAGACGTCGGTCTTGACGTCATTGGGTTCGGAGAGGGTCACGGGGATCGAGGGGAAGTATTTGAAGCTGGGGAAGAGGAAGGCGGAGGCGGTTTGAGAGGTAGCTGTGGATGTCGATGGAGATGAGGGAAATGAGGAGGTGGTAACGAGGATATTGTTGAACGGCTGGAGCAGCGAAGTCAATGTCAGCGACTTTGTTGGTAGCAGTCAAGTCAACGAAGGATCACTTACGTCGGCATATTTCCCCCCACGACCTAGGAGGCGCTTCAACCCTCGAACCAGCTCGCCCCAGTTCTGACCCTGACCATCCTCCTCGATGCGACTGGTCCAGTCTCGTTGGCCGGTGCAGACGAGAAGCTGCTGCGCGTAGGCCGCCATCGTTCCGTTGAGCGGTTGATCATAGTCGATCGGCGCGGGCATCGACGGGGTCGCGGGACATGAGCAGCTGGGCTCCGGGCATGTTTTGGTGACAGGAAACGGAGGAGGGATGTCCAGAGGAATGCGCGCAGGGTGTGAGCGAAGGGAGGTGGATGAGAAAAAGCGAGTCGTTGATGATGCACCGGTGCTGCTGGCCCGGGAGATTGGCGACAGGCAGTGCACCGATGCTGCACGCATTATCCTTGGTCGTCCGATCATGGCCACAGATATCCAGCTATGCCAATATCTAGAACATCGACTTGGACAGAACGGAGGGGCCTCCTTGGGCAGGGTCAGTTTATAGGGTGTTGAAAAGAGTAATCCCGAGACCGCGGAGGAATCGGGCGGTCGGAGATAGCGGAGATCTCCCGCCGCCATTCATAATCCGGCGGTGGTGACTGGACAATTCCAGAGTATGAACAATTGACCTTTATGGGTCGTAAATCTCAATATAGCATCTTTAAAACATTTTGACTGGCTTTGAATTTTTGTGCCTGTTGTAAATTCGCCTGGTCAAAAGTAATCCATGAAGTAAAGACCTCAACTGGTCTCTGTCAAAGGAATATATAGCTTCCGGCATACTACCACCGCCAAGGAGCCATTCCGCAACACCTCAGAAGGTGATCTCACAGGCGTATTGATCAGCTCTTACAAGGACCAGACGATCAATCGAAGCGAGAACCGCGATCAGAAAGACTTAGACTTGAACGTATAACAGCACTCAACTAGCATTGGCGCGGAGTTGTCAAGAAATCGATGTTTTATGTGAACAAGCGCTACGACGGAGTCTGAATGTCTAATGTCCCTGTCATCCGAGGTGTGACTGTAGATAATCGCCGAAATGTTATATGGTTTCCGGGAGATAGTTCTAGCTCGTCAGAATAAAGTTCAACCAGAACCATCACCGAAGCAGAGATAATGCTCCACGCCAATAGCAAAATAAGAACTAAAGCAGTACATGATAGAAACCGCACAAAGGTGCACATCATTAAATATTCACAATCACGCTTGGTGTCAGCAGCAGACAGTCACCAGACAAGGTCATATAAACTGAATATGAGAGATAAACGAGGTCGATCATGCGTGCGCTCGATGCTTGTCATGGTTATTTGGACGGACCCGAAAAGCTGGCCAATGCGTTATACGAATCGGTCAAAGGCCACAGGGCATAGAAGAAGCCCACTGCTCCTCCCACAAGAAGTGCGTAGTATGCAACGGTCCAGCCAAGACCGAGCGGACCAGATGCCACATCGTTGTTTTCTTTCCCTTTCACCAACGGGGGCCCCAGGGGTACACCGGCTTCCACTCTTCCCCACAGCCGGGGCAGACCGCACCAATTGCAGAAGGTGTGGGCGAGGATGACTGCCAGGAGTGAGCCGGTACGGAGATACAGAAACGTGGCATACCAGCCGAAGATGGTAGTGTAGCCAAACTGGAAGACCGATCGTAGGAGCGCTGCAATGACCGAGGTATCAGGATGGGTGAGGCGGAACTCATAGAAATGGTGCACATGAGCAATTCCGAAATAGAGAGGAGCCACGAATACGATGCGGCCGGGATCAACCTTGGCGAGGAGGTGAAGAGGGACGATGGCGGAGCGGAACATAACCTCCTCAGTGATTGGACCCTGCATTCACAGTCAATCGAAATGCTAGGCATTGCCATCGTAGATAAACTTACTGCGACATAGTTCCTCCATCCGATCCAGCTGCGAAGCACTGCGGTGACTCTATTGCCCCAAACCCACTCTCTCCACTCTCCCTCCGCAACACCCCGTTCAAATAGTGGACCGGCGAACAGGATAGCGGTCAGGAGCAAGCTGCGGGCAATATCCACAAGATTAACAGGCCACCATCCCAGGAAGCGAAGGGCCTCTGGCAGGGAAGCATTGTCTTTAGCATTGAGCAGCCACAGAACGGCCAAGCTGCTAATAATGCAGGACAATGTCACAGCTCGAATTCTGGCCCGAATTACCGACGGTGCATCTCTACTGAGAGTAGGGGACGGCCGGGTCGTCGGATTCACATAGAAGGGCACCACATAGACCAGGGTTAGTAGAACCTAGACGGGGATTAGATATTGTTGAGGAGGTAAACCATGGAGCTAGAAAGCCACATGGCCAATCGGTGAGAGCATGGTCGGCATACCGAGAAAAATGCAGCCGTCTGCGGTGAAATGGCGGGCTCATCTAAACGAGGATCAGACAGAGACGGGGCGATCAACAACCATTGAACTTACCGTAATCCTTCGAAATGAGGGTCCTGAAACGAGCCAGGAGACCGACAGGAGCCATATCTGGTCAGATGCCGATAATGGAAGATGCCGGTGAGCACTGACTGTGACCGATCCGATTAAGAGGAAACAAAAGCGGCTTCAACCACGAAGATTGATGATCATACCAGGAGAGGACAGGAGACGATGTCGATTAAAATCCACCCCAAGAACAATAGGCGATGAGCGCCCGGCGACGTGAACGCGATGTTGGACAAAGAAAAGCGAGGAGAACACGAGGTCGGCTGTGAATGCCGAGTTTTACAGGCATCTAGGCATTCAGGCAACGCCGGGATGCCTGTCAACAATGGCCGGATGCTTGCCACGACCGCCACCCAGATGCATTTCGAGTACCTCACTCGCTCAGTTATTATAGACGAAATGCAAAACTCTATCAACAATAAGAAAGCCAGTAGGACCTGTCTGCATGCCGCAACGAGCCGTACCATTCAGTCACGTGGTGCATAGTACCAGTCACATGCAATGATGTCACCTGACACCCCGATAAGGTTAAAGTAGGACAGCTGACCCACGTGATATCGCGCCGCTCGCGTCGACAGGTGGCGACGTCCCAGTTCTTGCATCGCGTTGCGTCAGAACTTGATTACTCGACCTATGGTCAATAAACTGCATTTAATGCACACGTCTATGACGCGCGTGCAAACTATTGTCGACCAAGGCTATTAATCTGGAACTGCCAGAGCATCATGGGTGTCCATGGGCTCTGGACGGTCGTCCAGCCTTGTGCACGACCGATCAAGTTGGAAGCTCTGAATAAGAAGCGTCTGGCGGTGGATGCCTCCATATGGATATATCAGTTTCTGAAAGCCGTACGCGACAAAGAAGGCAATGCACTTCGAAACTCTCATATTGTTGGCTTCTTCCGCCGGATTTGCAAGCTCCTCTATTTCGGAATTAAGCCGGTCTTCGTTTTCGATGGTGGCGCACCAGTGCTAAAGCGTCAGACTATAGCAAACAGGAAGAAAAGACGAGAGGGCCGACGAGAAGATGCAGTGCGGACCGCTGGGAAGCTACTGGCGGTGCAGCTGCAAAGGACCGCCGAAGAAGAGGCAGCCAATCGTCGAAAGGGCAGGAACGAGAAAGAGGAGGAGATCCCGGATAATCCTGTATACGTCGATGATGCGTTTATGACCGAGAACGAAAAGCGCCAAGTGCGGTCATTCAAAAAGAAGGACGCCTACCATCTACCTGATATGCAAGGGTCTCTGGAAGAGATGGGGGCCCCCAATGATCCACGTATTATGTCCCAGGAAGAGCTGGAAGAATATGCGAGACAGTTTCATCAAGGGGAAGATATCAACCTCTACGATTTCTCGAAGATCGACTTCGACAGCCCATTCTTCGTCAGTCTTCCGGCAACAGACCGGTACAACATTCTTAATGCGGCCAGACTCAGAAGTCGTCTGCGGATGGGGTATTCAAAGGAGCAACTAGACAACATGTTTCCTGATAGGATGGCCTTTTCGAAGTTTCAGATCGAGCGAGTGAAGGAGCGAAATGATTTGACGCAACGTTTAATGAATATTAATGGCATGAATGGTGAGGATACCCTGTACAGATCAGGACAGCGGATTGCCGGAGAACGTGGGAAAGAGTATGTCCTTGTCAAGGACGATACCATCGAAGGGGGGTGGGTTCTTGGTGTGGTGGGGAACAAGGAAGGTCACGAAGACAAGCCGATTGACGTTGATCAATACGGCCAGCAGAAGATGTTTGCTGAGAAGGAAGATCTCTCTGATGAGGAAGATGGAGGATTTGAAGATGTACCTATCGAGGGCCTGAACCGACTCCCTAAGCTCCCTTTCCTTCGGGAGGGCGTTCTTGATGAGTCAATCAGAAGCCAGATGCGAGACAGAAGAGGAAGCTCTGGGGAAGGAAGTTTTGGATTGCAACAAGCCAATGATGATTCCCTCTTTGTTGAAGGTGATCAACCCTTATGGGAGCATAACCGCCATGAGACCGATGATCTGTTCAATGGCAGTGACGAAGATGAAGCGCTTCAGCGAGCGATAGCCATGTCTCTTGAGTCAGGGACCGCCACCAAGGATGACACTGATCTACCTGAAATCTCACTTAATCGAAATCATGCTGCACTCCCACCTATCGACGAGGCAATTTCGAACTTTGCCGACCAGAGTGATGACGAGGAAATGGACTTTGCAGCCGCCTTGGCGCAGTCTAAGAGGGTAGCAAAGCCAACAAAAACGATAGATAACCCTTTCGATGGTCCGTTGCCCTTTGAGTCACTCAAGCTCGGGAAGAAAGCCAACAACGAAAAACAAGGAAAGAAAGACGACAGTGCTGGTGCGTCTGAAAAGCAGCCTGCAAAAGAAACCAAGGATACCCAGGTGCTACCGCCGTGGTTCTCGGGGCCATCCCAGGGTGCTAATGGCGTTGAATTTATTGCCGATGAGATCGATGATCGCTCAGTGAAAAGGCTGCCCAAAGACACTCCTACACAGGATCATGTGTTCATCCGTGATGAAGATATGCGGGACGTTGACACCGTGGAGACGTTACACTCGAAGGAAGTGGTTGATTTGGATCCAACGCCGGAACGAGGGGACGAGAAAGCCCAAGAGATCACGGCCTCACACGAAGCCAGCCACACCGAAGAGATCACTCCCATCAAAGCAAATGTGGTAGAATCTCAGGATACCGAGGCATCGGCAATTCCTAGGGAGGATGTCATTCCAGATGGAGCACATAAAGATCCCATGACGGGGGAGACGCTCTCTTATGATGCTCAAGCAGATATTGCAGATTTTGAAGCATCTCCTTCGCCTGAATTTGAGGACGTCACATTACAGCCAAGAACTGTACCTGTGGAAGAACCGCCATTGCCCGATCAGATGGATCTGCCGGAGGAATACTTTGATCAGGAAGGATTTTCAGATCCCGAAGATGAGGATTTAATCCAACAACTTGCAGCCGAAGGCGAAGAGCATGTACGCTTCGCAGCGACACTGAATTCAGCGGCTCACATTGAAACACCATTTGACTACGAGCAAGAGTTAAAGCAACTGCGTTCTCAACAAAAGAAAGACCGAAGAGATGCAGACGAAGTGTCCCAAGCCATGATAACCGAATGTCAGCAACTGCTGACGCTATTTGGCCTTCCATATATCACAGCGCCTATGGAGGCCGAGGCGCAGTGTGCAGAATTGGTATCACTAGGCCTTGTGGATGGCATCATCACTGATGACAGCGACATTTTCCTGTTTGGAGGCACGCGGGTGTACAAAAATATGTTCAACCAAAGCAAGTTCGTTGAGTGTTACCTGACTACGGACCTGGAAAAAGAATATTCTCTCTTCCGCGCCAAGCTCATCAGACTTGCCCATCTTTTGGGAAGCGACTATACAGAAGGTATCCCTGGCATCGGACCGGTGACTGCCCTGGAGGTCCTCACTGAGTTCGCAAACCTGGAAGAATTTCGTGATTGGTGGACTCAGGTGCAAACGGGACTCAGTATGCACGATGATACTCATGCGACGTTCTATAAGAAGTTTAAAAAGCAGGCAGCGAAAATCTTCTTGCCACCGTCTTTTCCGGACCCTCGGGTTGATGTCGCATATCTGGAACCGGAGGTGGACTCGGATCCATCCCCCTTTCAATGGGGCGTACCTGACTTGCACGGTCTACGCAACTTTCTGATGTCAACTATCGGCTGGAGTCAAGATCGTACTGATGAAGTCCTTGTGCCTGTCATTCGCGACATGAATCGCCGAGAGCAGGAAGGTACTCAGTCGAACATCACCAGCTTCTTTAGTGGACCGCTAGGGGCGGGTGCCTTTGCACCTCGTGTCCGAAGTGGAGGCCAGACGAGGATGGAGAAGGCTTTTAGTCGACTCCGACAGCAAGCTGTGCCCACGGAACAGTCAGACTCACTCGATGTAGAGGGCGATGCCATCTCAGATGGTGCTTCAGAGACTCAGGCGCCGCCCAACCACACATCAGGTAAAGAAACGGGGACAAAACGAGGGCGTCGTGGACCACAGACTGCAAAGGATGACACCGATGGCACCGGAGACAATACTGCAACCAACAAGAAGAGACGCACCCGCCGAGGTGCGAAGTAGATTGCGACTATGTCGATCACCAGCAAGGCTTGATGATGGTCTGCCTGGTTGTCTTCCCCGGACTCGGCATCGCGTTGATCCGACCGACCGGGGGTTTGTTGTTTCGGGCGAGAATCGATGGCGGATCTGCGAGTGGCAGCCCGGCAAATAATCGGCTGCAATCCATGGATTGACCCGTATCGCAAAAGCCTCGGTTTTGGCATCTTGCAGAAATTGGCGTTGCTTGACAAGCGATAAGCCCCCCCTGTCTAGTCGCATCATTGCCGGCCGCAATGGTGTGATCCCGGTACCCCCTTCGACTTCCTTGGTCGGCTCTCAGGACCACTCGTGAGGTCAGATATGGTGCGGATGGCGTGCATGCGGTCGGAAGAGGGGTTATACTTCGCCAAGTGCATGTTCCACGTTAATCTCGCATGCCCCTCTATCAGAGCCGTCTTAAAAGGAGACCTGCTGGCCCACGGACTCCTGCAATGCGAAATTTCTCATAGAGCAAAGTGATTCAACCATGGCAGCAGTGAAAGGACCCCAAATCATACAAAGCGACCTTGTTTCGTTAAATGATCATGAGCACCACCCCACGGTGTCTCTTAAGTCGCTGGTCAATGAGACGGTCTTAGCCGACAGAACAAAGGAGGAAGCTCGTCCAGCTTTCGAAATCGAAGAACACCCAATTGATCAAGTCCGTCCAATCAAAGTCGGTGTGATTGGAGCTGGTCTGGCGGGGATTACAGCGGGGATCTTGTTTCCTGCAAAAGTGCCAGGTCTGGACCTGCGGATCTATGAGAAGAACGCCGGTGTGGTATGTAGTTGCTAGAGCACGATCGCTGTTACTTTCTAACATGGAGTACAGGGCGGCACCTGGTAGGCCAAACACAGTCATACTTGCGATCGCTGGTGCTAATGAACAGGTTCGAAAATACCTACCCCGGAGTACGATGTGATATCCCCGCGCATGTCTACCAGTCCGGTTTCTCGCCGAACACACAATGGACTGAAGAGTTCGCCCAAGGACATGAGATTCGCGAGTATTGGCAAAGGCTGGCGCGCAAATACGACGTTCACAAATACCTCCGACTCCAACAGCAAGTCGAGCAGGCCGTGTGGCTGCCTGAATTGGGTAAATGGCGTGTGACTCTGCAGGATCTCGGGGAGTCCAAACGAGTATGACCATATGATCTCTATGATCATATAACACGGTGGCTAACAAACAAAAGCGATACGAGGAAGACCTTGACATGGTCATCAATGCCATCGGCCACTTCAACGCCTGGCAGCTGCCCGACTACCCTGGGATAGATCAGTTCTCCGGTGCCCTTTTCCATTCCTCCAACTGGAATCACGATGTCGACCTGAACGGCAAGCGCATTGCGCTCATCGGCAACGGGGCGTCCGGATTACAAGTCCTGCCCTCGATCCAACCCATTGCCCAATACGTAGATCATTACGCACGAAACAAGACCTGGATCGCCGACTCCTTCGGCACCTCTGGCGTGCGTCGACTCGAACCAAACCTCTTCTCCCCCGACCAACTCGAGTCCTTCCGCGACCCCGACGCCTACCTCGCATACCGCAAGAGCGTCGAAGCCGGATACTTCTCCCGCTTCGGCGCCATTTTCAAAGACTCGCCCGAGAACAACAGTCTCCGCGAGAAATGGACCGAACTAATGAAATCCCGCGTCGGCGACGACGCCGACCTCGCCGACAAACTCATCCCCGACTTCCCCCCCAACTGTCGCCGCGCCACCCCAGGCCCAGGCTACCTCGAAGCCCTGACCAAACCCAACGTGAACTACATCCAAACGCCCATCCAACGCTTCACCCCCACCGGCATCATCACCACCGACGGCATCGAACGCCCCGTCGACATCATCATCTGCTCCACCGGCGCCAACGTCGACCACGCCCCGCCCTTCTCCATCATCGCCAACGGCATCGACCTCAAATCCGCCTGGAAACACACCGGCCTCTACGGCTTCCCCTACAACTACCTCGGCGTCGCCACCCCCAACTTCCCCAACCTCCTCTGGATCGGCGGCCCCCACTCCACCGGCCACGGCGGCAGCGTCCCCAACAGTCTCGAAAACCAAATCACCTACATCTCCAAACTCCTCCGCAAACTCCGCAGCCAGGGCATCAAAGCCATGGCCCCCTCCCCACAAGCCGCCGACGACTTCGTCGAATATTGTGATAAATTCTACCCGCGCACGGTCTGGACCGCGAATGACGACTCCACGCCGGGCAAGAAGAACTGTCGGTCGTGGTATAATGGTGGTCGACCGGGGGGGAAAGTCCATGGCTTGTTTCCGGGGAGTGCGGCCTCGTTGAATTATCTGCGACGGGATCCGAGATGGGAGGATTGGGATTATACGTATGTCAATCCGAGTGGGAATCGGTTTGCGTATTTTGGGAATGGCTGGACGACGCGGGAGACGCTCCCGGATGCGGATCTCACGCCGCATTTGAAACGGCCGGATACGATTGATCTGAGGACGTATTTGGAGGGGTGGTGGGATGTTTAGTGGGTTGTGGGGTTGTGGGGGGGGGGGGTTGGTGTGATGTAGGGAGTAACTTTGCGAGGATCTAGATAGTTGCATCATGATGTTCGGAAGGTTGATGACTAGATCTATATTTATAAATATAGGAAACACCTAGTGAATAGATTGATCTGGAATTATGTGAACATGTCATTGAGATTTAGTAGATCCCAAAGGGGATTATTGAGAGATCCTTCTGATAGGCCGTCATCAGAGCCATGATAAAATACAACGTTGAATCGAGTCCCCGCCGAAGCTTTGCAGCGTGCCTTGGAGGTATTTTCTAGATTATAAAAGGGTTGAATGACCGATTATGCAAAGAGAATCGTTCGAATGAACTCATCCTATGACGACGAGCACACCTCAATCGGGATAATGCATTTTGCGTAAAAGTTATCAAATGAGCCATGGTCATGACGAGAAAATCTCTGCCTTTGCTTCCGTCACGGTGTGTGAAGGGTGACATGGAGTCTAGACATCATGGCCAATTTGAGGGTATAATAATTATGCAATGGATGCATGCATGACGACTGCCATCCAGACCCGAATATGTTGTCATAGGAAGAATATATTGATAAAAAAGAGGTCCAGTGAATTGTCATTCTCTGGGACACAAAAGGTAAAAGTACTAGACCCGCCACGCATGCCAGCACGCTTTGGGCGGTGTTTAAAAAGAGAATAAAATCATCGGAAGACCTTGAGCCCGTGGGATCGAGCGTAGGTAATCGCCTCGAGGGGGACGTTCTCGCAATTTCGGACGTAAAGGTGCTCGATTCGGGGGAGGTCGCTGTCAGATGAACGTGCATCTGCAAGCATTTTGAGTAGACGTCCTGTGACATCAGTGCCAGAGACGTCCAAGGCGGTTAGGGTTGACATGCCCTCCACCAAGGGTTGCACGGTCATATCGTTGAGGCTTGGAAGCTGAGGGACGCCGAGTTCAGTCAGGTTGACTGAATTCTCATTCAAGACAAGCTTCAGTTTATCGGGTGTGAGCGCTGGGCAACGGTCGAGCATGAGAGTGCGCAAGGGGGCTTTAGCGTCGACCAGGATAGTATGAAGGGTATGATATGAAACCCAAAGTAGATCACGAAACATGAGTGTATGGAGATTGGGGAGGTGGAGGGGTTGATCTTCAGGAAAGGGAAATTCATTCCCAGTTGGAGCGGCGCCTGCGTGGATACTGAGGTGTTCGAGGCTGGAAGGTAAGCTAAACAGGCCAATGTATACCCCCTTCAGATCGAGTCTTCGTAGTCGGGGGAATTGAACAGGGTCGAATGAGAGGTAGTACGGTGCCCAGACTCTGGGATACGAGTCCAGCCGTATCTCCTCAAGGCTGGGCATCGAACAGGGCATTCCTTCCTGGGCAGCACTAGTCAATACAACCAAGAGACCTATATGAAGCAGAATCACAATAGTCACGTACCGTAGCTGGAGGAATATATAGCGCCGCTACGCGACCCGGCGGCGGAATAGACGCCTCAGTGAAGAGGACAATACTGCGCAAATTCGGAAGATGAGAAGGCCAATTCACTCTGGACTCAGGTGACGGCTGCGCATTGTATATCTCGATTCGTTCAAGCTGAGGTAGACCTGTCAGAAACTTTGCAATGTGTTCCTGAGCCACGGGTGTCTGTTTCCCAATAACCAGAGACTTCAGCTGTGTCGAGGCCCTGAACAGGTCGTAAAGCCCGGCAGGTTGATTGACAGGATCTCGTATCTCAAGGTGTTCCAATTTCGGGCATCTTCCCAAAGCTTCGAGAATCTTGTCTTGGAAAGGGTTTGAGATATTGGTCATGACGGCATGGGTGAGCATGGCACGCGATCGTTGGACAAAGGCCCGGAATGAGCGCCATTGGACCTTGCGTCGGGCTTCGGTGAAATCAAGCTGCATCCAGAGATCTGGTTGTGAGAGCATTCGCTGCCATCCTTTGGAGACTCGTAGAAGGATCCTACACATTCACCGTAAGACTGTGTTTCCACGACTGCATCTGCTGAGGAACTCACGCAAGCTGTCGGAAATTGAAGTGCCGCAACACCATCATGGCCAATTCTAGAGGCAATACGGCAAAGGGATCGAGTCGCTTCACTGATGCTTTGTCTCTCACTTTGCAGAACATTTGAAGAACAGTCTAAACCAGTTAGCGCCTTCTAAGGGAATTCACTCCAGTGTGAGTTTCACGAAGACATTAACTAACCTTACGACGGGGATTCTCCATGGGCAATTTCTTCAAACCCCACCCATAAGCCTTCTGAGCCCTTTTGAAATCTCCAGTCAGTAGCAATGTCTGTCCGTATCGCAGAACGCCCTGACATCAATTAGCCTACGGTAAATCCAATTAACCATGGCAATCTACCCGTCCATCTAAATCTTTTTCGTCCCTCTTGATCATTTGACGAGAATCCTGGAGAGCACGGTCATACTGCTTGAGTTTGATGTACGTTGCGACTCGGTTGTCCAAGATGCTCATCACATCAGCGCCTTTACAATGGAGTGCCTGCGGGCCAATGTCTTAGTAGCGTTTCCTTATCGGACGCGGTGGACCGGGCGACGTACTTCAGTAAATGCGGAGAGAGCGTCTTGAAAGTTGCCCTGTCTGAAGAGCAGCTGGCCCCGCTGCTGCAAGGAGTCACCTTCGCCACGGATCACCCGCGACATGATGGGCAAATGGTGTCAATTACGAGAATGAAGCCGGGCAGAGGCAAAGAGGGACGCGCGAGAGACGCGTGCGATAAGAAAAAAGTGATAGATAATGGACGAGTTGAGGTGAGGCGGGCTGACATAAGGCAGTGGGGCGTGGCGGTTCACCCGAGAACCCCGGCTGTTTATGTTCTTCCCCTTTGGGAATCCCGCCGACCGTCGAAAAATAACAGTTCGCCCGACATTCGAAACCCCCTCAACAATTGAACGACAGCGTCTCACAATCCAGAGACGTCGGTGCCAGCGGAGCTTGCAGGCAAGCCATGGAGCCACAGAATCTGGAGGCAGCATCTACCTACATCAACAATGTCTTGCTGGCCAGGGGGCTGCTGAAAGGCGGCCGTCCCATTGAGTTCGCCAACCCTGAAGATGAGGACGGGGGCTCGGCGGCCACAATGGGGCGAATCATCAATTTGGTCAATGATCTGGTGCTGCGCAGAGACGTACGGGCTAGGTTTTTCTATAACGGAGGACGCATTGGCTGACAGCGACGCAGCGCGAAGCCGAACACCGAGAGAACTTAGCAACCACAATTCGGACCCTACGTGTGGAAGATTCGCAGAAGACAGCAGAGCTGGTACGATAGCTCCAATTGGATGGCTTGCCACGGAGCAAAGGCTAATAATCAGGTATAGGAAAAGGTAAAGACCAAGGCATCCGAATTGAGCCGCTCGCTGGCTCTCGCAGAGGCGCAAGAACGAGCCTTGAAATCGAACGTTGCCAGCGCCGACGCGACCATCCGAGGATTGAAGGAACAAGTGCAGCGCATGAAGACCACCATCCAACAAGTCCGGGCTCAATGCGCCAATGACATTCGCAAGCGCGACCTGGAGATGCAAAAGCTCAAATCGCACCTAGCGGAACGCCAGCGTGGAAAGCGGGAAGGATTGTCAATGACCACCATCAATATTAACCCAGCGGCCAGCCAAACATCCCGATCGAGACTCACGGCGGGTGGTGAGGGGATCAATGACCCAGGATACAGTTTGAAACAAGAGACAAACGACTTTTTGACCGAATTGTGCCAGACGCTTAGTGACGAGAACGACACCCTGATCTCACTGGCGCGGAACACCGTCGAAACTTTAAAAGACCTCCAGGGATTGTCACAAGCCGAAGAGGACGACAAATATTCGACTGGAGTGGCGAGTGTCGGGCCCAGTCGATCCGTGCAAGGTTCGGTTACGGCACTTCCGACCTCATGCGACGAGCTATCCACGCAGATGGACCATGTTCTCGAACATCTTCGGACCCTGCTCACCAACCCGTCATTCGTACCCTTGGAGGAGGTAGAAATGCGGGATGAGGAAATAAAGCGACTTCGCGAGGGATGGGAGAAAATGGAAGGCCGGTGGAGCCAAGCCGTCACGATGATGGATGGGTGGCATAAGCGCATGGCAGACGGAGGCCACTCAGTACAGGCAGAAGAGCTGCGAAGAGGCATGGATCTTGACCTGCGCTTGGATATTGCCAAGGCTCTATCAAAAGACGGAGAGCGGGAACCAACCATACAGTCGCCCATTTTCGAGGACCAACAAGCCGAAGAAGAAGAGGAAAAGGCGGCCGAAAAGAGTACAACCGAGAGTAACCGTCGGTCTCCTACTCCGAAGAAGGCCCCACGGTCAACCAGGGAAACCAGGAGCAAGAGAGCCAGTCAGGCTTTGAAGGAGCGGAGTGACAATATCATGACTGGACGCTCGCCCCGGAAGGTCTCGTTTACCACTGGCCTACAAGACTCGCCGTCCGTCCCTAGTGTTGATGACGAGACGCTACAGGTAAAAGCACACCAATCTGAAGCAGTGACCCGTAGGTCATCCAGAAGAAAGCCGGAATCCAAAGTCCTTTCCCGTCCTCAGCCGAAAGATTCTCGTCTGGCCACGGCCGTGCAGGGATCAACCAGTCAAGCTCGCTTGAGCGTACCGCAAAAACTAGCGGCCGTTGAGAGCGAGGCCCGGGCTGCGGAACAAGCTCGCAAGGAGGGCGAAAGCAGGAAACGAGGGCGGGCACTCAAGGGATCCAGCAAAGGACACCGGGACCGCCGCCGAAGTACGCTGACCAGCGACGAGCTGGGAGAGCTGATGGGAATGCCCGCCAAGTGATGTTTTGTTCCATGATGATATATGTGCCTGGGAGACAAGCTTCTTCGATACCCCCTCGTTCAGTGTCTGAGTATATACCATGCCTGTTTTTCCTGCATTCCTACCTTGGAGACGACACAATCATGACCTGCCTCTTTCTTCGTTCTTTCTTTTCTCTCTCTCTCTCTCTCTCTCAATTTCTCCCTCTTCTTCCCTACATGGTTATTAGCAACCTCGTCTCGGTAATAGTAATTTAATGACGTAACCCTCGCGACTTCCCACCATGATTCCCGTCCTTGCCAATTGCGGAACTGTTGGGTCGATTTAGTTGGCAGTTCTGGGCTCTAGTATAGAGCAGTTTCCGTCCCGACCATGAAACCACTCAAGCGAGCCATCAAGCGGACCGTCGAAGCGAACCATCAGATTGCTTTTCCTCATACATCTGACTCCCCACTAGTATAGAACCATACCTCTCAGAAGTCAGCAGGGCATATGGACTCGACTCGAGACTTCAACCTTCCAATAGCAATTTTGGGACTCAGAGCACTGCGCATGCCTGATGTCCGGAACGGTCATTGCTAAGGAGTCGCTGAACCTCTAGACCAAGTATCGAGTCTTCGTCGCTGTCTACATCATACTGAAGGCATGAATTCAAAGACAATAAAACCCGGCTCATCTCCTAGTCAGTCGCTTGGGTTTCTTCATCCCCCAACTTGATCGGTGTTTTCTTTGCTTCTCAAGGTTTGTGTACTGATCGCTATATCGAGCTTTGCTTTGGCAACATTCGCTATTGCAGAAGATAACTCGAACTGTGGTCATCAGTGTCATTTTCTTGAGAATCTTTTTAGAGACCCTTAACTTATCGGGTTTCTTATACACTCCCCGACGCTCCTTCCTGCTGCAGCCCTTCTTGTTCCTAACGTTCCTGCCTTGAGCTTGCCTGCTGAAGCCATGTCTGCTAAATCCACGCCGTGTGGGGCCAGCTCTGCTGCAACCGAGTATAAGGGCCCGTTTGTGCTGAGACCTGGCGATCAATCATATCAATCGCCTCTCGTCGAGTACACACCCGTATCACAGGGTGCCCCGGTGTTGCCTTATGGCTATGTCACGGCTTGTGGAGCTTCCATACCTCCCAGTATGGTGCCTGTTTATTATCAGCCATACAGGTTTGTCTGTACCGTGCAAAATGAGCATGGCCAGCAACCTATGGAAGCAACCTATCGTTCAGCATATAGGCCCGCGACGGTGAACGAGCCACAACCGGAACAGTTCACCAACCACCTGCGGCGTAACAGCTCGCAGATCACAGACAAAAATGCCCAGGATCGTCTTGATCCTGTAGCTTGTATCTTTGTCGGAAAGTAAGACACCCAACATGTTTGAAGTATATGATGGGTTCAGACCAAACAACATCAAGTCTCCCAATTTGGTTACCACGAAAACGACTCCAAGTCTGCGTAAAAAGTATATTTCGGAATTGGGGAGACTGTTACGTCAAGGTGAACTTATCACCGTCGAACAAACTGTACAACGCATTTGTACAGTTCACGGTATGTGTGATGTTTCTCTCCTTGAAAGGCAGTGACTGATCAGAGCTAGAATGTTGAGCATGCAAGGCAGGCCCGGGCTTTCGCAAGAAACCCGGGAATATACCTTGCTGGTCGGCACCTCAGACTGGAAACGCCGAACAAGATCAGTGAGTTCTTCTGACCCAATCCATGTTCTATGCACAGCTTTTGCCCTTTCGGGTTGTCCGCACAGTGACTGATGATTCTCGTAGGAAGCTCTATGTGCGGCCACCCTGCTACCATGGACGAAATGGGTTCTTTGGATAGGGAGGCACATAGTACTTCTGTGGAGGAACACTGTGGAAGTTCGGAGCACAGTCATGAGTACCAAGGAAAGGGGAAACAGGTTGAACGGGTGAGTGAGCCAACTTCCGGCAGGTAGATGCTCGAGCTGATTCAAGAAGACTCCCGAACAGCAAGATGAACGGGGCATGTCGAGTCTGACCAGCCAGTTATTAACCGAGCAAGACGACCCAAACGTCTACTACGATGTGGACGCGGTCGAGCGGGTTCTGTTTGGCGGTGCGGGCCGACGGCCAGTTGTCTGCCTGGGGGCTGCGTAAAAAACAACCATTATCTCTTGCTCGTGTCTGTCGTGGATTCCATGCTGGATAGGTCGCATGTCCGATCTTGCTTGTTAAGGTAGAATCAAATATAGCATCACCTGTTATACCATGGTTGTTCTCTTGTCTGTTTGTTTCTTAGAAAGTTGCAGACAGTACGGAGTAGACCGACTGGCTTTATGCGGTTGGCCCGCCGACACCGGGGGAGGGTGTCGCGGGGTGATAATATAGTGTAAGAGACGTCAGTGGGCTGGATAAACCTAGAAATGGGCCATGATTCGGAGAATGTGAGATGGATGGTTGACACAGCCGGACGTGAGTTCAAAGCTCCTGTTATCGATTTCGAGGAGCGTCAGCTGTCCGGCCCTTCCCAGTCGGTCTCCCCACTACCAAGTGAAGATGGAAATTAGACAGTCATTTAATCTAGAATCAATGTTTTCATTGAGATGTGTTATGGACGGTGCTTTTTTCCCGGCCAACAACTCACCATCCACCAAACAGCCCCTGCATTCTTGCCTAAAACCAATCTACAAATCCACAAACTCCCCCCGCAATACCTCGCCCTTCTCCAGCCGATCCAAATAACCACCCACCTTATCCGCCATCACCCGAGTCTCATAGCCAAAGAACTTATACGCCGCCTTCCCCGGCAAACTATGACCGAACCGTCGAACGCAGATACCCGCGTCCGCATACCGCTCCCATCCATTCGGCGCATACGGCTCGATCACCACCGCCGGAATGCCCTGGTGGCGTCGCAGCACGCCGCGCTTATATTCCAGGGACTGTTGCTCGAATAGGCGCTGGCAGGGGAAACTGATCACTCGCGCTATCACTCCTTTGGTTTCCTTGAGTTGTTGGGCTACGTCCAGCGCGAAGGAGAGTTCCGCGCCGACGCCGATTAAAGTCACGGTTGCGGTGGGGGCTTCTTCGAGTATGTATGCGCCTTGGGCTACGCCGTCTCGGCGCGTTTGTTTAAGTTGGGGGATGGCGTGGCGGGACGTGGAGATGATAGTGGATGATTTCCTGGCTTCCAGGGCCGCGATCCACGCACCGGCCGTTTCTTCACTATCTCCTGGACGGATGTAGAGGAGGTTTGGCATGGCGCGGTATAGAGCTGCGAGCTCGATTGGTTGGTGTGTGGGGCCGTCTTCGCCCATGCCGATGGAGTCGTGGGTCGCGGCGTGGATGACTTGCAGGTGTTGTAGGGCGCCCATGCGGACGGCGGGGGCGGCGTACAGGTAGAACATGAAGAAGGAGGAGGTGATGGGGATGATGGTGTTGGGGGCGAAGGCTGCGAGGCCGTTGGAGATGGCGCACATGGCGTGCTCGCGGACCCCGAAGTGGATGTATCGGCCTGTGTAGTTGCCGTTGATGTTGCAGGTCGTGCGGAGGTCGGGCTGGGGTTGGTTAGGATGGTGGTTTTAGAGGGAGGGGGGGGGGGGGTACTTACGTGTTGGAAGTCGACCTTGCCGGGCCAGATCATGTTGACGGATGGGCTGAGGTCGGCTGTTCCGACCATGAATGACTCGATGGCTTTGGCGATGGGGTTGAAGACGAGCCCTGACGACGCTCGTGAGGCTGTTGGCTTGTCGGGGAAATTGGAAGGGATTAGATCTTTCCAGTTGGGGGGCAGCTCTCCGCGCATGCGCTGCTGGAACTCTGCCCCAAGTTCGGGGTACTCTGCGGTATACTGCTCCACTAGCTTATTCCATTGCTGTAGCAAGGACTCTCCACGGGCAGGGAGATCCTGGAAGAATTTCCGGGTCACGTCACTGATGACAAAGTGCTCGTCCGGGTTGAAGCCGTACTTTCGCTTCATCTCTGCCACATCTGGGGCTCCAAATGCAGCACCATGAGCGGCTGCCATGCCCTCTACCTTACTGTCTAGGCCGATAACGGTCCGGACGTTGATGAAAGTCGGTTTATCCTGAGCCGCACGAGCCCGTTCCAACGCCTGAACGATCCCTTCCACATCGTAGCAACCGTCTTCGACATCAATGACATCCCAGCCGCAGGCGCGCATCTTGGCGTTGATATCTTCTGTATTGGTCAGATCGACGGATCCATCGCAGGTAATCTGGTTATTGTCATAGATGATGGTTAGATTGTTGAGTTTGAGGTGGCCCGCGAAAGAGATGGCCTCGAGTCCGACCCCCTCCTGCAGACACGCATCGCCCACCATACACCAGGTATGGTTCGAGACCACATCATACCCGGGGCGGTTGAACTTGGCCGCCAGGTTCTTGGTGGCCATAGCCAGACCCACTGCATTAGCGACGCCCTGGCCCAGGGGCCCGGTCGTGACTTCGATCCCCTCGTGCTCAATCTCCGGGTGTCCGGGACATAACGCGTCGACCCGGTCGGAGTGGTAGGACTTGAGCTGCTCGAATGTCATGGCTTTGTAGCCGGTGAGATGCAAGAAGGTGTATTGGAAGAGGCAGGTGTGGCCATTGGACAGGACGAAGCGATCGCGATTGAAGTAGTCCGGGGAGTGTGGTGCGTATCGCATCACATATCGCCAGAGTGCGATCCCGATAGCGGCCATACCAATCGCTCCTCTGGCTGGGTCAATTTCTTATCCTGCTGGGCATGGGTTTACTGAAGACTTACCCGGGATGACCTCCGCCGAACTGCTGGCATAGATCGGAAATGAGGAGGCGGAAGGTTTTCAAGACGTGATCATGGTCTTGGGAGATCTGGCGCACCAGCGGCAAGGCCGATGCGCCGTTGCTTTGGGGGACGGGACCAATGGCCATGATTGCAAGTGTTATTGTAGTGGTGATTCATTGTGCGGGGGAATCTGGGCTACATTTATAATTCGAAAGAGCACCGACGTGGGGAAGGTGGATGAGGAGCAGGCCATGTTCCTCTGCTTCATGCAGTGGAGATGGCATGGCGATGGACGCGATTCTCCTGATCCGGTAGGATTAAGCACCTTGCTGTATCGGGTAGCTGGAGGCGCCGAGCCCAGAAACGGGAAAGTCGGAGTCGTTTCAGGGCATCGAGAATAACTCTATTCCCGCAGCCCTTATCGGACCCGCTGGGGCCAATGCGGGGAAGTGCACGAACGCCCCGGGGATTCCGTGGCTCCAGTTACCTTCCCGACTGCCCTGGAAGGAGTGGTCTCCTCCTATCATGCCTATCATGTGTATCCTGATAGGATCGGTCACAGCTAGTCAGCTTGGGGACGTGTAAGCTCTTCCAACTTAAACCCAGACTGTCCCCGGGCATCCTCCATCCAACTAAGACTGTTCGCCATCACAACTTCTGCCGTCATGGCCCCTTCGATCCTCGTCCCTCGACCATCGTCTCCGACGTCCACCTCAAAGCTATCGTCGACGGAACCAGTGCTCCTGTCGCCTCCTTTCCCTAATCCTTCCCTCCAGGTCACAGCAGATCACACACTTAAATTTGTCCCCGCTCCGGTTCATGCCCCACAACGCGGTGAGGTTCTTCTTCAGATTAAAGCGACCGGCATCTGTGGGTATGTATCGCCTCGAAACCGCCCCGGATCATCGAGCGTTCGCGCTGATAATAGAACCAGGTCCGACATTCACTTTTGGAAGACGGGTCGTATTGGACAGCTAGTCTTTGAGGGGGACTGCATCATTGGTCATGAAGCGGCGGGGGTGGTGTTAAAGTGTGGAGAGGGGGTTACACATCTCCAGCCCGGTTAGTCTCGCTGTACACTGACCCATGTCAGAAATTCTTGCTCATCGGAAGGAATAGGCGACCGAGTTGCGGTCGAACCTGGGGTTCCGTGCGAACAGTGTTTTCTCTGTGACGACGGTCGTTACAACCTGTGCGAGGACGTCCAATTTGCGGGTGTCTATCCCTATGCGGGAACCATCCAACGATACAAGGTCCACCCGGCCAAGTGGTTGCACAAGTACGTCCGTTGCATTCTTGGGAGGGGGCAAGGCATGCTGACAGGCTCTACAGGCTGCCCGATAATATCTCGTACCTTGAAGGAGCCCTCCTCGAGCCACTTTCAGTTGTCATGCGTGGCATTCAAGTAGCGCATCTCCAACTGGGTCGCGGAGTGGTCGTTTGCGGTGCTGGACCTATTGGACTGATCGCCCTTGCAGCGGCTCGAGCTTCCGGTGCTCATCCCATAGTTATCACAGATATCGAGCCGAAGCGATTGGCTTTTGCCAGGGAGTTCGCTCCCACCTGTATCACATACCAGGTTAACCCGTCGCTGGATGCGCAGGCCAATGCCAAAGCGATTCGAGCACTTTTCGGACCAGACGAGTATAACGCCCCTGAAAGTATGCTCGAATGCACCGGTGTCGAGAGCAGCGTGTGTACGGCGGCCTTTACGGCTCGACGAGGCGGTGCGGTGGTGGTGATTGGCGTGGGCAAGGCAGTAATGAACAATCTACCGTTCATGCATATTTCCCTCGCGGAGGTAGGTCTTCTTTGCAAATTTGTCTGGGATGTGTCATCATTAACCAGGACAGATCGACTTGCGGTTTATCAACCGGTACCGGGATACCTGGCCACCAGCGATTGCTTGTCTCAGCGGAGGTATACTGGACTTGAAGAAGCTGGTGTCGCATGTCTTTCCACTGGAAAAGGCAGTCGATGCGTTGAATCTGTGTGCGGATCCCAGGAACGGGAGCATCAAGGTGACCATTGTGGATGAGGTGGAAGCGACGTTGTAAACAGCCATCAGCTGATAGGTCGAGCCAGAATACGACTGTGGTGCTTGGCAAATTCACAACAACTGAATCAGAGTATAATGGAAAAGGTGTCATTGCGTGTAGGTGAGACCGTTCCTCGTCATCCAACACGCATTACTCGGTTTATACCCAATCTCCAGGCAGCAAGCTCGATTGCAACCATCATGGGAGCTTCAAATTCCTGGCTGACTAATGACCAAACGAGTAAAAGCCTATCTGAGTTGAAGACCGTCAGCAACCGGAGGAAAAGGGGTAAATTGAGTTCATTGTGTTTCGGATGGCTCAGACCAAGATATTAGTATCCCGACGATGAATAGGACAACATGCGCCACTCACTGACCCAACTACTATTGTTCTCGTATGAGTAACGTTCCATTGGGAGCATTATACTAGTGGGGGCCGTAAAAACATCCCCCTTCGCAGAAGATCAGCTCCTGGATGGAAGCCTCCAGCTGTGTTACCTGACAGGTTCCTCCGATCATCCAGAAGGCTTGTTGCTGTTCGGTCTAGAACAGACAAGAAGAGGATAAACGGAATAGAATCTATGTCTTGGTTTTGCTATTCGGCATCAATCATGATGCGCATGAGCCAACAGGAGGTGTTGGTAACACAAAGCCTGGACATGTGAAGTGAGCGAAGAGTCAAGCGGGCCAAAGCAACACCTGCAACTGCAGTGGAGCATCCAAGCCACGCAGTGAATGCTGATTGACATGTCGCATATCAAAGTAATATCTGATTCAGCTCAATCTGGCAGCTGCTGACTCTATCTATTTTTGCAGTTCGAATAGTATAAATCCCCCTTGAGATGCTTCGCTCCTCCATCCCCATCCTGTCACCACTGCTTCTCACACTGGCTACAATGGCAATAATGGCATGGCTATATACTCTCGCTCCCATCATCTCCCTCGCTTGGATGGCCGGTGCAATCCCAGACTCAAGCCCAGAGATGCAGAACCTAGACGTCACCCTGGAGAGGGGCATCACATATGATCTGGGGAACATTACCTACTTTGCCAACACAAGATATCCGAGAAGCACGGTTGAACCAGAGTCCGTCAGGAACATCAGCCTCAGCTCCAGTGGGTTTACACCGATCACAGTGCTCATGGTCAACGAGAGCGTGATTACTGGTAAGCTCCTAGAGTCGACAATCAACAGCTACCTCGCGGGTGACGATGTTTTCTCAGTCGATTTTCTCGGCCAGATCTACATTTCGTCTCCTCTACCCAAGGTGACTCTTGACACATCATCTCTCAATTACCTGGAGAGCATGGGTGTCCGTCATCTCTACCTGGACTCCACAGTATTCAATCATATCCCAAACCATGCTATTCCAGTACGCAGCAACGACCATCACATGCCATCCGGTCCCTACACGGCCTTGGTATCAGACAAGTCAATCAGCTTCTTCAATACCTACCGACTGTATGAAGACAACTACCGCAACTTCATCACCGGGGCATATCCATCCAACGACGGCATGGACTCCTTCAACCCACTCCCCGCCATGCGCTCTCGAGTATGGGCACCCCTGATCCCAGTTCCCAGCCGGATCTACTCCTGGAACGACTCACGCCCATTGGCAGGCAAACGAGTCGCCATCAAAGATCTCTTCGACATCAAAGGCCTTCAGACCTCAGCCGGCAGCCAAGCCTGGATCCAAATCACCCCAACCGCAAATTCCACCGCGCCAGCAATCCAACGCCTTGTTGACCTCGGAGCTATGCTCGTAGGCAAATACAAGCTTGCCCAATTCGCCTCTGGATCCAACCCATGGGACTGGACCGACGAGCAGTACCCCTTCAGCCCCCGAGGCGACGGCTACTTGACCTGCGCCGGCTCTTCATCCGGAGGAGGCTGCTCAGTCGCCGCCTACGACTGGCTCGACAATGCCATCGGCACCGACACAGGGTCATCCATGCGCCGTCCCGCCGCCGTCTCCGGCACATATGGCAACCGCCCCAGTCAAGGAATGATGACTCTCGACGGCGTCGTCCCCGTCAGCTGGGCCCAAGACACCATCGGAGTCTTTGACCGCGATCCTATCTCCTGGTCCCAATTCGCCAAAGCCTGGTATACCCCAGCTCTGCACCAAAACACCTCCATCACTGGCCTCCCTCCCCTCTCCATCCCCAACACAACAACCGCCTTCCCATCCCGCATCCTCTACCCCGACGAATACTTCCCCATGCCCAACCCATCCGCCCAAGCCATCTTCACCTCCTCCCTCACCCGCATCTCCACCCTCTTCAACATGACCATCCACCACTTCAACCTCACCGCCACCATCACCTCCGCCGCCATCTTCCCCGACACCACCCTCAACTGGGACCGTCTCGCCAACAACACCATCGCCCTCACCACCTGGCCCCAATACCTCACCGTCGCCCAACCCCTCATCTCCACCTGGTCCGCCCTCCACAACCACCGTTTCCCCCCCGTGGACCCCCAAATTCGCACTCTCTGGACCTCCCTCGACCCATCCACCCTCACCAACCAAGACGCCTACACCCAAGCCCTCCATTCCCGAGCCCAGTCCATATCCTGGTTCGAACGAACCATTCTCACCCAATCCCCGACCACCTGCTCAGACTCCCTCATCATCTGCGACGAAAACACCGGCGGCCTCCCTAGCTACCGCGAACAATCCCTCAATAAACCCCCCAACGCGACCCTCCTTACCACTTACCCAGGTGGCGCCGCTATACCCTGCAACACCATCTGTTCTCTCTTCGGGTACGTCGATTCTCACCCTCACCCTTACCCTTCAACCCTGATAATCCCCTCACCTTTCCCCTCATCCACCAACACCAATACTAACATAACACACTATGATATAAAAATAAAGATGCGCAGATTTCACCATCCCCCTCAACCAAACCCCCTACCTCTCCCCCATCAGCAAAATCCCCGAACAATGGCCCGTAAGTATGAATCTCATGGTCCGTCGGGGGTGCGATTTCATTCTCTTCGATATGGTGGAGAGAATGGCTGAGGCGGGGATTATTTCGGCTGTGAAGACTGGGCGGACTGCGTATTAAGTGGTTGATTGATTGATTGATTGATTGGGGGGGTATAGTTTGGTGGTGGTGATTGATTGGGGTTGAGGAGGGGTTGGTTGGTTTCGTGGGTTTGTTTATGGGGATGGGGTTCAGGTTTATGTAGTTTTTTTCAAGGAGTCAGGGGTGGAGGAATTTGAAGGATGAGTTGGATTTTGTGGGATATATCAAGGCGGTAAATGGCATCTTTATTGTGCTGGGTAACGTAAACTGAGGATGTGACTTGCTTAGGGTTGAGTCGGGGTGGAGGAGAGTAGCTGCGCGCCGGGTCATACTACTATGGTTCGGGATCGGAGTTGGGGCGAACAGTCGAAACTGCAGGCCTCCACTCTACTCCGTACAGTGTAGTGCATGCAAGGAAAGCAGATCGCATTAACGAGTTGAGATACCGTCTACTATCTGTCACGCATATCCAGAAAAATAACCAGTGGTAATAATCATTAATCATAATCCAATACCATGTCTAAAACCCCGAAACACTCCAGTCCAAACCACGGAGTCAAGATCTACGACTTTGGCGGCGGGGGCGACACCCACTGTCCGTCCTGCAACCAGACTCCGGCCCCTCCGTATTTGCCGGCCTCCGCTCCCTTGAGGAAGGCAAACCGGAAGAAGAGGTCCTCCGGCGTCGAGTCATCTTCCTGGACGGCCAATTCCATGTCCATCGGGTCGCTCTCGATAGTCGGCCGATGCTGTAGTTCCAGCCCGTTGTGCCCATGCCGGTGCCAGATGAACTCGCCGCGCTCGTCTTCATCCAAGTAGCCGCGCCAGCGTTCAACATCGTTGACCAACACCGAGATACCATCCACTCCCAGCTCGTCCATGCGTTGCCGCTCCCACAGGCTAAATGTGATGTTGCCATTCCCGTGATGTCTCTCAGGCGAATCCGGGCCGGGAAGAGAGATAGAGACGGAGGCATCATTGACGTTGGGATAGGTGCCGCCCCACCATCCGTGCGCTCCTCCGGGGCCCGGGGCTTGCTCGCCCAAGGCCGCAGGCGTTTCGATGATCGACGCAAATCCCCACCGAGCTATGCCATTGATAAAAAGGCCCAGGAGTAACCCTTGGTAGATCAACGAGGGTCGCGTTGGAAAGGCGGTCCCCGGCATAAGGAGGATCGCGAGAATGTAATGATGAATCCTCAGACGGAGGCCCGGGAGTGGCAGCAAGATCAGTAGGATAAGACCCATGGTGCAATAGATCTTGAGATAGCGAGGCATCAACCCCCCCATGCGGATTTGCCAAGCCTGGCTCAAAATGATACAGACCACGGTCGGAATCACCAGAGCCAGTGCAACCTTTGCTCCGGGCTGTTTCTGGATATCATGGGGGGTGAGACGCTCCAGAGGGATCAGCCTAGCGAAAGTGTAGTTGTTCAGGCCGCCAATGAATGCGGGCGGCAGGTAGAGCAGTGTCTTGGTCACTTGGTACATCGGCTCCGAAAGCGGGGTCAATTGCGGCCGTGCGCAATACTTGTACAGGACAAAGGCCACAAACGACGCGGGCAACAGTCGCGAAAACATCGTTGAAAATAGGTCCGCAAACTGGGGGATCGATGGCGGGTCAGATACCAATCCCACCTGGCAGAACAGCATCACGAAGGTGCTGAAGAACAGAATCGGTGGGGAGGTGCAGAAGAGCCAGATGAGGCTCACGGCGCCGATGGTGATGCCCAGCAACGGCCAGCGGGGATCTTGAGGGCACGTCGCCTGCGACGAGGACAGCTCGATGAAGCTGAACGATTTGGGGAACGTCGACGGGAATCCGACCGAGCGGATTCCGTGCTGCTTCGACGCGTGGAAGGAATGCGCGGCACCCTCCAGCTTCACGACACCGCAACCACCAACGGCGTTCGTGATGACGCCCGCATGGATGGCCGCCTGGCAAACGAAGCTATCAGCTCGATAAACCCCCGGCTCATCTGAACCAGGTTGCGGCCCTCCCACCACTAGTCCCCGGTAGCTATAGGTTTGATTCCCAACCATGTGGGGTTCGAGCAACTTGGAGTCTCGGCAGTTGGCGGGACACCGGAAGGCAATATTCGAAGCGGAGAAGGGGCGGCAGTCATTTCCGTTGAGGCCACATTCATTGCCATGTTCCCTAGGAGCCGTAGGGTTAGCGGAGTCCAGTCGGGGAGATCCAACAACAGCACTTACCAGAAACTCGTCGAGCAAGCGAGCGTCTTCGGTCGGCCATAGCCTTCGATATATCCACCTTGCCGCGAATGCAGCAGAATGATCGTCCAGGGCAGAAACCAGACAAAGTATAGCAGGGCCAGCAGCGCAATCTTTTGCTTGCGCTTGGGGAACAACCGTTCCAAAAACCGAACCGGGAGTTCCTGGTACCGGGGGAACAAGGGCTTCAACAGCATGGATTGCGGCGGGTTCGGACCCTTGACCCAGTCAGCGACCGCCCAGCCGACCTTCCGCAGAGGCAACGGCACCCATCCCCAGCGAATCGATTTGGATGACTCCCGTAGCCAGACGGGTAGGTAGGGGAGGCCTGTTTCTTCATCCTGAGGTTGGTCGGAAGTGTCGGGATCGGCGGGGCGAGCTTCAGTGTCCAGCAATGGCGGAATATATGGCCGGGAGCCGTCCTCGGGCCCTTCACCAAGCATACTGCAGGTATCTCGGAGCGAACAGATCGAGCCAGCGACAGACGAATGCAGGGAATCAAGGCGAGGGACGTATCTAAGTGGGGGGGCGAACGGTGGAGGGAAGCTTAGGCTCGGTGTTCTAGAACCCAACCGGAGAGAGACCCTTCGCAGCCAGCGGAAGGGAGTCGCGGTCTCGACGCCGGATCACGGTGGGTGTTGCGAATCCAGTACAGGTAGAAATATGGAGATCGGGAGAATAGACAGACTGGGAGGAAAGGAAAGAGGCAAAGAAGGAGACGAGAGACAACAGAGGCGCCTGGTAAGGTTTCCCAGCCAGAGCCGGGGATTCCAGGTCACCCGCCCGAGTGGCGCCTGGCACCAATCACTGCCGCTTATGTCAGCCCTGCCTCCGCGTGGTTCCTGCACGGATTTTCAGGGGACAAAGCCGACCGGTGGCGAGAGCACCAGCTGTCGGGCCCCGAGGGGTGAAGTCATCCGATGACTGGTGGCGGGTGGGTCAGGCATCGTTGGAATGGCCCGTCGGCGTGGGCGCTGAGGAGAAGATGGGAGGATGGAGGATGAAGGAAGGGAAGTGGGCAACTGCGGGCGCCAGGGTCGCTCAGGGCCTAAGGCAGCTAGTACCACGCCGAGTCAATCATGAGGCCGCTTCCCAGCCCATGGTGCCGCAACCCCCTCCCACTGGATGGATGATCACGTTCATTCAGATGCACGTTTGGCTAAGCAACTTTCAATATATACCAGTCTCCCTTGCATTAAGAATCGAATACAGGATATCAAGATATCAAACACAGCAAACCTGATACGAACCCAGGCAAACCAAACCAAACCAGGGGTGATCTAGATTATATACACACATGCCACAAAATGGTAGACCTATAGACACACTGCGCCGTCCCGGAATCGCCCAAAACCCAACCTTGCAGGAGTCGCAAGCCATTATACCGAATCATTTCCGACCGCACCTCTCGGCCCGGAGGTTTAGCCCCCAATGACCATCCAGGCGATCATGCCTCCCCACATGCCCACGAACGCGATGGTCAGGATGGAGGCGCCCGCCTTGTCTCCGGTGGTGATAGCAGATAAAGTGCTGGTGTCGGATCCGGTATTATCGCCCGTGCCAGCATTCGGGTCACTGGTACTGTTTCCTCCCGTACTGGAGGTCACGGGAGCGGTCTTCTTGGTGTTGACCAAAGCGGAGGACAGCACATTGGTGACGGCGATCTCCTCCTCCATTCCATTCCATCCATCCCACTTCTTCGGATACCAGCGCACACCGCAGGTGTTGTTGTTCATTCCGGTGCAGGAGGCTGCGGCGGCTACTGCGGACCCCTGCAGCTTCGGCAGAATGGTGTCATACGTCGACGGAACGACCAAGGCCACAAATCCCAGCCACCCGGTGACAAGACCCTTGAAGAGAATTTCGTTGTCGTTACACACCTCGGCTGGTTCGCAGAGAACCTCAGACATGATGTTTCCACCATATGACGCCGGGAAGAATGTGTCAAGTGTCACGTTTAAGAGACCGTCCACAGCGGTTTTCCATTTGGCCTTGCCAGTCTGCGATCGACATTTGATTAGCTCAAGCGCCCACATCACGAACCCGAGTTCCTTACATAGTTGTACATGTATGCGGCTCCCATCAGGAACGTGCCGTAGTTGTAGGACCACTGGTTGTTACCCTGAGTCGTGCAACCATTACCGACATCGGTCGAATCGGCCACGTTCCATGTCTCGTTGTTCAGCAACGGAGTCGACGCACACCAATCGAAGATTTTCTCTGCCCAGTCGGCGTAGGTGTCGTTCGATGTGTACCGCGCCAGGCGGGCTGCGAGCTGGAACAGACCTCCGTTGGAGATGGAGTTCTTCATGTCGTAACCGGCTTCGTAGGGCCAAATCTGCCAGCGCAGACCGCCGCCACAGGTCTTGTCGTCCCATCGATCGACCTGAGTGTTGTAGACGCCCTGGGCCAAGGAAAGCCAGGAATATCCGGTGGAGCTGTCGGCAAATTCGATCTCGGCGGCGGTCATGGCGGCAAGACCCCAGAACATTTGGTCATCGTTACCCTAGGAAATAGAACACTTGGGTTAGGCGACTGAGTCCGGATCTCACTCCTGGCGATGTATCGCTTACCAAGTAACTACTGTAGTTGCTGGGCATGTAATCGCAGTCACCAGCTTGCCATTGCATGCCCTGGCGGACCTCGTCGTTGTAGGTACTGTCTTCGGTGTAATACCAGTAGAGAAGTAAACTCATGAACAGAGCACTACCCTCCCACCACTTGGAAGGGAAAGCACCGGGGATTTGGCCAGTTTCATTTCCATGATACCAGGTCATGGACCCGTAGGCTGACTGGCTGGCGGCATTTTTGAGGGAACCTAGAAGGGTAAGGATCACGATGAATCAGTGCCAGGTCTATGGTACCGACTTCGTATCGAATGTATCGAGAGGGATCAATAGCGATGGAAAATCCATCCAGGTCTTAGGAATGGAGGGGGGCAGGAATGAGGGAGGGGAGGGCGGTGATAGGGACCGGACGGCAAGGGAACGGCAGAGATAGGGGAAGCATACTGGTGCTGCTAATGTCGAGATCGATGGCGCGGGAGAGCTGGGAGAAGAGAGCGGCATTAAGGAACAACCCCCCATAGAGACAATCTCGAAATAGGCGCATGGCGAGATATGGGGGGGGAGGCAAAACGAGTGTGGGAGCGAGGGTCGGTCAAGACTGACCAGCAGGAACGGATGGGGAAGAACGAAAGGAAGTCAGTCAGTCAGACAGACAGTCAGGATGGCATGGAAGCAACAGCAGCATCTGGACTGCAGAAATGGGCCGGGGATGGCTAATCCGGCCAGCCCGTCGCCTATTTTTAATTGTCTTTTCCCACTTCTTCGGACGGGAAATGAGCCAACCACTGGCCCTGGTGGAGCTGGCCCCGTCCACGTCAGCCTCGTGCAATCACTGGCCGCGAGCCCCCATTATTCGAGGCACCAAGGTCGATGGTGCGACAGGGTCATCCTCCATCCCAGGAGCTATTCCCGCAGCTGTTGGTCCCTGGCTCATCCTTTCAGGGTGTACGCAAGCCAAAAGCGCGGTGGTGCGCCTGATGGCGGCAGTACGAATACGGCGACAAACAAGATCTCCGTGGGGATTTTGCCCCTGGAACAAAGGTTTATTGGGAAGCGGGTACCATGGATGAACGGACTGGCGGCGGTTGACTGACTTAGCCCGCTTCAGGTCGCAAGTTGCACGTCGATATGTACGCCATTCTATCTTAAGCTTTTCTGCCCAGCATTGCCAACCATCCCAAGCATTCATGGCATCTTGTCTGTCACACCAGGCCTGGATCTTGGCTAAAACCGATCAGCGGATCGATTCGGGGCGCCCCTTGCGGGTGTCATTCCCAAGGCCCATGCGACGGACCAAGGACTTTCCGAGGTCACCATCAGTCTGGGCCAAAGCAAAATGTAAGACACAGCTTATTTTCTATCGATTTAATCGATGTCCCCTATTTCTCGCCCCCACCGGAAGGGCAGTTAAGTCAAACTAAGAATGTGGATCGACAGCCGTCTCCCCCGCAAGGGTTATAAAGTCCTGCTGCTGCCTGCTCGAACTGGAGCATTGCGTACCATGGCCCCTGGAGCCGCAGGGTCCACCTGGGATGTGATTCTTTGACCAGAACTGTTTGGAGTACTCCGTACACCCTTGTCGGCCTGCTATAAAAGGAAGGTCTATGAAAGAAAACCGGCATATCAAATCGAAAGTGGGGTAGCGCTTTCACTCCATGATATTGCGTAAGTGCGTCTCCGGGTCCTCCGATGGCTGGCGTGCCCCGGGATCTGACATGACGTACTGAGTATCTAGATGGAGATCACCCTTGGTTTCTTGATGCAACAGTGCCCAAAGCCATGGCAGAGATAGATAGATAAGACGATCTATGGATCCAGACAGAGTCAGTTGCTATAATTGGCGATGATCTCTTGGTCTTATGATACGTGCTGCTCGTCTGACCACTGTATAGAAGTCACTGTGTAGGCGCTACTATCGCAGCGATCCAAGATTTTCCCCATGTCATGACCGATGGTCACAGTTTCTAGTTGAGGCAGTTGTAGCGCTTTGGCCAAACCAAGCCAGCATTGAAGGGTGGCAAGTACTAAACTGCAAAGAGATCCAGTTCAAGCCGAGGAGCGAGAAGAGGAGGATGACAGGCGGGCAGAAATGCTCCTCTGGAATGCCGTATTCCGGGGAGCCTGTCACTCCGGATAGGCAAAGGAGCCAGCCGCGCACATGCGCTCGGCCCCGATCACGTGGGTCCCCCGCGGATGGGGCTTAGCCGGGATTCCTCCGATTGCGGCGCCCGTTAAGCGGATGTTTTTCTCAGGCCAGCAGGAACTCTTTCCTTTTGCATCCCCTTCTGCACGATATTCACAATGGCTGCTGCTGCTAGAACGCTCCGCATAGGTTAATTGGTCCTTCCCTGGTCCTTTGCTTCTTCTCCCTGTCCGCCTAGCCACTGACATCTTCTCTCGCGTAGGTCTCATCCCCGGTGACGGCATCGGCCGAGAGGTCATCCCGGTGAGTCATGATGCAGCGAACAGCTCCCTGTTGAAGCACAATTCTAACCCGATCGCTATCCCAGGCCGGTCGGCGGGTGTTGGAGTCTCTCCCCTCTTCCCTGAACCTGAAGTTCAGCTTTGTCGACCTCGATGCAGGCTTCGACACCTTCAAGCGCACCGGCAGCGCTCTCCCCGACACCACCGTCGAGACCCTCAAGAAGGAGTGCGATGGTGCCCTGTTCGGAGCTGTCAGGTAAGCAAGCCCTTCCTCCTTTCTCTCTTTCTTCAATCTAATAATCCTCTCCAGCTCTCCCAGCACCAAGGTCGCCGGCTACTCCTCCCCCATCGTGGCCCTTCGCAAGAAACTGGACCTCTACGCCAACGTCCGCCCTGTCAAGACCACCGCTGGCAGCAGCGACGGCAAGCCCATTGACCTGGTCATCGTCCGTGAGAACACCGAGGATCTCTACGTGAAGGAGGAGCAGACCAAGGACACTCCCAACGGCAAGGTCGCCGAGGCCATCAAGCGCATTTCCGAGAATGCCTCCTCCCGCATCTCCACCATCGCCGGTGAGATCGCCCTTCGCCGCCAGAAGATCCGCGATGTGGCTGCCGTTTCCGGTCTCCGCACCAAGCCCATGGTGACCATCACCCACAAGTCCAACGTGCTCTCCCAGACCGATGGTCTCTTCCGTGAGACCGCCCGCAAGGCCCTCTCCGCTGCCCGCTTCTCCTCCATCGAGGTCGAGGAGCAGATCGTCGACTCCATGGTGTACAAGCTCTTCCGTCAGCCCGAGTACTACGACGTCATTGTCGCCCCCAACTTGTACGGCGACATTCTGTCCGACGGTGCTGCCGCTCTGGTTGGTAGCTTGGGCCTGGTGCCCAGCGCCAACGTCGGTGACGGCTTCGCCATCGGTGAGCCCTGCCACGGCAGTGCCCCCGACATCGAGGGCAAGGGTATCGCCAACCCCATCGCCACCCTGCGCAGTGTCGCCCTGATGCTGGAGTTCCTGGGTGAGGAGGCTGCCGCCGCCAAGATCTACACCGCCGTCGATGCCAACCTCGACGAGGCCCGCTTCCTTTCCCCTGACATGGGTGGCAAGGCCACTACCCAGGAGGTTCTGGACGATGTCCTCAAGAGACTGTAAAAAGATTCTTCTCAAAATATGTATGTACATGTACGGGGTAGAGGAAAAATAGACTCTGGGGCGAGTTATCAAAAATAATATATAGTTCCTATGACAACGACAGTAAATGAAACGATAGAACTAAACCGACATTGTCCCTTCGACCAGACAGATCATAATCCTACCAAGAAAGGAGGCAAATAAAAGACAAACCGTAGCTATAGCAAACGGCAAACGGCAAATGAAGCCTTAACTCGACCACTCAACACCAAACTAACTGATCCTAGTAATTACTATCAACTTTCCTCACAGACAAATGAAGGCAAGAAAAACACCCACAAACTCAATTATATTACCACCCGCCGCTACAATCCCAACATCAACATCATGTTACCATCACGCAAAGTATACTATAAATATCAAAGGACCGTCTAGTCTGCATCCACCGCCCCCAAACACAACAACAAAGGAGCATATAAAGGATGGGATTTCTAAAGTTAACGTGCTATGCAGATAGATGTATACAAAGCTCAGAACACACAGAACGATGCATTTTGACCGATTAGTTCAAACATCTGAGAATGGTGACGATTCTGAAACGCAAGAAGGGAAAATTGATCGGGATTAGTATATATGCAGGCTGTTAGGAACGGGAAAAGGCGTGGGAAAGATTGCGAAGAAAGGTAGGTAGGTAATGCTACCTATGGATATCTTGTGGGCTTGTTGTTTTTTTTTTTTTTAGTTACGTGGTTTGATGGGTATTGATTGTATTGGTCTTGGTCTTGGTCTTGGTCTTTCTGTTTGTGTCTAGTTAGAGATGCCTCGTTGGATTGTTGAAGTGGTAGGGAGGGAGTGAGCAGAAATCGAATACAATGTTGATTGTATTAGTATAAAGCTCTCTTTGGAATCGAGATGATATTGCTCCTCAGGATTGTGTAGTATAAAGGAGACTTCATGTCTACTAAGCACTGCGTTCGTTTTCCGCATCCTCGAAAGTGTGTAAGACAACTATCTAGATCTATGCAAGATAAACTTTTATATGTAACATAAGAAAAAGGTCCTGATAAAGGGAGGAATAAAAGAATGACTGTGATCTGAATAACTGTGATATGAGCATCTCTCAACGATGTTCCTCCACCACCTGATGAAAATCTCTCTTGACGGTAATGGCATTATTCGGCATGTTGTCCAGCCGGACCATTTCCATCCCCGTTTCCATATCGACCACCTTCTGCACGGAGTATTCCGCGGAGCTCTTACTGGAATGATGGTTGTCATTGGACGAGTTTCCGTTCTGCAATTGGATCCACTGCTCACTGAGCGTCTCGCTGAGGCGGTGTCGACGTGGACGGGACCGGGAGGCGAAGCTTTTGGATTCGCGACCATACTGCAGACGGGGCGCGGAGGAGCTTCCTCCCGTTCGGCTGGTCACTTTCTGGGCGGCTTGTTTGAACAGGCGGTAGATTATGGGGAGGTTGGCGCAGAGGATTCCACCGAGGGATTCGAAGCCGGATAGGACGCCGAGTTCGACGCCGTCCCCTGGTTTGTGGGGTTAGTTGGATTGGATGGGGGATGAAGGGTGGAATCGAACGTACAGGTGACATCTGAGGATGTTTGGGCGAAGACGAAGGCTAGACGAGCAGCGCTGATTCCGCAGGTACTATGAGGGATGTTAGTGTTAGGATCGGTCCGAGGGAGAGAGGATGGGAGGATATGCTTACATGAATCCAATTGAGAAGATAATGCAGAGTGCAATTTTGTTATGCCGAGTCGTACGCAGCCGTACAATGACCCCAATGGGCAGAGCAAAGATGACGATATCGGTGATCATGTTTGAGGTGTTCACGTAGTATGATAGGGCACTAGAGTTGAAGCAATGCCCTTTGACACTGGCGTCCCAAAAAGCCTCCAATGGCCGACAGAGCAAACCCATGAAGATTTCAATGGTCGCAATCCAGAGACAGACAAAAGCGCCACAGCCGATCACCGTTTTGCGGAACCATGGGATGGTGAAAATGCGATAGTATAAGGCGAGGATGCTGAGTTTGACGCTGGCAAGACCGACATTGTAGAGGTGACTGGCAATATAATCACCCTGCATCAAGGTCAGTGGCTCCGAGGACGGTGACAGGGTCTATGGCTGACTGATTCGCACCTTCAAAAAGGCCTCCTGGTCGCTAGTCGAGAGGGTTGAGACATGTTTTCCAAAACCATGACTTACGCCTAGACATATTAGCAGATTCTCAAAGACCCAAGAAAGTCTACATACCGATGGAGAGCATAACAATACTGTACGCTACCTCCAGCCCCTAACCAAAGACAACAAAGATCGTCAGTATGCGGCGGGTCTAGTCAGGCAAAGGGGGTAAACAGACCGTGGCCAGGGTAATCAGGTAGTCATCTGCATGGAAGCGGTCTTCTGATGGACCGCGGACTTTGACAACCAGTCGTAAACCGGTGCTCAGCACCATGCAGATGATGGGGACGGTGTATCCCGCAATCACCACAGGCACCCTCGAGGCGGTCTCTTGCGAGCTCGTCATGGTGGTCTACATAGTCTGAAACGCACCATGTACCGACGGAGATGGGAGCCTGTGATGATCCAGCCGGTCCAGGCCAGTTTATAGGGCCCTGGATCTTGACGGTGTGAGACCGTAGCCATTTACATCTGCCCCAGGGGTTGTCGGCGCCAGCTGGGAACAAGATCCTGCCACTAAATTAGTGACAAGACCTATGGTCTGGACTATTGAGCCCAGGCAGGACTGGTCGCGTAATTCATCTCTCGACACGAGAGATAATTATTGAGTGGGTACATTGAGGCCACTGTAGTCCACGAGGCAGCTTGGCTAGATGGCCACATCGTCCGGTTTCACCAAGCGAACATAGTTTCGATGTCTAATTACCAACGCCTAGCACTCGGTCCAGGATGGAATCCCTGCTCCTCGGGTGGATTCCGATCCCTTGCATCTGGCTAGTACTGCTCCATTTAGAGAATGGGGAGGCCAGTTTCGAGAAGTGGTAATACATGAAACCAGATTACCGTCGGTGGTAAGGCCAGATGGTAATGAACGGAGACCAATGTCATCCACACTTAAGCCGTTGGTTTCAGCTGGTCATTTGAGTGGCAGGAAACAAGGAAGACTGTTGGTTGACAGATCGGCTCCGGCGTGTTTAGGGCACGGGGAGGTCTCCTTAGTGCCCGGTTCGGAGGCCCTTAGCGTTATGGATGGGCCTTCGCGGCAAGAAAGCACTCGCCAATCCTGTCGGGACCTCGATATTAGCCTCGATGGTGGCGCTGTCCCGCTCGTCCATCGGTCCATGACCCTATTGTAATTTGTAAGTCGTGGGACGGAACGGAACCATGCCTCCACTTCGGTGTCCCCCGTTTCCCCGAGGTCAGCTCAGCCCACTCGAGGTCCCAAGACTCTTTCCCTCGCTCCCTTCTCTCTGGGCTGAGGAAGCACCCTGGCGGTGAGAATAGCAGTAGAGACATGACTGATGGTCAACATGTTCATCTCGTGGTCTTTGAACCCTGACTCTGACCCTGCCACTCCCTCCGAGTCAGATTCATCGCCTCCAAAGGTGCCCCAGCCCAAGGTTCGGTCCCGCACCGGCTGCCTAACGTGTCGTCGGAGACGGCTCAAATGCGACGGTGCGTGTTGTCTATTGCCTGTGTTGCCCTTCTTTCTCCGGAGGTTGGGGGGATCCCCGTGCCCCTGTCCGGGTGATCCGATTTTGTACACAACAAATTCTTGGCGACCACAAAACTCATTCACAGGCGCTTCCAGAAGCTCATCCAGTATGCATGCGCTGTCAGCGGTCGAAGAATCACTGTGTCTACGGGGTCCGCCTTCAATGGCAGGATGATATGCGCACAGCGGGGAAGTGCCACGGACGAACCGGGATCGGCTCCCGAAAAAAATCGCTGCAATGCATGGAATCCGCAGAAGATGACCTTTCGCATTCAACACGGGCCCAGCAACAAGATCATCCTGATAACGATGGGGTATCCGCGTTGATCCTCACTCCACCCTCCTCGCACAGTCCACTGCGGGCCGCGACGTCAGAATGCGTCTCCATTCCAACGGAAAACAGTTATCGAGCTCGCTATTATTCTTGGAAAGAGGGAAAGGTTCAGTCACCCAGGACTTCGCTCCAGGTGCTGCCATGGAGCATCGGAGTTCCTGATGTCGACGATGTATGTCTGTCATTCTATGAGTCGGTGATGTGCAAAGTTGCCGTCACCGTCGACGACGAGTACACCAATCCTCTCCGCAACACGGTGATGCGCATGGTATTTCGGTCTGAACTGGCCTATTATTCTGTGCTCATGGCCAGTGCGCAGTATCTGCGATCTTTCGAGCGCCGCTTCGATCTTCTGGAAATGCAGGTCCGACAGAAGGTGCTTGGGGGGTTGCGTCGGGCATTGACGAAACCTTGCTTGGATTTGGAGGACGTGTTACTACCGACGATATTTCTCTGCTCTTCAGCTGTATGTGCCTTCCTAACCGAGATATCATCGATGTTAGCACTGATTAGTGTCAGATTTCCCACAGCTGTGATGCCTCCTGGGTTCGCCATCTGACCTGCTTCCAACTAGTCATCAAGCAGAAGATTCGGGGCCACACGCCAACCTATGTGCCCCAACTTTTCCTGAGCTACTTCTCCGCCCACCTAGTGCTAGCCAAGTCGCTCTTTCCCATAGATAGGGTACTCACGGTTGTAGATGTGTGGAATGATCCGTCATCGACAGTAAATGCAGAAGGAGCCTCCTGGACCTCCTCGGAGGTATTATCCAAGGTGATGAGGCCAGAGACACTGAACGAAATTGATATGTGGAATGGCATGAGCAATCACATGCTCCTGTTAATCAATGATATATTGAGCCTCAAGGATGACGTCCAAGCATTGCATGAGCAAGACATGTTGCTCGAAGAGAAGCAAACGGCCATTGAGGCGAAGATCACCACCTTGCAGACGAGCCTCCAAACCATCACACACCTGCTCCCGAACTCTCTGCATCAATTTCGCGACTCCGCGGAGGGTGCGCATCGTTGCCGCCTCCTCGAATATACCAGCGAAGCATATCGTCTCGCTGCCTGTCTGCTCCTCTCAGAGGCGTCCACACCGGCTTTTCTCGGTTATACTAGCGGATTCGGAATGGGTTTGGACACGATGCGAAAGCAGCGACACATAGATTCGATACTGTCACTGGTAGAGTCCATCGTCTCATCCTTGGACTATCTTCCAATCTCTTGGCCTTTGTGGGCCCTCTTCATTGCCTCATGCTGCAGTACTTCTGAACCGGAGAAAACACGGGCCCTGGCGCTGTTTCATGCCGCGCAGGGGAAAGCTCCATATGAGAATACGGTGCGGGCACAGACAGTAGTGGAACTGCTATGGCAGCGACGCGGGCTGAATGTGGAAGGAGTGAGAATGCGGATCGGTCGGTTTGAGTGGGAGTCAGTCATGGAGTTTCTGGGGTGGCAGACGAGCTTTGCCTGAATCACCTGATTCACGCCCTCGTGATTCCCAACTGTACTAGTTTTATACCCCAACGCATTCTATTATGTATTCGACTATGGAGCCCTCAACAATCTAACAATAGGTTCTCTAATCTCGAGACTGCAACCTACAGGCAGTACCGATAGTTCTCGTTTTGCCAGTCCGACACATCGCCGGTGGCACTCTGCTCCGAGAACGACTCCACGGCGTCCTCCAGCTCAGGAGACTCGGGCTCAATAGTCCGGCCCTGTTTGCTATCCCTTCGCTTATTCTCCCACATCATGTATGCCCGCAGCGCAATCACGTCGACCACAGCAATGCAGAAGCATGCCAGAATAGCCGCAAACGCAGTCTACATATCCACTATCAGCCACTTGATCACGACACGAGGGAAAGTAAGGGGGAGAGAAAATAGGGGAAGCTTACCTGATACCGTGGCGCTTCATTGGTCTTGAAGAGCTGAGGGCCAGCAATATTTCCGACACAGTACCCAATGAACAGGATTGCTGTGACGGTACTCTTCTTCGTGAACCCGGCAAAGTTACTCGAGATCAAACTTAGACTGAGTGGCCATCCAGCACCAAAGACGCTGACGAGCCAAACGCCAACCAAACGGCCCCATTTTTTATGCGTAGGAAGTTGTCGCATGAGCAGGATACCGATCAAACTGACCAGAAGAGTAATAATCATCCAGTAACAGCGGAGACCACGAAAGCGATTGCATGTGTATGCGCTGAGGAGGAGGAAGACAAGGGCAACGGCAGCCATGGGGATGGTGTAAAGAAGAGTGTTGAAGGTGTCGAAGCCGAAGGATTCAATCACCAGGCTAGAGAACTGTGGTATGTTAGTTTTTTCGCTCTCCCTTTCTTTGTCTTTGGTGAATTGGTCTGGTTGAGGGGAACTTACGTTGGTGATTCCTCCGTTCGGCAAGGAAACCATGAAGTTGTAGATGAACAAGAACCATGTCTTCGGGTCAAGCCATGCTTCAATGAACTGGTCCTTCTTCCATTCGCGACTCTGGTAGCTCTTTTGGCATGCCTGTGCGCGACGGTAGACGGGTTCGCGCTGATTCGGCTGGAGGAACTTGGCGTTGCGGGGGGAGTCAGGGAGCACGAAGAATAGGAAGATCGACCACGCCAAGGTAATCAATCCGAAGATGATAAAGAGCCATTGCCATGGTCCCAGTCTATCCTCGACGTGCCCGATGGCATAGGCGAGAACACCACCGAAAATCGCGGCCACGCCGTTGCCCGCAAACCAGATGCAGCTGCGTAGGGCGTGCTCCGACGGCGTATACCACATACTCACGACCAATGTAAATCCGGGACTGATGGCGCTTTCGAAGACGCCCAGGAGTACTCGGAGCGCGGTCATCCCTGCAAAGTTGGAGGCTGCTGCATGACAGGTTAGGATAATCGCCCAGAGGATCCTGGTCAGTCAGTTAGCAGCCATTTGAAGCTGGAATAGAAGTCGCAGCATACATCATAGTAGAAAGGTATTTTCCCAGGGGAAATTTGACAAAGCCCAGGGAGACGGGATAGGATGCGACGAGGTAGCCGAAATAGAAGGCACTAGAGGTCCAGGAATATAGATCTGTAGTCATGTGCTATTTGAAGGTCAGAACGGTTTCGAGAATTGCAGGGTCGCAGCATACCGTGCCAGTCAAAAGACCCAGGATTGATGCGTATGACAGTGTGGTCTTATCGAGATATTGTAGCAGGTATGAGAAGAACATCAGGGGGAGGAGGCAAAGGTCAATGCGACGAATAATGGCCTTTTCCTCCATGTCCGAAAGAGGTTGAACAGAGTCATTTGGACCTTTGGAGAAGCTTTTCTCGTCCTCCGTCGGAGGAGTCATGGTAGTATCAGAGGCGGCCATGTTGTGAGAGTGCTTGTGAGTGACTCCTTGTCGGGACGAGAGGGGAGGGGCAGCAGAAGAAGAACCTGGTCGCTCTTTAACCTCCGATCCAGAAACCAGCCATACACTCGTGCAGCACGGTCTCGACCGTAGATTAATTTGCGGCACCATCTGGCGCTGCGCCGTTAGGGCTGCCGGGGCCCCGCCGCTGCCGAGGCTTGTGTCGGCCGGTGCCTTACTATCCCTGCTAGTCGTGTCCTTAGGCCTCCGATGGCGTATTACCGTCACGCTTCGTATGCCCAGCTAAGCCGGATTCAGTGTGGAAGCCCCTCGCTTCGACCTACTGATCTGGTGAGATGGAATCCATTCCCTCGCCAAACCGATGGTGATCATATGAGTGCCGGAGGATAGCCGCGTACTATCATGTCGCTAACAGTATGCACTAGGCCTAGCTCGGCAGCCTGCAGTTAATATATTTTCCCTAGACAGACCAGGATTATATCCTTGCAACGTTGCAATTGCCAGAGACTTATCCGCGAGACCCTCCACATCCCTTTTACCATGCATCGCCCTTTGACCGACAGCACCCTCTACCGCATTAATGCCGACATCCTCATCCCCGGCCGGGGGGCACCAATTCCCCATGGCGCTGTGGTCTGGAGATCCAATATCATCCTCTATGCGGGAACCCAGCTGGACGTACCCGCGGAATATCACACGGCCATCGCCACCCACGTTCCCGTTGTCATGCCAGGCATGTGGGATTGTCATATACACTTCTTAGGTGCAGCAGCAGCGACCATGGATTCAATCGTGAATACCCCGCAAGCACTGGCGGGGGCTCGGAGCGTCCCTGACTTGTATGCCACCATCATGGCGGGATTTACTTCAGTCCGCGAAGTCGGGGGCTATGGCTGCGAGCTGGCCAAGGTCATTGCCGAGGGCCGTATTCTGGGGCCAACCATCTACGGCGCGCATAGCGCCATCAGCATGACAGCAGGCCACGGCGACGTGCATGGCGTAAATCTCGAGGGTCTGCGCGACTTGTGCACGCATGGACTGCCGTTGACCATCGCAGACGGGGTACCGGAGTGTCTGCAAGCCGTGCGCAAACAGTTACGACATGGAGCACGCGTCATCAAAGTCTGCGCCAGTGGTGGTGTAGTGAGCGCTATTGACGACCCGCAGCATCAAGAATTCTCTTTCGAGGAGCTAAAAGCGATTGTCGACGAGGCGGCGCGGGCAAGACGCGTTGTGGCCGCGCATTGCCACGGCAAAGCAGGCATCATGAATGCTCTCCGCGCAGGATGCCGCACGATCGAGCATGGCAGCTACTTGGATGAGGAGGCTGTCGATCTGATGCTTGAAAAGGGTGCTATGCTGGTGGCAACACGTAGCGTCATTGAAAGCGGGCTGGCGATGCGAGACCTATTCACACCTGGCTCCTACCAAAAGTTGCTGGAGGTGGCGGACACGCATAAGAAGGCATATCAATTAGCGGTAAAACGCGGTGTGCCTATTGCCCTGGGCACCGACCAATTCATCAGTTCAGATAACCCAGAGCTGGGGTATGGACGCAATGGCAAGGAACTGGTATACGCGGTTGCGGCAGGCATGACGCCTTTGGCTGCGATTGAAGCTGCTACAGCCAATGGACCGTTGACACTGGGTGACCAGGCACCGAAGAGTGGCCAGCTGAGGGAGGGATTTGACGCAGACATTATTGCACTGTCGGCAAATCCACTGGATAACATAACAGTGATTTCTGATGCAAAGAACGTCACCCACATCTGGCGATGTGGAAAGCTGGTCAAATCATAATCAAAGTGAGAATATAATAATAATGATAATCTTCAGTCAGTCCTCAGGATCTGGGCTTTTCCGGCCTGCTGCTCAGCTCTATAGAATGTAGGGGAGGGCAGGAACATTCCATATGACCAAAGCCCGTCTAAACCTTGATCACGCAGAGCATACTCCTTGGTAGGATTCCCGGAATGACAGCCTGACTTGAGGCTTTGCATTGCTGAGAGCATCATAGGCTTCCCGTTCATCCTTATTTCGCATCTGGGCGATAGGATCTTGTATGTCAGCTTCAGCCTCCCATTTATCCTGAAGACTGATACCGTTGCATCAACTTTTGAGAATAGGCCTTGTGGGACATGTCCTTAGAGGCTCAGTATCGGATCGCGTGGGTTCGTACATTTGCCCCTTTCTACTGTCCCTCTGCCTGCGTTAGAATTTAAGTGCTCTTTGAACCGCTCAGTCGTATGGAAGAAGGTCACTTACTTGGAATACAGGCACCAAGGCCCGCACTGAGTGGGAAGACGACAAGAGAAGACGAAACTCGAGTTGGTAAAGCGAATCATTTCGTGAAGGGGAGAAGGGAAGTGAATAGGAGGCTTCAACTCGCCAAGAACTTTTCTTTCCTTCGCCCCAACCACTTCTCCTTATTCTTCTTCTTCTTCCCTTCTCCTCACTATCGGGTTTTCTTCTTACATTCTCAACCCCGATTCCGTCTGCTTGCAAATCAAACCCATTCAACGTCGCCAATACGAGATGAGCACCACTCTGGAATCAAAACTCTCGCCCGGCTCGATGATGGACATTGGGTCGACCTCGTTGCCAAGCAGATAACGCCTGGCGGAATGAAAATGTCGCAGACTCGCTTATGCAAACCCATTTTGTCATATCTGTGGTTATGAGGGGGCGGTGGATTAGCCAAGGCCATCGATGGCCTGGACGCGCTGAAAATGTGGATTGTCTGGATGTCCGGATAAACCGGCAACGCTCAGAATGGGAGAGGCCGGCTATCGATGCCGTATCATCAACCTCGATTGTCTCAGATACGCCGGAGTTCGATTCCTGCAGATGCTGGTGAAGGTGAATGCCGTTGCATTTTAGGCCTGGCATTCAACTGACTGTGTATCCTCGCCGTTCTCGAACTCAACAATTTCAACAACCTATAGTCAGTACTTGAATGTGGTGGTCCATACACCCCTACTACAAAAAATCAACAATGATCTTCCGGGAAATTCCAGAAGATTGACACGTTAAGCTAACGTGGATCTGGTGCGATCATTTCGTCTACTATGAAACATCTAGTGGGACAAATAATCGCTGCTATAACGCTATATTACCTTTTCGGGAAGACTACGGGAGCCGTTCATCCGTCCTATTGAGGAAACAAGATGCGGCACCTTGGCATCAGTGGATGGCTGATGGATCATTTCCATAACTACATACCCTTTACTGCTGACAGTACTCCACTCACGGCTACTCGGCTCACCAAAGGCATGGATTCAGACGCGCAGTATCAGCGCTCAACTGTCCCAAAGGCCCCTGGGCCCATCAATCATATATAAGGGGCTGTATCTCGCAGAGCTTGGGTTCTATGTGACACAGAAAGCAATCCCGTTCAGTTCTGTCTTCTTCATTCATCTGCCTGGCTCTTGACATCATGAATTCTTACCCGCGCTCGGAAGACGCAAAGTCTTCCGAGTTCCCTAGCCCAGAGAGAAAAAGTCTCGACACCCTGAATGTCCCACACACGATTGTGCGGGAAGCCTCAAGTGCGGAAACCCTGGCTGTTCCTCATACAAACAACACCTCGACCCCGGGCAAAGATGCCGAATGGAGCATGACCCCGCAAGTCATCCGAAACCAGGAGCGTGAGGTTGCAGCTGGCTTCAAGAGGCGAGAGCTAGGTGTGACCTGGGAGAACCTCAGCGTGGAGGTTCCTGCGGCAGAAGCCTCAGTCAACGAGAACTTGTTTTCCCAGTTTAACGTGCCCCAACGGATCCGAGGCATTGGCCGAAAACCGCCTTTGAAGTCAATCTTGACGGAAAGCCACGGCTGTGTCAAACCGGGTGAGATGCTCCTCGTCTTGGGCCGCCCGGGCTCGGGATGCACGACTTTACTAAATCTTCTCTCCAATCGCCGCCTTGGCTACCACACCATTAAGGGCAACGTGTGGTTTGGAGACATGACCCATGAAGAAGCGGCTCAATATCGAAGCCACATCGTCATGAACACCGAAGAGGAGCTATTCTACCCCCGGCTAACCGTTGGCCAGACCATGGACTTTGCCACTCGACTCAAAGTTCCCTCTCACCTCCCAGAAGGTGCCAAGTCCGTGAACGAATATACTGCTGAAACGAAGAGGTTTCTCCTGGAGTCGATGGGCATTTCACATACAGCCGACACTAAGGTGGGGAACGAGTTTGTGCGGGGGGTGTCAGGAGGAGAAAGAAAGCGAGTATCAATCATCGAATGCCTGGCAACAAGGGGCTCGGTCTTTTCCTGGGATAATAGTACTCGTGGTCTTGATGCCAGTACGGCGTTGGAGTGGGCTAAAGCTTTACGAGCAATGACCAACGTTCTCGGGCTTACCACGATTGTGACCCTGTATCAGGCAGGGAACGGAATTTACAACCTCTTCGACAAGGTTCTGGTCTTGGACGAGGGGAAGCAGATTTTCTATGGACCCGCAGCTGCAGCAAAGCCATTCATGGAGAACCTGGGGTTCGTCTATACAGATGGAGCTAATATCGGTTAGTTGTCCTCTTCTGTCTTTCGCGGCAATTCTAATCCCGAGTTTCGCAGGCGATTTTCTGACCGGTGTGACCGTTCCTACTGAGAGAAAGATTAGACCAGGCTATGAAAGTAGGTTTCCTAGGAATGCCGATGCTATTATGGCGGAGTACAGAAAATCAGCCATCTACAGCAACATGGTAACAGCATATGATTATCCGACAACCGCGCTTGCTCATGAACGGACGAGTGCATTCAAGGAGTCTGTTGCCTTTGAGAAGACTACCCATCAGCCCAAAAATAGTCCGTTCACCACCAGCTTCTGGACGCAGGTCATAGCATGCACGCGGCGTCAATACCAGATCCTATGGGGTGAGAAGTCTACATTTTTGATCAAACAGATTCTGTCCCTGGTTATGGCCTTGATTGCCGGCTCCTGTTTCTATAAAGCTCCGCAGACTTCCGCTGGTCTCTTTACCAAAGGAGGTGCCGTCTTTTTCGCGCTTTTGTATAACACCATCGTTGCCATGTCTGAGGTCACGGAGTCCTTCAAAGGGCGACCAGTCCTTGTGAAGCATAAAGCATTTGCTTTCTATCATCCGGCCGCATTCTGTTTAGCCCAGATTATGGCAGATCTCCCGGTGCTGCTATTCCAGTGCACGATTTTTTCGGTCGTGATTTATTGGATGGTTGGCTTAAAAGCTACGGCGGCAGCCTTCTTTACCTTCTGGATCATCCTATTTAGCACAATTTTGGTGAGGCAGCCCCCAGCCTACAAGCCTTTCCATTCCCTCACTTACAGTTGTAGTGCATCACCGCGCTATTCAGGTGTATCGGCGCGGGCTTCAGCACCTTTGAAGCCGCATCGAAAATTTCGGGAACCGCTATCAAGGGAATTGTCATGTATGCCGGATACATGATTCCCAAGCCCAAGGTTAAGAACTGGTTCCTAGAGTTGTATTACACCAACCCTATGGCCTATGCGTTTCAAGCTGCCCTGTCCAACGAATTCCATGACCAATACATCCCCTGTGTCGGCAATAATTTGGTCCCTCATGGGCCTGGATATGATGATGTTGGTTCCGCCAACAAAGCGTGTACTGGTGTGGGTGGTAGTTTGCCAGGCGCAGACTACGTTACCGGTGATCAGTATCTCTCGTCGCTGCACTACAAGCATTCTCAACTCTGGAGAAATTTTGGCGTCGTATGGGGGTGGTGGGGCTTTTTCGCCGTGCTCACGATCATCTGCACTACATTTTGGAAAGCTGGTACCGGGGGAAGTGCTTCATTGTTGATCCCACGCGAGAAGCTCAAGCAGCATCAGAACAGCATGGACGAAGAGTCGCAAGTCAATGAAAAAGGCCAAGCCAAAGCCGCCACTGGTGCCACTGCAGAGGTGGATGGCAGTCTTTCCCGGAATACTTCTGTGTTTACGTGGAAGAACCTGAAGTATACCGTCAAAACCCCTTCAGGCGATCGGGTCCTTTTGGATAACATCCACGGCTGGGTCAAACCGGGAATGCTTGGGGCTTTGATGGGCTCTTCAGGAGCCGGCAAGACGACCTTGCTTGATGTTCTCGCGCAGCGCAAGACCGAGGGCACTATTACTGGGTCTATCATGGTCGATGGCCGGCCGCTACCCATTTCGTTTCAAAGAATGGCTGGATACTGCGAGCAATTGGATGTTCATGAACCCTATGCTACGGTCCGGGAAGCCTTGGAATTTTCTGCGCTGCTGCGTCAGCCCCGAACGACGCCTAAAGCAGAAAAGATTCGGTATGTTAACACCATCATCGATCTGCTGGAGCTCCATGATCTGGCAGACACCCTCATCGGCACGGTCGGCAATGGCCTCAGCGTGGAGCAAAGGAAACGGGTCACCATTGGAGTGGAACTTGTATCCAAACCAAGCATCTTGATTTTCTTGGATGAGCCTACCTCTGGCTTAGACGGACAGTCGGCCTATAATACAGTTCGATTTCTCCGAAAGTTAGCCGACGTGGGCCAGGCCGTTCTCGTGACGATTCATCAACCCTCTGCCCAGTTATTCGCGCAGTTTGATACGCTCCTGCTTCTCGCACGAGGCGGTAAAACCGTGTACTTTGGCGATATTGGAGATAACGGACACACCATCAAGCAGTATTTCGGCAAATATGGGGCACAATGCCCGGTGGAGGCCAACCCAGCCGAGTTCATGATTGACGTGGTCACCGGAGGCATTGAGAGCGTCAAAGACAAGGACTGGCACCAGGTCTGGCTCGAGTCGCCTGAACATGAAAACATGATCACCGAGCTGGATCGGCTGATCTCCGAGTCTGCCTCCAAGCCCTCTGGTGTGAATGACGATGGATGCGAGTTCTCGATGCCGCTCTGGGAACAGACGAAGATCGTTACCCAGCGAATGAATGTGGCTCTATTCCGAAATACGAACTACGTCAACAATAAGTTCTCGTTGCATATCATTTCTGCTCTGCTGAATGGGTTCTCATTTTGGAGGGTTGGTCCTAGTGTGACGGCCCTACAATTGAAAATGTTCACTATTTTCAACTTCGTGTTCGTCGCACCCGGAGTAATCAACCAGCTTCAACCTTTGTTTATCCAGCGGCGCGATATCTACGATGCTCGGGAGAAGAAGTCCAAGATGTACTCCTGGATCTCCTTTGTCATCGGCCTGATTGTGTCTGAATTCCCCTATCTCTGTGTATGTGCAGTCTTGTACTTTGTCTGCTGGTACTACTGCGTACGCCTGCCTCATGATTCCAACAAGGCGGGCGCTACCTTCTTTATCATGCTCATCTATGAGTTCATCTACACCGGCATTGGCCAGTTCATCGCAGCATACGCACCCAATCCGACGTTCGCAGCACTCGTGAACCCCATGATCATCAGCATCCTGGTCCTCTTCTGCGGCATCTTCGTTCCATACACCCAGCTCAACGTGTTTTGGAAATACTGGCTCTACAACCTCAACCCATTCAACTACGTCGTGGCCGGCATGCTAACATTCGACATGTGGGACGCCCGCGTAACCTGCAACGAGAACGAGTTCGCCGTTTTCGACCCGACCAACGGCACTTGCGGCGACTACCTGAAGGACTACATGTCAGGTCAGGGCTGGCGCGTGAACCTGACTAACCCGGATGCCACCTCGAACTGCCGAGTGTGCGAGTACCGCCGAGGCAGCGATTTCCTGTCCACGCTGAACATCAACCATTACTTTTACGGGTGGCGCGATGCCGTTATCTCGGTCGTTTTTGCGATCAGCGGGTATGCATTGGTATTTGGCTTGATGAAGCTTCGGACGAAGGCTTCAAAAAAGGCGGAGTAGATGAGATTCAGCATTGCCGATACGATTGTGTCTGAGTGTTAGAACCAGCGCATTCGCATAGAGTTGGAGCAGTTGCAGCTGTGGTGGGACAGTACTGCCTTTATCGAATAAGTTGGTTTGTTTATATAGAATAGAACATAGAGATAGAATATAATCAATTACTTGGTTTCGAGTACAATCATTGTCTTATCTTATTACATGCTATCTCGGAACCGAATAGCAATCTCAACTAAATCTGAATTACAAGAAGCTCTTGTTTACTGGGCTCGAAAGTTGTCTGTTCGACTCCAATATCTATATCCATTATACCGCCTATAATTCATTTTATTCTATTATATCGCTCACAATCAATAATCCTACTAGTGATGGACCGGTGCGGTTCGGTTTACATATTTTTAAACCGACCCGTTCTGAAAGGGGGCGGTTTATAAATTATTTTTCTTGGCGGTGCGGTTCTAAAACCGACCCGTTTACTTAGTGGTGCAGTTTATAAAACTTGATAAAACCGCACCGAAAACCCAACAGTTCGGGGAACCGACCCGACAAAAAACCAAACCGGGCCATCACTATTAGCTACTAAACGCGTAGGATTCCATTGATAATGATAAAGGTAGCCTATATTTATGAGATAGACTGATCTTTGAAGGACCAGTAGTCTAACACTGAGGAGCGTTATCTTATAGAAAACGGGGAGGTTCGGAACCGCTACTGATGACCTCACGACCTCTATGACCACCCTAGTACGTCACCCCAAGGACCTTGATCCCGATAGCTAAGCTGTTCTTAAACTATCCTATCACAAGATGAGATTACTTCGTTACCATGTTAATAGATTAATAGCATTTTTCACTACAAGAGGTGCAATAAATATGTTGTTTACGATACTTCTGAATAGCTGCACACGCCCTGAACGGCCACCGGAACGATATTTCCACCAACATGCTTCGTCGCCTATAAGCAGCGAGCAAGAACTTGAGGCCTATGAGCATTTCGCTGTGGAAGAGGATGTTACGACATAATTACCGAGTTGTGCAAGTTACCCGCTGCTCGCGACGAGTTTCGCCTCGGTGATGAATTCAGTTCAGCAGTGACACGAAATCCTTGGATACACTACGAGTGTCAGAGGTGGGGCCTGTTTTCATCCCAATGATTAGTAGTGAGTTTACTTGGTGTATCTAGGCTTTACCAGCAGCATATTTACTTCATTTAGTATCCTAAGTGCGCCGGCTTCATAAGCCTGCCAATTAGTGTATATATGTTCTTTCGATAATTTATAGGGATTTGCCCACGTAGACGACCATGTGCCTCTTGATATGGTTGGCACATGAGGTCACATGCTGTAACCTTGTGTCTATAATAACCCTCCTTCTGATGTCTTGCAATTAGAGCCTAAGCAGCAGTACAACTTGGTTTCTATATATAATCAAATACTAGCAGAAGAAGTCAAGACGAGGAAAATTAGTTAAATTTTTTGAATTTGTTATTTTCATTACTTGCCGGCCATCACTGACATCTGTAGGTAGCCTGTGACGTCGACTTACATAATTACAAATGACGCAAGTATCAAGACAGAGCCAACGGGACTCTTGTCATATGTTCAGCTTTCGAGCATAATTGAAAAAATGGTAAAAGACTGAAAGGCACTTTAACTATATGGTAAAAGGAGGTTTGGCTGGTTAATGCCACGTGACTCTGATTTCATTTGAGCATTCCGGTCCAAAGATATCCCGCTCCGGTTTTGGTCTCCGGGTCGAGGTCAAGAGTCACCGCCCGCAGTCGGTCCACCCTGCCATCCTACCGTGATCCACTGTCATAGTCGCTGTCATAATTATCACGAGAAACCTATGCATTTCTAGCAAGAGGTGCCTTGACTTAATGACCAATAATTGAAAGTTAGCGTATTGCAATTTTGACTGTCGAATATTGCACGCCGCCTAAGTGATTAGTCCGGTGTGCGCCCGTTTCCCTTCATAACACTTGCCCCGCACCTTCTCGCGGACAGGAACACTTCGAGCTCTCCGGTGGGCTCCACTCGGCGTACTGGTAGTATCCCAAAAACTTGATACCTTAGGCAAGATGAAAACAATTAGCACATGTTTACTCCTAATGGTGGCTGTTGTATCTATTGTCCATATTAACGGTAAGATATCTCCAAGATCTGCATCTATCTTGGGCGCTAATCTGAATATCAAGCCCTTCATGACCTCTACGTCAATAATGATGGGGAGAACCTCGTAATAGTCCCGCAAGAAAATCGCAACGGCTGGGTCAATCCCGAAGATTTGCCCCCTATGCCGCAATGCATTGCCCAGCAAGATCAGTCTGCCTGGCTGAAAGCAATGACGAAATGCACCAGCAAACGATGCACTAGGCACTTTGGCATCATCTGCACCCATCACCAGTGGCTGACCCAGCTCAGCTGTCTGAGCGTGGAGTTCTCTCCCGATGTTATCGCGAGCTATTTCAGGTACTGTAGTCGATCCACTCTCGCCAAAGCGCAATTGTACCAGTGGGTCCGGAGAATCACCAGTCGGAGGTGGCTGGTCAATGTCGGCGATGGGAATGGGCTGGAACATCTCACTCCGGCCTCTTTGGCGAAAGGATATGCAGCTGTTGATGTGGTGAACAAGGCATCGACATGTCTGACGGAATCGAGCTCTTCTCTCTCATCAGAACCATTTCAGCATATTATGGCCTGCTGTGGCTTCACGGGTACGACACAGCATACGGGAAATGCGGCCCGTCCCTGGGAGTATAGTGAACCCCGACATTCCATGATCGCTCTCGATTCCAAAACTGCTGGCTACGATATTGTCGGACAAAGGATCAGCGATGGTGAATATTTCGATAAAGATTGCTTCTGCAGTACCTTTACCATAGATCTCGAAAGAGAACCTTGTTCGGAATCAGATTTACTGGAGCTCACGAAAGAGCGTCTCTGGATTCGAGCCACCTGTGGCCCAGCATCCTTGCCCCCTGACTGGACTGACGGGCTCAAAACCACACAATCCGCCTACATTCCCATCAAAGATTGGCACTGGCCCTCGTGTGTCGCGGACATGCCGCAGGAAGTGATCGAGCTGCCTAATATATGCGCAGCAGATGCTTGTGAACCCGACTTGAGTGGCTATTGTGATGTCAAGCGTGCAGTGGACAGGGCTTGCTTCTGCCGCAATATCAAGTACGAGACCTGCGGGGGATCCTGCCGCGTATTCGAGTCCCGCATAGACTACGTGGGCTGGCTGTATGATCTCTGTGGCCAAGTGAAGGATTGGCACGGCTTGCCGAATGATTGGAGTAAGACATTAGCTGTCCCTACCCCGGTTGAAATGATTCCGTGGCCATGGACGATCAAGCCGTCAAACAATTCAGATATTGATTACCTCACCCGCGTGCGACGCACCTCTGGGGAGATAATATGTGTCTCCAATGAGTGGAAGCTGAGAAGCTTCTACACACTCAATATAGCGATTGCTCTCGCAGCATTTCTTATCCAGCGGCGTTTACCTCGATTTGAGGGCGATTGTCGACATCAATGGTACACATATTTGTGCTATTCGCACACTTGGCTCGTCAAGGGGATGCTAATAGCTGGGTCGCAACTGCTTGCAAACTGGTACAATGTGCTGCTTGTTGAGATGACTCCTGGATATGAAAACGTCCCTACTATTCACTTACTGCTTCTCTGGTGTTCGATCCCTCGTCCTGCCTGGATGGTAGTTTTGCTGCTCGGCCTACAAGAGCCGTTCGGAACGACAAGGTTATCCGCCGCAGCGTCCGTCGTACTTGCCGAGATCATTTTGCAGTTTATATCCTCGTATTACATGCTTATGACCATCAAGTACGGCCTATACCACGATTTCTATCTTGGACGTCTACACGAGATACGCAGAGGGACTTTAGCAGAGACCATGTACACTGGAGCGCTTGTGTGGGGGGTAGTTGTCGGTCTGACGGTTTTTCAAGTTATGCGGGCTATGCACAATCGGGGAATGGCAATCGCCGCCCTTGACACCCTAAACTTCGATCGGCCTAGTATTTGGCAGACAAGAGCTAAGCAGACGCAGACAACACCTAGCCTCGCTGAGCGCCTGAGAATGATAATATCACCTTGCATCTGTGCGCAGATAGAGGGCTCGACTCAGGGCTTGGAGGAACGATTGCCGGGAGACCATATGGGGAGAGATGATCCCGGCGGAAGATACGGCACATTCTCTGTTCAAGGAGAGCAGCAGGCCCGGACGTCTCAGCGAACGACGATGTATGCCGCTATAGTCATAATTATGCTCCTGCTGTGGACCGCGCAGTGGCTGTTCTGGGGTGGATATATTGGTCTCAGCTCCGAAGAGTAAGTGTTGATCGCATCCTCACTGCGCCTCCGGCCTCTGAATCCTTCTACCCTGCCATACTCGAGGACAAAGTCTACATATGCTAACCTGGCGTAGGGTTTGTCCTCCTAAGCTGAGGGCTCTCACGGCTGTCTGGCTTGCTTCGTCGGTGATGGGCGTTTTCATTAGTGTCGCTTAGTCAATGTAAATATATGCTTGTCATCCTGTAGCTATAGCGCGGTCGTCTGTTATATAGTATTATTGGTCCGGGCCTAGGTTATGCCTAATGGCTATGTGAATGATACTCCTGTTCTCTTTACTTGTATAGCCAGCCAAATTGTGATCCTGGAATTGGTGTTTCGTCGCCAGCGCACTGCTCTACAATCCAGGGAAGAGCCGCTTACATTAACTAAAAACAATATCTTCTTAGCAAAGTAATTATTATTGCTGAGTGAGTAAGAGGAGAGTATAATAGAATTGCTTAGTGAAGAGCTCAGGATGATTAATGCTACGCAGGAATTCATAATCTAGTGGTTCGAATCTGGCTGATCTCATCCCTGGTAGATCTAGCAAATGAATACTGTAGTAAGCGGATATGTATTATTATGTCTTGTATAACTCTATAAGATATGCTGTAATAGAATCCAATTCTTTCAATAATAAAATTAGTAAGAGAAAGAGTGAAGTATCATCCATGAGAATTATACTTCTTTAGCATTGTCAGGCTGAGAACAATGACTTGTGACAAGAATCTGCCTCTTTGCATGCATTGGTATGGCTCATGTTTTAGATTCTTTCAGTTTTGTTGATGTGACCAACGCTTTGTAAAATTCCATCTCTCCCACCATGTATTGATTCCTCAAGAGATAAATATAAATGAGAAGAAACTTGAGATTTATGGCTCTGTGAGATGGGAATACTAAGATGAAACTTGAGGGTACCACGAAACCAGGTCTAGCTTTCTGAGAAGTTTTTATTTCCACACTGACGGTATAAGAACTAGAACCTCTGGTTGATGGATCGGAAAACAAGAATCAAGAGCTCCGGGTAGACATGGCGGTTGCGCAAGGCACTGTAGAATAATTCAGATCGGTCACCAGTCTATTTTTGCAAGCGGCTTTCATTATGAGCGGACAAGAGAGAACAAGGTCCCAAGTTGCCAGGGTGTGGCCGTTGATGTGGAAAACAGCCACAACGAGGCCTGGTTAACCCGAGACGAGCTATCTTTCCAATGACGGTCGAACTTTCGCTTAGCAGCGTGGCAATGCTTGCTCTCCTGGGTTGTTGTCTATTTCCCAGACGCAAGATTAACTCTTAATTAAGTGATCTCCTGTTCTTGTATTACAATGTGATATGCCTGATCTTTAATAATCCACTATTGCGCACTGGCCATCTCTCTCTCTAATACCAGATCTCATTAACTTCTTCGCAAATCCCAGATGAGAGCCGTCATTCCGACTTCGACTCCAATGCTTGCTTGTCGGTCGATAATATTTACTCCTGGAGCAATCTGGGATTGCTCAAGGATTACTTAGGACACACACTTCTATGCTCCCCCCACGCTCCGGGCCGCTCTGTGAGCAAAAAGCGGCGCCAAGTTCGACCTAAAGTGGAAAGGGAAACTCGCTCGATTTCCGCAGCGATCCAGTTCGTTAGTCTCCATATATACCACCTACACTGTCCTCTACAAAACCCCCCTCCCTACCCTACCCTCCCCTCCCCTCCCCTCAAAACCACCCCATGATACTCCCCGCCACACCCGAAAAACCACAAAATCCTCCCCCTCTCTCACCCCCTTCCCAGAAGACTCGCACCATCGCCAAAAAAAACCAAAAAAGAAAAGGGCCCGAACCGCGATTCGAACGCGGGGCCTCTCGCATTTAAGATTAAACCATCCCAAAGCGAGAATCATACCACTAGACCATCCGGGCTCCTTGTTGTAGATCAATTTTACACAAACATAGATAAAAAAACGTTTTTTCAATTCTTGTGAAATCCGGGGATCCGTTTGCTGGAGTGCTGGACTTGGCTGGTTCTCTCTGGGTTCGTGACTGGCTTCGGTGTTGGCTATGTACGGGACTATTGTTGGATTGGATTGGATTGGATTGGATGGATGGATGGGGTTCTTGGCGTGGAGACTGGAGTAGAATGAGGGTTTGGGTTTGGGGTTTGTTGGGGGAGGCGTTGCGGCTATTGTGGCTGTTTTTTGTTTCACCGCTTACTGGTTTGGGGATTCTGGGTGGTGGACTTTGTTGGTTTGGGGGGACTTTTCGGTGGGGCAGCTTGTTGATGTAGTATTCTTGGGGGCTTCCTAGCAGGTATTTTACTCGTGAGGTCTAGAGTGGCTTATGGAGCAGCTGGGTGCGATGCGGCGAAGGAGTATGGTATTAGCAGTTGGTGTTGTCCAGAAGATATATATTGCCGGAGGTCATCTCGTTTGGTAGATGGAGTAGCAGTACCAAGTTTCGTAGAACATCATACTGCGTAGAACGTGATTAAAACATTCCATTGGGCATGGAGTGCACCCTGACCCGACCATATTGTATATAGATCTGTGATTCACTTGAGACAGCAGCGATTGCGAATTTAATGATCTTCCAGTCGGAAACAAGCCAAGCGCAGCGGCCTGTGGTTAATCAGCTCTGTGGACACACGGACTGACCATAACATTGAACGTGTAAAAGATGATGTTAGATTGGAGATATCGAGCCTATCAGGCATCCCCATTGTGCGACCACACTCCATGCTTCATCCCTTTCATATTTCATAAAGAGAACTAACAATCATTGATCACGTATATACATCCTATCTAGTGCTCAATGACAACACCAGCCAAGGCGATTGACACCCATCTACTCCAATCTCACCCCTCTCCTCCCCTCCCAACGTGCCTTGACCCTCTCCACAAGAGCCGGGATCTCAAACGCCCAATGACACAACAACCCCGCCACAAAGCCCACCGCATCATTCTTAAACCCGACCAACAACCCCACCGTCACCATCATCACAGTCCAGCGCTTCTTCCGCTCGTAATCGCTCAACATGGGACCGATTTCTTGCGCCTCGTTGCCGATGAGTCCGTCGCCGATGAGTCCGTGACCGGCCTTACGAAGATCCCTTGCGCCCGTGGTGTTCAGGCTCTCGCCGACGCTGACCAGTTCCAGGCCGGCAGCGATGACCATGATGCCGAGGAGGGCGGTCGGGAAGCGCTTGAGGAGGCCGACGAGGGATTCGCCAAAGAAGAGGCCGATGAGGAGTTTGAAGACGCCCAGAAAGATGATGCTGGCACCGGAGCGGGCGCCGAAGCGGTATTGGGCGGCGAGACCGCCTGAGCCGTGGCACACGGGCATGGCACCGAACCAGCAGCCGAGGAGGTTCATCCCCGCGACGCTGAGGCCAATGGAGGTGATGGTGGGGGTGGGGTGGTTGGGGAGAAGGTCATGGGCGAGGTGAACGACGGCGACGATGGAATTGAGAGTGGTGAGGGGGATCTGGCCAATGCCGGCGTCGAGGGCACCGAGGGACCATTCGTGTGGGGTGGGGAGGACGGTGTAGGGATGCCAGATGGTGAGAGCGGGGAGATCCGAGGCGAGGGCAGAGACGATGATGGCGAAGAGGAGGCCGACAAGGAAGACGATGAGGGCATAGGGGACGGTGCGGTAGACATTGGTGGTGATGAGGAAGAGGAAGGCGGCCAAAGCCCAGAGGCGGTTGTCGGCCCACGAGGGGGAGAACCAGTTCAGGGAGGAGAGGAGGGAGTTGGCCGAGGCAATGATGAGAGAGAGGCCGGCGCCAACTTGGATGCCTTTGATAATGGGGATGGGAATGGCATTGGCGAAGCGAGTGAGCAAGCCGGTGACGCTGAAGAGGAGAATGAAGCCCGCGACGAAGAGCCCGGCGGCGGCAATGGCGCCGTTGGAGAAGTTGCGTGCGATAGCCACGGCGGCAATGGCTTTCATGGGCTGTACGGGTAGGGGGATGCCAAAGAAAAGGCCGGTCAGGATGTTGAAGAGGCCAGAGAAGATGAGGGTACTGGAGAGCGAGACGGTGTTGTTCACGGCCAGGGCGATGGCGATGGGCAGAAATGTGCCCAGGTCGCCCAGGGAGCCGGAGATTTCGGAGACATAGTGATGGCGGAAGGTGGAGAGGTTGTGGGTGGTGATTTGGCGGAGGTTCATGGTGAGGAACGACTCAAAGAAACGTGGAGGGGTGAGGAGGAGAAGAGAAAGAAGGGAGGAGGAAATAAGGTCGGGGGATGAAGCCAAAGCAAGGCGGAAATGCATGGATCAGATCCCCGCAGATAAGATTGACGCGGCACGTCATCTGATCCCGCGGAGAAGTCCAGTCCAGTGGTTAAGATTCTCGCTGAAGGGAGGAGACTCATAACCTGGGGAGGAGACATCCAGAGGTATAACATGGGGTTTTTCTTGCTATATCTCTACATGGTGTATTTCCATACTCCTACAACTACATAGTCACCCTTCACCACCACCATCAGCCCCTACCCCAATGCCCCCCTCCCCAGCCTTCTTTAACCTTTGAATCATTGTAAACCAAAACATTTCCAATGAAAAAGGAAATAGATATAATATTCTACTTCAGGAAGCAGATTAAGAAATCATATCTCGTCTAGACCCTTAATACACCTCTCTCCCTCTCTCTCTCTCTCTCTCTCTCTGTGAGATTACATAATTCCATCATTCAATACTAGAAGCCAACCAACTCATCCCAGCCCACTATGATGCTTTCAATCGTACTATTTGATCAGCATATTGATCATGTATGATGGATCAAATAGCCGACGGACCTCTATATTTATGTATGTGTGATTTTAGGAACTGATTTTATTTAATTCAAGACGGCACGGGGGGTTCTTTTGTACGTATGTATTATCTATGTATGTATGTATGTATGTATGTATGTACGAATGAATTATTTACTATGTAGCGTGGAGACTTTGGTTGGATGAGAAAGGCCGGTAGTGTGCTTTTTATTTTGCTAGGGATAAGTATTAAAGGAGGTGTAGGTAGGATGTCTTGGGAGAGATCGGATCGGATTGGAGATTCTCAGTACGAGGATGGCCGGTTATACTTATACTACGTCTGACAGCTATATTCGAGAGAGTAAGGATTATCACTATATATAGATATTAGGCATAGGCGCGCACTGTATTCCAGTTATCTTATCAAGAGTTTGCAGTCTTATAAACCATGCTGTTCTCTGGAGATTCGCATGTTTAGTACACACGGAATGGGACACTCATCGGCCAGGCTGGACGAAGGATGTTCATGCATCATTTTCATCGCGTGGCGTCGGTATCTAGATTCTTGATATCGAAAGCAGACCGCTGCAGTCTGTTCATCTTCAGAACACCATCCGCAGTGCCACGACTGCAGGGGCTTCCGGGCATCGGACACGACGGTCTCCGACTGATATGGGCGGCTGCACTAAGGCATCAACGGGGTAATCGAGTGGCCCCAGTGCGGCTGTCCCGCACCATCAGCGTCGGGACTGCCCAATCTGCGACTGTAGTCGAGATCAAGTATACAGCCATTGAGCGATGCATGGATATGGATGTATCGAGCGCATGGGCATGCTCATGATAACCCCACGGACTATGCTAAGCCGTAAAGCGCATAAGACGCCTGATATCGAGCATGCCTTACACCCTCCAAGCAACAAGCAACAAGCAATCACAAAAACTTCCCACTCGTAAACCGCGACCCAAAATCCGCCGCCTTACTCATCATCTCCCTCCTCTGCGCATGCGTAATCTTCGACGACAACGACATATCCTTCTCCTTGTCAAACGCCCGCGCACTCGGATCATCCTCCTCTTCCTTCTTCCCATTCTCCGCCTCCCGGGCCGCCCGCTCCGCTGCCTCCGCCGCCTCACCCTTCCTCTTCTCCTCATTAAACCGATGAATCTTCTCCTGCATCGCCCGAGACGGCTGCGCGCCACGCGCCCCCGAATCCCCTGCCCCCGCAGCAGCTACCCCGGGCCGAGTCTGCACGCCCAGCACCTCATCCTGCAACCGCTTCATCTTCTGCTCGGGCGTTTCCGTCCAAGAGACATCCACTCCGCCACCACCGGGGGTGGTATTCGCCGCCCGACCGGTTTGGAATTTCCGGTTGCGGAGCTTGGTCGGGTCGACGCGGGAGGAGCGGTTCGCGCCGTCGATGGGTTCGAGCATCCAGGCGTCGCGCTGGGGGGGTTTCGGGGCCGTGGTGGTTTCGGTGGGGATGGGGTCGGAGTTGCTGCTGCTGGTGGTGGGGAGGGTGCCTTCGGGGGGTGGGAGGCTGGGGCCGAAGTCGTCGTCATCGGAGCTGTCATCGTCGTCGTCGGAGGGGGAATTGTTCTCGGTAGTGTCGGCGGGGGGTGGGAATGCGGGACCGATGACTTTGCGGCGTTTGGGGGCGTCGGAGTTGTCGGGGAGGGAGGGCCCCGCGGTGTATTTGCGCTTTTCGGGTTCCATTTGGTAAATGTGGTGTAGATGCTGGTTGAAGTAATGGTGGTGGAGATGAATCGAGCTCGAAGCTGCGGACGATGTATGCGGAGGCAAACGAGACAAACATTAGAGTTGGTCATGTGACTGATAGGAGCGAATTGCCTTATCGGGTAATGATACCCGCCTCATCCATCACCCAGATACGAAGTAGATAGGTAGGCATTGAATTCATTTAGACCAGTTGGAGAATCTTCACTACATACATCACAGCTCATAAGACATGAGATCTTCTATACATCAATACAATCATAACGCCTTATCTTCAACGCATCTGCTCACCCAGCATGCTCCGCTCGGTCTGCCTCGGTATCATCCCCATCTCATTGGAAGAACTCCGGGACAGGTTCCCGGGCACGGTATACTCGATATGCTGCGCGAGATCAGGACCACTGTCCGTCCGCGCCACAGTCGTGGATTCACTGCCCTGACTGGCGGTACGTGTCGTCACCCACGTCTCCGGCTTGGGACCACCCTGCGGCCCTTGTTCCGCCGGTTTGATAATGCCCATCTCCACGTACCGGCTCATGTCCCGCTCATCCTGCGAGGATCGGTCTCGGCGGGGATCCCTGATTTCCCGAACCAAGGCCCGGCCTTTCTTCCACCAGCTGAGCTTCCGCTGCCCGACTCCCACGTCATCCGCCACGGCATGGTCGAATTCGTCTCGCTGGGCGATCAACGCCTGGTCGTCGTTGAGCTCACAGAGCCCACAGATGTTGAAGAGGATCAGCAGCAGTAGCGGCGGCGTGTATCCCAGTCCGTACAGCCAGCCCGAGTTCACTCCGTATTTCAAGGGCGACACCGTCCAGTCAAACGCCGAGGCAATGGCGTACCCGATCTTCACTCCAAGTAAGGCAATGGCCACCAGGAACTGAGATGGCGCGGCATTCAGGTAGAATAGCAGCTGGCCCATTGTGCTGGTCGGCCGCATCCGGTAGCGGTAGATGCTGTGCTCCAGGCTGTAGCAGATCACCAGAACGCCGCCCATCGCGACGAAGCCGGCGGCCCGCCACCGGACATCGGTAGCGACCGGTTTGGCATGGGTGATCTGTTGTTCAGGACTGCGCTGCATCTCGATGGGCGTCCACGAGCGCGGAACGGTCAGGAAGAAGTTGGCGAAAGCGCAGGCGTAGAAGAGGATCGGGAGCACAAACTCCTGGCCCTCCCGGCTGTTCGATACCTGAAACGCATACGGATCCCGGTCGTAGATCTGCCGTTCTTGCCACGAGCCCCTGGAGCCATCAGATCAGATCAATACTGCTGGGGGAGGGGGTGATCATGACTTACCAATGTCGTACTCCCTCCCAGACAGCCGCCATCATCCCCGGAGTAAGGAGCGTATAGAAGACACTCTGCAAGATCAAGGGGGTGCTGACGATATAGTCTCGGTCCACGTCGATGCTCATGAAGCAACTAATCGCTCCACAGGCGGCGATGAACAGCATCCAGATCCACTTCCCCCGACGGCCCATGATATACCACCGGCGATCGACAGGCAGGTATCGTCGACCATGTTTGCGCAGGTTGATCAAGGTGATGGCAATGGAGATGCCAAACATCAACGCAAACGCCAGACCGGCCGAAGCATGTTGCCCCAGATCGCGAATGGGGGCATAGCACGAGGTGCCTTTCACGAAAGAACCATTGGCGGACATGTGCGGTTGAAATTCATCAAACGCGAGATAGCAGTCCGTGCCGTTCGAAAGGGTCCCGTTGCTGAAGAGGGTGTAATGATAGTAGTCCAGTGCGGTGCGATTGAAGTGCACTTCGTTGATGAGCACGTCGGTTGCATTGGCCCCGGCCTCGAAGGGGACGACAGCCCGCACGTATAGCAGAGGCATGGCAAGCGGTCGTGTCAATCACCCTAATACCAGAGTGCCTGTCAACCTAGTGCCGCGATGTCGTTCATCGTGACAATGAAGCAACAAACTAGAGAGGATGAAGAGATCGTCGCAGGGTCACTCGGAACTTGACGGAACGATGACGCTGGGCCGTGACAAGGTTGTATCCAGGCCAGTCGATGATGCGCGGATAGGCCCGCGGTCCAATGGGGGCTCTGGATGGCGCTCGCGAGCCAGGCCATGATCGACAAGAATGGAATTGAGTTGACGACAGCGGGACGCGCCTGTCAGCCAGGCATGGCCCGGAATTAAGTTTGGGGAAGGGGTTTCAAACCAGTGGAGGTGAAGCCAAGGTGGTTACTCCATAAGGGTTGGAAAGTTGAGATGAGCAACAACAGAGAAGACGAAAGCGATTAGCGTACCTCCTTATTATTCATGGTTTGGAGAATGATGGTTTGCTATCTGCTGTCATGTATCTAGCTTGCGTGGCCTCATAGCGCACTGGGTCATCCGTGATGGACACGGGGGTGGGTGGCAATCCGCCTCGACATCAATGTGATAGTATACCAGGGCCTAAAGCCAGCCCATCCAACTGGGTCGACTGACGTGCAGTGGTTGCAATCCAACTTACTAGAGACCTCGTTTGGAGTACTCAAGCAGCAATCTTCCTGCACCAGATCGAACGGGACCCGATCCGATGACCTCCACGCCGACTGTCCATAGAAGGGCCATGGAAATATTATGCCCATGGCTCATCGTTTGATCTCACACCCTCACTGGTAGATCAGTTGTCAGGAAATCCCCAACCATGTGATCATTCCTTTGCGGATGTGGTCGCTCTCATTCGACATTCCCCGTCATTTGTTACGCAAGGGAGTGGCGCAAAGACTCACGCGAGACAGCCTCCCATTTCTCACCTTGCAACTCACAACATCATATACACAGAAGAGATGAGACATGACTGCTCGCGGAGATCCAGCGCCCACGCACTCGGCAGACACCATGGAATCCAGTTTCGTGGTTAGCCATGCCCCAGGATTGATCCTGTCGATCTTCATCTTCTATATCCTGATAGTAAGCCTCCCACCTTAATCCGCAGCAGGGGATTAATCCAGCGGATGAACAGATTGTATATCACGAACGAAGGAACCCGTTGTCCGCGGTGCCTGGTCCCTTCCTGTCTAAATGGACGGATATCGTTGTCCGATACCATTCGGTGATCGGCAACCGGCCGCGATATGTGCAGCTGCTACATCATCAATATGGTGGCTTGACCCTTCACAGCGCAAAGGCGCTTAAGGCTAACTGCTTGTCATATAGGCCCGATCGTCCGAGTCGGCCCCAATGAAGTCGACGTCGGCGAGATCGCGGCTGCTCGCGAGATTCATCGCATCGGAAGCAACTATCTGAAATCGCCGCGATATCGGCTTCTCAAGCACGATAAAACCGAAAGCATCTTCAGTACTATCAATCCGAAATTCCATAGTAGACATCGTAGGCTCCTTTCGGCACCTCTCTCGGACGCGAATTTGCTCTCCCTGGAGCCGTCAATCGAGGCACGCGTCCGCTTCACGATGCAGCGCATGCGAGAGGAGATGGCTGACCGGGGGGTAGCGGATGTCAGAAAATGGTTCTTTTTTATGTCGACTGACGTTATTGGGGAATTGACCTTTGGGGAGTCGTTTCAGATGCTGGAACTAGGCAAAGTAATACACCCGACGCAGGCATTATGACTGAGGGTTGACCAAGTCGTCCAGAAAAACCAGTACATCGAAGACCTCGAACTGGCCGGCCTGCTGGCTGGCATTCGGGCATCGTTCCCCGCGGTGATCACACTTGCAACCTTCCTGCCGCTACCCTTCATCAGGGAAGTCAACGACAGTCGGACGCGAACGGAGGGATACGCAAACGAGTCGATTGGTCGATACAAGAAGCTGCTCGCCGCCAACCCTAACAACGTCAAGCCGACCTTGTTCACCAAACTGTACAATGCCGGCGAGGAAGGTTTGCCCGATTCGGAAATCCTCGGTGATGCCGACGACTTCATCTTGGCCGGCAGTGACACCACCTCCATCACGCTGACTTACTTAGTCTGGGCGGTATGCAAGGCCCCAGCCATCCGACAAGCCCTCGTTGCTGAGCTGGCCGGACTTCCGGGCCAGTTTGGCGACAAGGAATTGCGGGAGTTGCCCTACATGAACCAGGTTATTGACGAAGCTCTGCGCCTTTACCCGGCTGTACCTTGCGACTTGCCTCGTGTTGTGCCACCGCAGGGGGCAACTCTGGGAGGTCATTGGATCCCCGGGGGGAGCACTGTCACGACGCAGTTATGGAGTCTGCATCGGGATCCTGACGTATTTGCCCAGCCTGAAAGGTACCCACCACAATCCTAGTTGACCCCAGCCAGGATAATTGACTGCTTTAGATTCGACCCCTCCCGCTGGGCATCACCCACCAAGGGGATGAAAGATGCTTATATGCCTTTTGGGGCCGGAAGCCGCAGTGAGTATCAACCAACCACATCAAGAACACCCATCCTGACCGTGATAGATTGTATAGGAATGCACTTGGCCCGAATGGAGCTGCGATTGGCAACAGCTCACTTCTTCCGCCAGTTTCCGGACTCGCAGGTGTCGACCAAAGAGGGAATGAGCGATGCCGATATGAAGGAGGTGTTGTATTTTCTGTTATCGCCAAGGGGGAAACGGTGTTTGATGGAGGTTCGATAAAGGTTGCAGGAGGTACTGTATTCCGGTGTTTAGGAGCAGGGCTTGTGGTATCCGTTTGGCTCTGCCAGGAGGCCACTGTCTGAGCACTGATGTTATGCCAGATGCCATCATGGATTCAGGAGGCTAGATCAGGGAGGAGACTTAGCGATGAAATATGACATTCTGTACTTTAGTTCAGGCCAACATCAGCCAGAAGGTACAAAGGTCTCCGATTTAGCACACCACAACGACTTATTCCGCAAGTTGATTGCATGAATCCAGAGGTCCAGTGGATGGTCGCCGCCAAAGATCTGGAGGTATGCAATCCAGACAAACCAGCCCAGTGCTAACCGATAGCGTGACAAACTGGAACAGAATCAAATGGCGAGCAGCGACTCTCCATTGAAACAAGCATACTACCATCCTATCTTCTGATGGCTGAGAGCCATTCATATATTTCACATAGAAAATCCACGAACCAATATAAGACCTCTTCATTGAAGAGAGTCCATTCAACTCCATCAGTGAGGTACACACTCACTACCAGGAATCCCAGTCAGATAAGCACTTGAATAAGACCTCATCAAAATGCACTTCAAGGACAACTTCGAACCGAACCTGAATTGACGGTTCATATCCAGTGGAAGACCAGTTGAGCTTCATGACACCTACAGAGCGGGCAATAAAACATGCGACATGTTCGATCCGTGATGCAAAGGATGAGACATGATAGACGCACGAAATGCTTCAATTTCCATCTCAGCTATGATTCTCCGCCTACAAATAACAAGCATCTTCTTTCCCCCTCATACGAATTCTTTATCTAGGATATTCACCACCACCACCACCACCACCACTGAGGAATATGAATACATCCCCGACCAAGAAGCCCCAAAGAATCATTCCAGACTTACACACACACCATACCCTTCCCCCAACAACAACAAAAGCACATACCCACCATCCAACCCCACAAATCCTACCTTCATCACAGCACCCCAATCAAAGACTCTAGCCAAGTTCTCCCCACATTCAATACAACACAGTATTCAGCAAACCACCATCCCTCCCATCCCCAAAGTTTCCCTCCGGAGTAGATCCCACTAGAATACACCCCCTTAAGCAAACCTCCCAGCTCACGCCCCCAACACAACACAACACAACAAATCCTCCTAAATCCATCGTGATGATATATACCATGCTCAACACGAACACAGCCGATTGTCTTTAGTTCTGTATATTTGGGTTCGTGGATGTAATGCAGATGATTACATACCATTATGTTGTGGCACATCAAGCCATTTGAGAGTGGTCTTATGCCTAACTAGGGTTGGGTTGGGTTGATACGGCTTCGGTGAATCGTATGGGATGAGGGGGTATTGGTTCTTTTATGGGGTTTGGTGGTTGTTTTGCTTTGTTTTGGGAGGGAGATTGAAGAAGGGCTTGATGTTTGGTTCCAAGCTAGGGCATTCATCACTTGTCTTAATCAACTGGCGTTATAGCATGTCATGGAGCTTACGCAACATCTCGTTCTTGTGCGGTTTCTAGCTATCTAGGTAGACCCTACCTGGAGTATCCAGGGCTTATAATGCAGTCAGTAAGTATATGTTATTACAGGTCTATCTGAGTAGAGACTATGCCATATTCACGTGGTATCTGTTAAGTAGTATACATGCCATCTATATCGAACACTTTTCTGCACAGGTCCAAGATGGGAAAACATTATCTGAAAATCTCGTTCCCGATCACCGGCACTTGGACATCTGCCGGTCCGGGGAATGTGAATGCGAATGCCAAAGGGAAAATCAATAAAAGTCGTTGTTGTAGCGATCGCGACGGTCACGGTGGTCGCGGTCGCGGTGGTCGCGGTGGTGGTCACGGTCGCGGGGGCGGCCACTGCGGGGCTCCCAGGACGAGCGAGAACGGCCGTCGCGATCGCCCCAGGACTCGAAAGAGTTGCCGGAACGGCTGGAACGGCCGGACCGGCCGTCGGACCAACCACCAGAGCGGCCACCCGAACGCCCGCCAGAACGTCCGAAGCGGGAGTTATCACGCTTAGGCATGCTGTCGCCGGAGGTCAAGGCCTTCATGACCATGGCCGAGATCTGCGGCGGTCTGGGCAGTCCATAGCCGTACTCTGACAGGTCGTGCATGGACGGAATGGCGTCGCCCGCAGGGCGGAAACGGCCCATCAAGGTGCCGATGTGAGACTTCCACGCTTCCACCTTCAGATCCTCAGGAACCCTCGCCATCGCGGCCTGGACTTGGCGCAAAGTCTGGGAAGTCTCGGAACCGTCTTCCGCGATCTCTTCGCGCATGTTCGCGTGGGCCACGGGCAGCGAAGTGGCTACCTCGACCGGCAGGTCGCCGAGCAGTCTCTTGAAATAGGACTTCTCGCCCGGGTGCAGGAGGATCCATCCTTCACCGCTCTTGTTGGCACGGCCCGTCCGACCCAGACGGTGAATGTAGGTCTGGCGGTCCCGGGGGAGGCCGTATTGGATGACGTGGGTGACATCGGGGAAATCCAGACCACGCGCCGTCACGTCGGAGGAGAAGAGGATGGCGGACTTGTCCCGACGGAAATAGTCGGCCATGCGCGTTCTCTGGGCCTGGGTCAACCGCGAGTGGATTTCGTAGATCGGGAGACGGCCAAGAGGATGGCCCTTCTTGTGGTCCTCGGGGTCGGTGCTGAGTCGCCGGAAGGCATAGTGGGCCATCGTGACCATCATGGTCGAGTTCAGATAGACAATCGCCTTGAAGGGCTTGGCGCGGACGTCTTCGGTGTTTTGCTTCGCCAGCTCCAGAATGGCCGGCAAGGCATTCTGGAAGCCGTCCAGGTAGGCAACCTTTTGAGGAACCCGCATGTGAGTGGGGGTCTCGTTATCCGAGACGGTCTTGATGATATCGAAGCCAGGCTTCATCGTCTGCCGAACCAAGTCCATGACCTCCATCGGCACCGTGGCGGAGAACATGAGAGTCTGACGGTCGACCTCAGCCGGGTCGGGCAGAAGCTGTTGGATTTCGTGGATCTCCCGGGAGAAACCATCGTCCAGCAAGCGATCCGCCTCGTCGAAGACTAGGGCCGACAGCTTGGGAACCTTGACACCACTGTAGGGGTCGTCCAGCAGATCCTTCAGACGGCCGGGGGTACCGACCAAGATATGGCAGCCCTCTTCCCGAATCTTCATCAGACCCGACCTCTTGTGTGTGCCACCCACTGCCGTCTGTACCTTCAGACCGGTACCAGACACCAAACGCTGAGCCTCGGTGGCAATCTGTTCCGCCAACTCCCGAGTAGGGGAAATGATCAGAGCCCGGATATCAGGCGGAGAACCCGCACTCCGGTAGGAACGGCCTGGACGCCCGGGGCGAGTGGCAAGGGTAACCGTCGGGTCGGTGAGAATCCGCTGGACGACCGGGATCAAGAACGCCAGAGTTTTTCCAGTTCCCGTCTTTGCCTGAGCCAAACTACGTGTGAAAGAATCATAGTCAGCCGAGATGCAGATCGACAAGGGGTAATAGGAGACAAAAACACTCACAGATCATTGCCATCCACGGTCGTACGGATCGTCTTCGATTGAACTTCGGTCATGGTTTCAATGCGCATTTTGCTCGTAACGGTGTTGATGATCTTGGGGTCAACCAGGCCCTCCTTCGCCAAATCTTCGAATCGATCTAGTTGCACGGACTCGGCAGGTTGCTGAGCCTCAGCCTCGGCCGAGGCAGCAAAGTAGACGGGAGAGGGATGGTACAGCGCTCTGGTAGTGCGAGAGACAACAGGAACTGATGAGGCAAGCCATTGTGGCTGCTGAGTCGACGATCTGACCAGCAGAGATCGCGACGCACGCAGCGCATGGACGACGCCGGATCGGCGAAAAGCGCCCAGCATGATGAGAGCTTATGGGATTCTGGGGGATAAACAGTGAAACAACAAGAAAGATACCACAAAGATTGAGAATGAAAAAGATGAAAGAAGAAGACAATCGGGGGAGATGGATGGAGGTTGGGAGGATAGAGGATGGAAATGAAGGCAGATAAAAACGCGACCAAAAACTAATCGGCGGAAAAAATGGACGGCAGAAAACCAGGCACTCGGGGCGGTGACGCCACCCCCGGGTCCACCCATCTTTTGATAACGACATGATTTTTCGAGCTGGAGAATTTGGTCATTTTACGTAGTATGATTTTCTTAGTAGCATGATTTGTGTTCAATTGCCGGTGTTTCGTTGGCTGCAGTGTACCCGGCGTGATGTTGATCCAATCTCAACATTTCAGAGATCGGAGTCTAGATCTCGAACCATAACATTGAGCTTGCGGATGAGGATCGCCCTTAATTAGCCTTCTATAAGCATGGGGAGCGCATTGCGCACAACATCCAAATAAGCGGCTTGTGGTTACATTGAATATGTGGAAATGATATTGAGAAGAGAATGGGATCTTTGGGGATGAAAATTCGGGAGTTGAGGCAATTGCGGAGGTAATTATTGGCGGTGCAGCGGGGGCGACCTACCTTATGGATGAGTTGTTGTGGTGAGCGATCTCATTGGTTATATGCTCTTCCATCACAGCTATGCTAGAGCCATGTAGCTTGCTGGCTGCTTAAAGCAGAAAAATCCGACTATGTAAGAGGATAGTCCAATCGCTGCTTGTATCCAGTCTTCAATCTGAAGACAGATCAGGTCATACTTCATTTCTATCTAGAGATCCCATGTCCCGCCCTCTACCCATGAATAAACATTATGTACCCGCAAGAACAGAAACCCTAAATGATACCTATTTAACACCTCTAACCCGTCCCTTTTCTTCCGGTCTATTGTCATCCCGCTAAGACTCAATCTCTCCTTGAAATTCCCTCGTCAACGAGTAGACCGACAAATCCGAGAAACTCTGGTGCGTGGCCGCCGGTAATACCTGTCTCTGTCTCCCCGTCACCACCGTCGCGGGGGCGGCAGCAATCCCTACCGGCGGCAAATGCACCGGCGACATGAGATCCCGCACATGGCCCGGAAACAAGCCTTTGTCGAGATCGCTCTGCCAGAGACGGCGGGAGGCATCAAAGGCTTTATTGACGAGCTCGCGCCGTAGGGACTCGTATTCTTGGAACGTTGTGGGGAGGGAAGCGTGCAGGTTGCGGGAGAGGATTTGGGTGAATATGAGGGCATCTTCGATGGAGTATGCGGCGGATTCGTCTCGGGGCGGCATCTGTTTGCATGAGAAGGTTAGTGGTTGGCCAAGGTATTGGCTGAGATGGTTGGTGTAGGCTTACCGCATGAGCTGCATCCCCGAGCAGGAGAATCCGACCCTTGTGCCATTTCCCTCGTTGTCGGACCTGATATACCGGGTACAAGGCCCAATCTTCGATGGTGTCGATGAGTTCGCGGATGCTCGGAAGGGCGGATTTGGCGAATTGGGTGCGCACGAGATACCGGATGGACATCTTCATGCTGGCTTGTTCGGGAAACCCGAGTTTCGAGGTCGCTTGGTAGCGTTCGATCAGATGTTCGTTGACGCGGAGGATGGCGGCGGAGAAGATCTTCTCGCGGGCTGGGTCACAGTAGCTGGTGAGGAGGGAGCTGTGGCGGGTGAGATGGACGGCGGTTTGATCGAAGTGCATAGGGAGAGAGAGGGCGGAGGCGTCAGTAACGCTTTGGATGAAGGAGATGCCGGTGTATTCGGAGCGGTTGCCGGGGTCGACAATGCGGGTGCGAGTGATAGAATGGACGCCGTCGCAACCGAGCACGAGGTCGCCTGTAGCGGAGGAGCCATCTTCGAAGGATAGGGTAACGGAGGAGTCGGTTGTCGTGCCGCCGACGACTTTCTTGTTGAAGTAGACAGAGACGGTGGGAGAGTGAGCGTCGAGGACCGAGAGCATGGCGCGGGAGAGGGCATTTCGCATCACTCGCCGGCCCTTGTAGCCCCCGTATCCTCGGCCGTTTTCGTCGGTGAATTTGAGGGGCCCCAGCTTGCGCCCGGAGCGGAGAGAGAAGAGATCGATCAAGTCGACTTCGATGCCAGCTTCTCTGCCCATGCGATTGAGCTCAGATAAGACGCCCAGCTTATCAAGGTAGTTTTGCGCCGTCGGCGTGAGACTGATGGCGCCTCCCGAGGCAGATAGGGCCGGGGCGCCTTCGAAGACGGAGATGTGGAGATCAGGGATGACGGAACCCAGCTCCGTGGAGAGGGAGATGGCGCTGGCAAGGCCCGCGATGCCGGCGCCGACGATGAGGATGTTGTGAGGCATGGTAGGTGGTTGCATGGTGGAATTGGGGGATTGCTCGTGCCTTGTCGCGGGGACTTGCAATCGACTATAAACCAACCCCTCCCGGGGCCGAGTCACCGGGTTACACAGGCGCAAGACGGAGTGATTGGGGCGAATGCCATCAAACCATGGATTGCCAGGGAGGAAGCCACGGGCAGACTGGAATATCAACTTGACACTGTCAGGAGAAGCGAGCGAGGGGAAGCCGACGCAGAATCGGACTAGACCCTGGGCCACCGTTTGACCAAACGTAACGGCTTGTGCAGCGCTGTCTCCGCCGCCGGCCGAAACCCAGGATGTGGGCCAATCAGCGAGGGGACGATCGTCTGCAGGCCGCGCGAGCCACAGTCGGCGGCGGCGGAGGGCCTGAGGCACAGCGCCGATTGGCGGGGCGAGCCATAAGCTGCCGCTGTCTAGTAGACTCTAGACTAGTCGACTCTAGCCGCGGTACTTGCTGACACCGCGTACATACTACTAACTAACTAACTATATAGTGATAGTATTATGGGATGCATGTTTGCAACAGCATCAGTTGGATACTGCATCCAGCATCAGTTAGATTGAGAATACTGTCAGCCACAGAGCAGCAAAGATGTACAGGAATAGATCCGATCCAGCCACGTACCACCCCTGAACCCGTGACGTCAAGCCCAGCCATTCTTGCGGGGTATCAATACGACAGCGAACCACCAACAATCCCTACTACATACATAGTGTATGCATCATCATCATCATACGCCACCGCCTCCTACTCCACCACCATCACCACCACCACAGCACAACAATGAACGTCTTCAACGACCAACCCAGCACCCTCACCCTCACCACCCCCAAAGGTTCAACAACAGGAACCACCATCGCCATCCTCCTCGAAGAACTCCAGTCCGTATCCCCTTCCTTCCCCCTCCCCTTCCCCAATACCATCACTCCTAACCAGTAACCACCAACAAAGCCTCCCCTACCACCTCCACTTCAATATAGCCCAAACAACCCTCACAGACATCCACCGCACCGGGCACAGCACCACCCTCGATACCTTCGACAGCATCACATCCTACCTCCTCACGCAATATGATGAGAGTCATCGGTTCTCCTATCCCGCTGGATCACCGGAATGTGCTGCCGTGAGGGAGAGGGTTCAGATGTTGATGGTTCGGATGGGAGGACATCATTCTCGTTCTCATTCGCTTGCGCATTCGCATTCTGAGGATGGTCAGAATGATGGTGGTGATGGTAATGGCAGTGAAGAATCCATCCCCTCCGTACGGAAGATACTAAGTTTATATCTACATCTGGAGGAATATCTACAGAAAACGCGGAAGAGGTATCTGGTGGGGGAAAAGTGGTGTGTATATCCTATCTATCCCATTCTATCTGATTTCGTAAGTGGGTGAGTGAGATGTTAATGGGGGTGGTTGTGGTGATGGTGTAGTACGCTCGCTGATTTCGCGCATTTTCCGTACGTCGCGGCCGCCGGGGTGTATGGCTTGGATTTGGAACGGTTTCCCGAGTTGACGGCGTGGTATGATCGGTTGGCTAGGCAGGGGGCTGTCAGGAAGGGGATGGAGGCGGTGGGGTTGAGGGTGGATAGTTCGTAGCAGAGTCAGTGTGGTCGGGGGCAGCTGTTACTGATACGCTAGGAAGCCGGGGTTCATCGGTATCACGGCAAGGTGTGCATCCAATATCTCATTAGGCGGCTAGTCCGTATATCACATCACGGCCGTTATGGCATATGCCCTCCCTCAGGCACCCCCAGACACCCCCAGGCACCAGGAACATTACTCACAACTCATAAATTAGTATTAACATGGACATGCGTATTATCTCGGAGTCAGGCCGGGGACACCCCCGCCTGCCATCCTGGGTATCAAGCACTTAAACATCCTCCAAAATCATACACAAAGGTCCCGATGTCCTCCACATGTCAGTGGAAAGTTGGTATAGGCAATTATCTAGTAGTAGATCTTCTCCGAAAAGATCGGAGGCACACCCTTGTCTTGGTCCCAGCAGATATTGTTCTTCTCGTCCAGCCAGGCATCCTCGTCCGTGATCTCAATCACACGCGACGTGTGCTTGATCTCCTGGCGACTCACCCCCAGCTCATCACGAGGAATCCAGAGCAGAGGAGGCTTGGCCTTGATCGAAGGCGGGAAGTAGGCATCCCGCTCCACCTCGGGAGAATACGTGGTGGCCTCCTGCGCGCTGGGCACCAGGCGCCGCATCTGCGCGTAACCGTCGTACTTATCCGGACGGAGGTACCGGAGGAGGAAGTTGGGCTGCTGCTCGGGGATGTCGGTCACGGTCAGGCCCTTCTCGGCGGAATCGACGTTGGCCACCCCGCTGTCCCGCGCCCCAGAGGCACCCGCGACAGCTTCATCCGACGCCTCCCCGGAGTGACTCAACTTGGTCTGCTCCCGAGACAGCAGAGCTTCTTCTTCCGCTTCCAGGTTCTTCGGCAGGTAGTTGATGAGAGGCTCCAGTGCGCTGTTGAGGGCCACGTGGTAGAGAACACAGGCAATCAAAAGGATGATCAGAAGAATCAGGGGTCCCAGGGCAATGGTGTTGGCAGCGGTTCCGATAGCGAAGAGACCGATCAGGCAAACCATCAGCAGATAGCAGCCCACCGTCAGATGCTTCAGGGCTTGGACGTAGGCCTTGCCCTGGGTGTCGATATCGGCATTCGTGACATAGAGCATGTTGTAGCGGTAGGCGAAATAGAACAGGTAAAGACCGATGGTGGCGAACCCGAGCACGAGAGGTGCGATGCACGAATAGACAATAGCTGCAGGTGAAAGATGGTCAGCCGGTTTTAGTTCCCACATTAACCATTGGCGACCGGGCGTTCTTACCAATGACGGCGAGAAGGGTGAACACGGGATACACGGTTCCCCAGCCGAGACCCGAAAGGCTGGACCAGCGAGTGTACATCTTCCGGGGGGTGCTATCCAACAGCTTCCCCAGAACCTTGCCGAGAACCAAGCCACTGATCTGCAGCAAGGCGCCGGCGCTGAAAGACAATCCCTGCAAAACAATGTAGGAAATGTAGAAGTTGGAAGCCGTGGGAATATTCTCCGCCAACAGGGAGGCAGCCGAAGTGGGCTGGTTGATGATCTTGGTGACGACACTCGAGGCAGAGGATGCAAGAGTGACAACCAGGAAAACCTGGATCACCTGGAAGGCGAAGTAGAAATTCTGCGTGGTCAACTCCACCGCGGCCGAGGTAGGGGCACCGCCGAGTTTTGCCGCCACTGCGAAGGATCAGATGGACTGGCTTCCAAGACATCTGGGATGAGATAGGGTTCAACTTACATCGGAGGATAATGGGCAGCAACGCCATGAGCACGGACATCAGGATGGTAGGCAGAAGGGACGTAATAACACCCAGAATCCAGCTTGGCACGTCCTCAATAAAGCCAAGGAAGGGGACCTTGTCGACAATGTAGTTGATGTTCGAGATGGTACCAACAACCGCAGTGGGGATAGCCCAGAAAACAATCAGGGCGACCACAAATGCGATGGTTCCACAGTAGCGGATGAGCCGCTCCCACCATTTAATGCGCAAGTTGGACCAGATGACCTGGGTGGGCTCCAGACCGATGTAACGAGGCGCCATGCGCATGGGGGCATTGTGGGCCACTGAGCGCAAGTTAGCAATGGAGAGATGTGGAGGGGATGGGCATGCTCACCAGACTGGAAAGCCAACTGGGCATCGATCTGGGTGTGGAACTCAACAAAGACCGACGAAACCAGGTCCGCATCACCAGCCCGATGTTTGGCCTGGAGCTCCTCGATTTCCGGAGTAAGACGCTCGATCTCCGATCTCGCCCAGTTGATCGTATCTACCTTCTTGCCGACGAGGAACGTGAGACGATGTGTGGGACGGTCCGAGGGCCTGACCCAGCGGGCAGCAACCGAGCCAGATTCATCGTCGGAATCGTTGCACAGAGTATCGTCGGCGGTCTGGCCATCCTCCGCGTTTCCATTCTTCTTCAGGGCCTTGAGCCGAGCGGCGTTTGCCAGCTTGATGAGCTTCGTTTCCGCGGCCTCCAGCTTCATAGCAGCATCATCGCGCGCAGCCACCTTGTCGTCCAGTTCGCTGGTGTTGGTCGTCAGCCACACAGTCTTCACTTTCTCCGGTCCGAACATCTGTCGAATCTTGTCGCGGTTCAGATAATCTTGCGTGACAGCGGTAAAGAGTACGGTCCGGGATGAGAGACGGCTGGCGTAGGCGGGAGAGAGGGCATAGGCGTGGCGCAGGTTGATATAGAAAATGCACTCGCGAGTGATGGTGAAGAAGACGAACCCTAGAAAGCATTAGCGACGCTCTCGGACAGCATGTCAGGTAGTACTCGCCGACAAACAACCATGCGACGAACGCATGAGCAAAGTAGCGCGCGTATTTATCGGAGCTGACGTTTGACATGCTCAGGATATCCATTTGCGATCTTCCACCGCCGCCCGTTGCATTGACCGGCCACAAGATGGGCCAGGTCATCAACACTCCGACGAAGCAGATCGTCGAAACGACTTTCAGAAAGCGCAATAGCAGGTACGCATCCATGGAGTGGTGCTGCAAAACATATTCGTCGGGTAACCGGTACATCTGCAGGATCCAATTCCACAGGCCGGTAGGCGAAGCGGGAGTACGTTCCGAGGGGCGCAAAACTCCCAGGTAGGTTCGAGGCATGTACATGCGGAATTCCCTGCGTCGCAAGATAATGAAGCCAATGACCATGGCCACGGCCACAATCAAGGAGGGGACCAAGGTCGAAACCAGGCCGGAGGCCGAGTTGGAAGCACCTTGCACATCCTCACTGGTGGTCTATGGAGGTCAGGTCTGGCATGCGACCGAGCCGATCATCGAGACTTACCCGTCCAGCTAAGTGATGAAGGCCTTGCAGGCCGACATCATGGATAGCCATGATGCCAGTGACTCAACCCCGTGGCAGCGCAGTGGAGGAAGTCGAAAAGAGGGTGGTTACGTCAAAGGGTCTGCAGATGTTGTACGATCGACCGGCCGCGCGCAAAGAGGGGGAGGGGGACGCAGGCAAGGGAACGACCACGATTGAGATTGGAATATCCAAACAAAGGAGTAGGAAAGAGTCGAAAAAAAAGGAGTGGGAGGAAAGGATCGTTTAAACGAAAAGAGAAAAAGTAAAGAATAGACTCAAGGGGCGCAAAGCTTAAGGAGAGGGGGAGCCACCAGCGAGGACCTCTTTTTTGTTTGGGTCTCCGGGAATCTGGTTGGGTTATGATCTGCCCACGTAAAAAAGATTAGAGAACGGAAAAAGGAAAGGAAAAAGAGATTGGGTGCAGCCGTCAAGGCATGCCAATTGGTCCCCAGGAATGAAAATGGGTTCGGCGTGAAGAAAATCTCGGGTCACGACGAGGAAAGAGGAGAGAGAAGGGGACGGAGGATGAAGCTAGTGCCACCACGAGGGGAACGCGCCTCTCCACTTGGGGGTCCAGGACGAGTGAGAAGCGCAGCCAGTCCGGCGCCAAACATGGATCTGAGATGCGATCGTTGGGTCACGGAGTCTGGGTGGGTGGGCAGTCGATGACGCTGAAAAGGCCTGCGTAAGGGGAATCCCGATCGCTTCGCAAGCTAGTTTTGACTTTACGTTGATCAACAGCAGAACGACGATCGTGGTCCGTTTCAGCCACAGTTCGTCATGATGAGAGGCATCATGCCAGAAAACGTCCATCGTCTGCTTCTTCGCCAGAATCCTCTCGAGTTTTTGCCATCAGGTCCAACCCGGATTGGCAGTCCCACCAACGTTGGCTCTGGGCCGACATCAGAACATGAACAATTTTCCGAGCGTCGGAGGACGTGTGGCTGGAGAGGTGATAAGGCCAGGCCGAGTGGATGAGTTGTTCAATAGATCGGACTTAGCGCCACTAGCCTCTGACTCGCTCTCGCTTACCGTTTCGTAACCATGGCGTATGGCCCTGGGCCATTCTGCGGCAAAGCTGAAGCGCTCGCGTGAAATTCCCCGTCATGTCGGTACCTGCCCAAGATCCAGCGTGGTGATTGCTACTTGCAGGAAGGTCATGTGCGGTAGCGAGGTGGCAAATCCTACCGATACCTCCCCTTTCAGCTCGGGTCCGGCATTCAAGGTACGAGCCCGTGTGGCTGGGACGGACGGGCTTCTCCGTGGCTCGCAGGGGCGCAGTTGCGACCGCAAACAGAGCTCTGAAGTCATACTACACCAGAGTCATACTATGTACGGAGTAGCATCGCATCTACTAAGAATGTTTGTGGTCCTTAATCATCATCATCATCATCATCATCATCATCATCATCATCATCATCTGCACGGGCAACAGGATTTCTATTTCCAGTTTGACAGTTGAGCCAAGGTCGGGGGCTGTCCGATGGTTGGTTGCGATTTTACCCACGGCGCCAGGCGTTTCACTTACGAAGATTCTGACACGCTCCGACGGTTTCATGCGCAGCTGGCCGAAGATCAGGTCCTATGATCTGATCTATCCCCAGACGCCTACAGAGTACGGAGTATGCTGGGGGGGAATTCCACGAGACAGACGTCGAGTCGCCACCGCACTGTTCGGTTCGTACACAATAGCAAATTCGTATAACTTGTTCGTGGTTCATCGATGACCAGTACATACACCATGATCCTGGTTCTTCGAATGAATCCCTGGATCACAGGTTCGTCCGTGGACCCGCCGCAATCAAACCAGTCTTCAGCCCGTGCTAGGGCCATCCCGGACCAGATCTGAGGGCCTCCAACCGGCACCAGGCAGCCTTTTTTCTTGTGGAAAATTTGACAAGCTAAACCTAGCTCGTCTAGGTCAAGATGGCGGTGTACATACAAGCTTGACACGCAGACTGCCAGACAGGCGCTGGCAGTTTGCTGTCACCGGAGAAGCTTTCGCTCCGAACTATCCCGTCTATCAAGACATGGTGAGGATGCTCTGGATTTGCGCCTTGATGCTATAATAGGTATCGACGGGTTTTTGACGCGCGTTATCCTGAGAAACTTTAGGGTAGATGGTCGAATTGGGTTGAGCGTTAGCATGAGCTCCATTGCTTACTTACTGCGGCAGATGGATGCGCTGTTACTGGCAGACAACGTAGCTAAATAACTCGGTAGATTTCCGAGGCGTTATTCTTGAACAATCTCAATCGGAGAAAGCATCCACGTGCTCACCTGAAGTGGCAAACGGCTACATTATGTGAAGCGCACAAGTCAACAACATATAGAGTTAAGGAAGACTTGCAATGCCAGAACCGGACAATGCATCTATGAATACATCAATAGAACTGTTCACTTCCAAAGTCAAACATCAAGGCAAACAAGAACAAAGACAGCACAGATCACCTCAGATGAAATCCTACCAAGATAATCACACTCTTGATCTAGGCCATATCTCTATTCATGCTATTGTGATCTCCGAGTCCCACACCGGCCATTTCTGAATCCGGTCCACATAGTAGGCTTTGGCTGCCACGTTTCGCTGCGGACAACCTTAGAATTGTATATGTTGACGATAAGGGGAGTGTTCTAACAGATTGTCCCATATTCAATGTTCTTAATGTACTCCGTACTCAGCTCAAAGATATGCCAGGATACCTGGACTCCTACGCGGGAACTCATCCTTCCTCTACCAAAAATACAATTGTCGAAGAAAAGGCGTGTTTTCCTGAACAGTCAAAGTAACAAGCATACCCCTGTACCCAATCAATAAACCCATTCCTTCACAACAATCACCACAACCCCCCCCCCCTATAAAGAAAACCCCCAAACCCCATCCTAGACCAAACAAACAACCAAATCGAACTAAACCCCGAAACCCAAAACACGGGATTCATCAACATACCACGGGACTTTGCCTATCCTCCCTCATACCACCATACCAAAGCACCACTGCATAACCAATTAGCTAACCCATACATGGAACCAAAACAAAACCAATCCGAACAATAATAACAAAAAACAGCAGCAAATAATAATACTCCGTAATAATAAGACAATATCCTAATGCTCCTTCATCCCAACCCCTCCCCCTCCCCGCTAGGTAGCCTTCCTTCAAAATAAGCTTAACCCAATCCAGCCCCTCGCACTCCGTACTTCTTGTTAGTCTGACGAGCTGAGTGAGTGCTGACCCGAAAACCCCAATCCAGCAAGGTGCAGTAGCGCGGTGCAGTTGCCGGACAGGGATAAAAGTACCGAGTTTTCACCCCCTGTTACTCTTTAGCAACTTTGCAGATTAGTACGGTTGGTGCCATAGTGACTAATTAATTTACGCTAAGGGGCAATGTTACTTACTTACTACCCTTATTGTTTACCGTACTGTCATAACTCATATGTGATTGTTATTTATCTATCTATGCTATTTTGAAGTAGGCATAGGCATAGATAAATATCGGTGACAGAATCGATTCATCGTCTGCACACTGCACTGCATGCACCAGCACCAGGACCAAGGAACGGGGTGGGGGGATTATGCAATTCATAGGGGTAGACTGTAAATAGAGGGGTACAGTCAGCAAGTGGGTTAGTGGACACTGCACGGATGGATGGACAGGCGGATACTATATCCGGTAGATGGATTTGTGATAGGTTCTACTACATATCTTTTCTGACTGTGGGTTACAGGATGTGTAGGGTACATGGTAAGATTAGGTGATTGAGAGTTTGTCTGTTATGCTTGCGAGGGATTCTTTTTGTTGTGGTTGGGTGGGAGGGGGGGGTGTTATTTAGCTACTTTGTCTTGTCTTGTCTTGTCTTGTCTTCTGCTGGAGTTGATGCGGATGGTTAGAATGGGGTCGAATGGTTGGCTTACGCGGCGACTTGAATGGGTAAGACGGACGATGAAAGTACGTAGCGTAGCGGTCAACTGCCACTTGGAACAGGTCATTCTAGAAGACCAACTCGCGTCACACCAACCATGCGGGGCACAGCTAGCCACCTCAGGTCAATGTACGATGCTGCTGCTAGCCGCAAAACAATCTCTTTCATTCGTACCTAAAGTCCTGTACGATCGGCCCCGAAATGGTACACAACAGGCTAACTATATCGACGGGGTATCTCGAAATTTTCTCGTCTCAGGGGGACGACGCGAGCAACTCCTCCTCCAGGGCGTCGATCCCGCGGATCGGCGAGGTAAGCATGAGCAGGCTAAACAGGATCTCGTTGTACTGGAACTGAAGGTCCGGGCGCAGCTGCTTGTGCATCTTCAACAGCTCGCCCGTCGACCAGCCCCGTTCCGGATCCTTCAAGTCCGAGCCATATCCTTCCTCCAAGAGCAGCCAGATAAACGTCTCGCACGCCGGATACCGGTCCAGCTTGTGGTCGCGCACCAGTCGGTGGAGATGGTTGAGGAATCGTCCCGTCTTGCTTGCCGATTCTTGGAGATCCCACAGCGCGGCCGTGATGTAGATCAAAGCCGCCGTGCGAGTGATCTCCTGGGTGGGCGCATTGCGTACAACGTACATGCGCGCTTCCTGTGGCACCTGTGATGGCCGGGGGCCACTGGAAAGCAAGGGAAACAAGGGACTGTCCATCTGGAACGCGGTGCGTCGCTGGGGAACAGACAGCAAGTAGGGGCCCGTGCTATGCTGGCGCATCAGCCCCTCAGCCGCCCGAAGGAAGGTGATGAGCCATTGCTTTCCATCCTCGCCCATCTCCATCGGGGGCGGCATCATCACATATTGCACGTAATGCATGAAGACCTCGACGGTGCTCTGTGGCCCGGACCGAGAGCGGAGGATTTGGACGGCCTGGTCTTCGTATCGCCGGGCGACTTGTTTGTCACCGAACCGATCCTCGTGTAGTGCCATGCCACTAAGTGCCAATGCGAGAGTGTCTTCATCAACACTCGTCGTTCCTTTTTTCGCTTCCTCGATGCCTTCAAGGGCCTTTCCCAGATGATGCTCGGCTTCCTTACTGTCTTTCAGGTCGTAGAGCTGGGCTTTCCAGCGGGCGCAGTACGTAAGAATGACAGTTTGAAAGCACAATGGGTGGTCCATGGCAGCTTTAAAGACGAGATCTTTCATATACTTGTTTTGGCCGGACCAATAAGTCAGCCGGTTAGTCCAGTAATCGGCTAGCTCCAGGTCATCGCTAGAGCAGATCGGCAGGCTGTCGAATGGGTCTTTTCTGGAGGCATCGAGAAGGGTGACGGGTGACGGAGACTGGAGATCGTCGACTGAAGGAGGGGGAGATTGCAAAGGAGGAAGACCAAACGGGACCTGTACAGTTATCACATCAGCATAACACGGAGGGCATTGTGTACGTATCCAACGATCGGACAGCAGTCGAAAAGGTTTTGCACATTCATCAAAGCCATGAGACCTACCAGAGAATCACCGTTCACTGGAGTTTCGCTGGGAACCTCCTGAGGAGTGAACGTTTCGTAATCATCATTATTGTCCACATCTGGCCTTTTTTGTGGCCACGGGGAATATCGAAGAGGCCGACTACTCTTCTTGTCGCCGTCATTCCGAGAGTGGGAAGGCTTTCTCTGCCTCCGTTTCTCCTGAACATGATGACGCATCACATGGGCCCGTTTTTCCCGGGAAGAGGAGTTGGAATCAACAAAATAAAAGATCTGATTCCTCGAGGATTGATCATCCGACATGGGCAAATGCCTTCGTCGTCTAATTTTCAAGGGAACATGAGGGGGGTCACTGGGGGTGCCTGGAAGGGCGGTGGTCAGCTCGCAGAGGCCAAACAGCAAAAACGGCAGCAAGCGACCTACGTTGTTGTTGTTGTTGATCGGATTCTGAAGAAGAGGTACCCCGTACCCCCGAGGAGGAATCGAGAGCAGCTGGTTCAGCCAAAGGAAGCCTATCCGCCGACATGGCGGGCCTTTGGCACCGGGGGACAGCGCGGGCGGTTGACGGGTGAAACGAGGGCGGAGCTCGTTAGGACTGCATGTCGGGGGATGTGAGATGACAAAAAGCCTCCAGCGAATGAGACCATTCGACGATGCGACAATTCCTCAGGAGGGACAAGGAGGAAGCATGGCAGAATGGCAGGATGGGCCAGAAGGGGACTAACCAACTCGGACCACCTGTCAGGCCGTCAAGCCATGGTCCGGGAAGAGAGCAGTTTGCTGCTTATCTATCTGTGGCATAAGAACGACCGCCCCCGACCTGTCCGCTTCTTATTAGGGATGGGAGGTGGTGGGGTCGAGGACAACTAAGAGGCCCCGCTAGTCCGACTCCGAAAGTTTATCTGACCTGACGCTGCTCCCTCATTGGGTGCTTGTCAGCGCAGGCTCCGGGAAAAGTGTCTCCGCGGGATACCATTGGTTGCGGAACGAGGCCCTCTGCCCTTGGGACGGATCCGCTTGGTGCCAGGTTGGGCCGGTGTGGGCTCGAGGACCTTTGCCCGCAACCAGCTAGCCCGGTGGGGATGTCACCGGGGCTCCGTGCGCGGCACGCTGCTGACCTAAGCCACTCTTCAGCAAAAGCACTTAACGCGTCGGGGCCGCAACAATCTTTGGCCGACGCGTTCGTGTTGCATTCGCGTCCCACGCAAAGCTCGACAAAAAGAATTGAAACCCCAGCAACAAACAACATCGCGGCTCCCCGTCCACAAGACCCCATCACCACCACAATCTGCCCTCTCGAGGCTGGCCCTTTGACCGACAATTTGGACTGGGGATACTGCTTCTTACCTATACATCCCGCCAGTTCCTACGCCTCTCTCCCCCTCCCTCCCTCCCCTCCTTAGCGGCTTTCTGCTGGCCCTCCGTCCTTCACCATGTCTTCCCTCTTTGATGCCGTTCTGCAGTCCGAACTGGGCTCCACGACGGGCAACCAACGCCTTCATTCCGACCAGATTCCCAGCTCACGACCACAGCCACCTTCGGAAAGCAATGGCCCCATGAGTGATATGCATGCCTTCCCCGATGACCAAGTCGCCGACTCCAATGCCTCCACCGTTAGCCGACTCCGCAATCCCTATCTGCCCGGGCCACCCCCGGTGACCGATGTGGCGGGGGAGAAAGTGCAGCAGGCCTTCGCCGAACTGCTCGAAACCTACCAGGAAGAGACGCCCTCGTCGGCACAGGCCCCGCCGTCGTCACAGGTCTTGAGTGACAAATACTACATCGCTCAAATCATGGGCATGGCAAAATGGGAACTCTCTACACTTTATGTCGATTTCACCCACCTCACTTCCATGAGCAATCCCATTCTGGCCGATGCGATTTCCAACCAATACTACCGATTCCAGCCCTTTTTGACCAAAGCCCTTCACGACCTCATCGCCAAGTACGAGCCGGAATACTTTGCCTCCCACCGTCAAGCGACCGCCGCAGGTAGTGTCTCCTCCCAAGCCGGCACGTCGATGATCGCCGGCAACTCGAGCGTCTCCGATAACCCGGAATTGGAGCGCAATATCCGTGAGAAGACTCGACACCAACAGACCGATAAGCTGTTCTCGTTGGCTTTCTATAACCTGCCCCTTGTGTCCAGACTGCGCCAACTTCGCACCTCGCAGATCGGAAAGCTGGTCTCCGTCTCGGGTACCGTCACGCGGACGTCCGAAATCCGACCGGAGCTGTCCCTCGGAACCTTCATTTGCGAAGAGTGCAAGGCCGTCGTCACCAATGTCGAACAAACCTTCCGTTACACTGAGCCTTCACAATGTCCCAACAACACCTGCGGTAACCGCTCCGGGTGGCGGTTGGATATCGGCAAGAGTACCTTCGTGGATTGGCAGAAGGTGAAACTACAGGAGTCGTCTCACGAAATCCCCACGGGCAGCATGCCGCGGACGATGGATGTCATTCTTCGTGGTGAGATGGTTGATCGCGCCAAGGCGGGTGAACGTTGTATCTTCACCGGTACGTTGATCGTGGTGCCGGATGTCAGTCAACTAGGACTTCCTGGTGTCCGGCCAGAGGCAGTTCGGGACGACGGTGCCTTCCGGGGCAGTGATATTGGCGGTGGAGGTGTGACCGGACTGAAGGCTCTCGGTATCAAAGACTTGACTTACCGACTGGCCTTCCTTTCTTGCATGGTCACCCCCGACACAACAACCCCTGGGCAGCAGTCCAACCAGCAGCTGAATGGCCAGTCGAACAATATCTTGGCGTCTCTGAACCAAAATCGGGACCCCGAATCCAACGAAGACCAGGCCCAGGAGGCTCTCCTCCAGAGCCTGACTCCGTACGAGGTTCAGGACTTGAAGAACCTTGTTCACTCCGAATACATCTACGCTCGTTTGATCGACTCAATCGCCCCCATGATCTACGGTCATCGGCAGATCAAGAAGGGATTGCTGCTGCAGCTCATCGGTGGTGTCGGCAAGTCCACAGAACAAGAGAGCCTTCAGCTTCGTGGTGACATCAATATTTGCATTGTTGGTGATCCCTCAACGAGTAAGAGTCAGTTTTTGAAGTAAGTCTCGCCGTTCCGCGAAACGATTTCACATGGTTGCTGACACATCATAGGTATATCTGCTCGTTGCACCCTCGCGCGGTCTACACCAGTGGTAAAGCTTCGTCTGCTGCCGGTTTGACCGCATCCGTCGTCAAGGATGCCGAGACGGGCGAGTTCACGATTGAAGCTGGTGCTTTGATGTTGGCTGTAGGTGACCTACTTCTTTGATTGTTATGCCCGAAACTAACGTTCGGTGATCCATAGAATGGAGGTGGTATCTGCTGTATCGACGAATTCGACAAGATGGACATTGCCGACCAGGTCGCCATTCACGAAGCCATGGAACAACAGACGATTTCCATCGCCAAGGCAGGCATTCATACTACCCTCAACGCGCGCGCGTCGATTCTCGCAGCCGCCAACCCCATCGGCGGCCGGTACAACCCTAAGACGACGCTCCGCGGAAACCTTAACTTCAGTGCCCCCATCATGAGTCGATTTGATTTGTTCTTCGTCATCCGGGATGACCCCAACGAAACGGTGGATCGCAACCTTGCTGATCACATCATCAATGTTCACATGAACCGCGATGAAGCCGTTCACCCCGAGCTCAGCACCGAGCAATTACTGCGCTACATTCGATTTGCCCGTACCTTCCGGCCCGTCTTCACCGAGGAGGCCAAGGCGTATCTCGTCGAGAAGTACAAGGAACTCCGTGCCAGCGATGCCCAGGGTGGCATGGGCCGCTCGTCATACCGTATCACGGTCCGACAGCTCGAGTCTCTGATTCGTCTCTCAGAAGCGGTTGCCAAAGCCAACTGTGTGGAAGAGATCATCCCCAAATTCGTCCGCGAGGCATACGATCTTCTTCGTCAGAGTATTGTCACGGTCGAGAAGGATGACGTCGAAGTCGACGATGATGAAGCCGCGGCCGCAGATGGCGCTGCTGACGACGAAGACCACGAAATGGGCGATCGTGATCGCGAAGGTGACAGCCCCATGCGCGAGGATGGCGAAGCACAGCCCAAGCGGGCCCGAACCAAGATCACGTACGACAAGTACATGAAGATCCTGAACCTCATGGTCCGTCGTGTGCGGGATGACGAAGCCAACTCCGGCGAGGGTGTCGAGCAGGAGGATCTTCTCCTTTGGTACCTGGAGCAAATCGAGTCCGAGATCGACACGGAGGACGATTTGCAGAACGAACGGTCTTTGGCCGTGAAGGTTGTCAAGCGAATGGTCAAGGTATGGTTTTATCAAGCCCCTTTGAGATTCCATAACTAACATTCAACTCACAGGATAACATCCTCATGCCCATTCGCGGACAAGGCCTGATAGATGCTGACGGCGACGTCCAGGATGAGGAATCTCAACGGACCGTCTACGTGATGCATCCCAACTGCGCCATTGACGAGGCGTAATTTCTCTTTCACGTTTTCGATTTCGGACCAGGTTTACGTCAATGATTGCATGGGTTTGATATAGGAGCCGGTGGTTATGAGTGATGATATCCATCTGATATTATTGATATTGATATTGATATTGAATTCCACGTCTTCTTCCGTGGATTATGTGTTGTGTTATAGACTGAGGTCTGGAGTGTATAGGTTTAGATATCTAATCTCACATTGGTGGTATATTTATTCTGCTGTTGTCATTCTTACTTGGTGCTTGCTGCGTTGCATGCTGGGTCTAAGGTTTGGGACCGTGATCCAGACCATCTCCTCCCCCTCAGGCATGCATGCATAGGTTTGCAATTTTCTCTCGTGACGACCATGTCCTTACTCACCCAAGCTGTTGTACCATGCATATCTCTCTGTTTCCGTTAATTCGCACTTCTTTCCCCATTCGTTCTCTCGGCGATTTCTTCGTTGTGCCCTATCCCCCGTTGTTTCGAAAAGACACAGAACATAAAGTGGGGTACAAAGGTCAGGACATCGATAATTCAGCGATGAATTCCATTGCAACAAGGCTCTCATAACCTTTCCATGTCATCAAAATACACCCACAATCAGATATCCCCACCCCGTCCCCCGGTACTCCAGGATAGATCATGGAATCGAACAGAAACCGGAACAGCGATAGCTCCAGCGAAGAAGCATGTGCAACGAAACCACTTATGCCACATGCAGATGCAACTCAAGCCCATCTAAGTAGCCTCTCCAGATGCAACTCACAATCGTCTCGTCCCCCGCCGTCCCTGCCCAACACCAACATCCTGCGAACCCTCACGCCCAAGCGCCCTTTGCGACGACGGATTCAATGGAATCTCGGTAGCACTCATCGCTCTGGCATGCGAGTCGAATTGCCGTCTCTGCCGCCTCAGACTGTAATATCTCCTTCGGCGCATCTGATCGCCCAAAGCCTCATCCGAAGGATCAAGCTCGGTATCAGCATACTCCAGCTCTTCTTCATCAACACCACCTAGATCGTGATCCTCAGCGTCATTAGCCTGAAAAGAAAAAGGAAACCCCGGCACAGGGACATCTCACCTCCATGGTTATTCCCCTCCATATCCTGATCAACATCAACCTGCAAAAATCTCTCAGTCTCAGTCTCAATCTCAGTCTCAATCCCATTTGGAAGCTCGTCCTCCTCTTCGATATTCTCCTTATCTTCATCCCAGTCCCGATATGAACGTACTTCATGATAATTAATCCCCAAGGCATAGGCCCCCGCGCTATCCTCGGTTTCTTGATCTTCGTAGATCGCAAACTCGCTCCCATTGCCCATGCCACCAGTGTCACGAAGTCCAGTAAGACAGCCTTTCTTCTTCATCGGCGACATAGCATCTTGCTGCTGTCCCTGGATTGGGACCAAGACCGGGGCTGGGACATGCTGAGCCAGATGCAGAGGCGAGGAACTCACCGTCGCGCCAGTAGAGCTCACTACCATATCCTCTTCCTCTCCATCCTCATCTCCATACCCATCCCCTCTCTCAGCATCACCATCACCGTCACCATCAACATCCATAACTCCATCCCCATTACCAATCTCCTCCCTCTTCTGCAACTCATTCCACCTCCTCAACTGCAAATAATACTCCTCCCCCACCACCTGACCAGGAAACATAGCAGCCTTAAACAAGCGATCCTGTGCCTCGTTCAACGCCCGTTGATTGAGCATCCGGTACCGATGCATAGTAATTTCATCTTCCTGTGCCTGGATCTCCCGGTTGAGGGCTTCTTCAAGGCGTTCGGCTTGAAGTCTGAAAGGGGAGGGGAGACGGGGACGTTTCTGGGTTGGGGGTTCGATGTGGGAGTGGCAGATGGGGTCCGAGTCACTCTCATCGTCGGGGTCGCGGGTTCGTCGCTTGCGGGTGATGGTTGTAGTTGGGGTGAGGGAGGTGGTTAGGCTGGGGGTTGTGGTTGGGGGGAGGAGGACCTGGGGTAGGTTAGTGGGTTTGAGTTCGGGGTTAAGGTTGGAGGTTTGCGGTGCGGTGGGGATAGGAAGTGGTGAAGGGCTGAATAGGTGAGAACGGGGAAAAGGGGGGCTGTTTCTGTACTCACATCTTGGTCCATGTGGTCAATGATGTCGTCCATAGTTGGTGCTTCTGGGTTGTGCTGGCTGCATGGGTTAGTGATTCGCTTGTGGGAGAGGGAAAGAAGACGAGGAAGGGATCGTTTTATGAAATAGGTGACAGATGTGATTTACAACAAGGAAAATGCGTTGGGTGCTCTGAGCACAAGAATGAGTATCTTGGATGTGAAGGAGATGAGCAAGTCTTGTATAGGGCTGCACGTAGAAGACTTGCCTGGAATAAACGGCAATATCATAACCGGATCGGATGTAAAGCTCCGCCGCTGGAATCATAGAGGCAGCGTCTCTGAGTAGGCGTGAGAGTAAGAAGAAGGAAGAAGTTGAGCGAGCGAGCAGGTGTCAAGACCAACAGCCAGCGGGCAGGAAATCACCAGTCATTCACTACACAAATCCGGGCCTGAGGCAGCCCCAGCCTACGCAACTACAACAATTCGGCACATCGGTCCAAGCAATAGGTTTCATTGAAGTCATGACCAGCTAGGTACTCATGCTGCTATCATCATGACCGGAGATCCTGGATCTGCCCATTGCTCCTTTATCCAAACCCCCGGGGTTGTTGTACATCCAGACTCATCTTGAACCTGGCTGTGATACAGTCTCCTCATCCTGCCTAGCCACCGCTGATGGCCAGGCCTCTCCCTGGATGTCCCTACCCCTGCCTTTGTCATGCACCAAACAGACACATGTAAATGAACCAGATACAAGAAGATTAGAAGGTGTATTGATCGGGCATAACAAAGACATAAGTAGGAGAAGATCAAGGAATTATCTCATCGTTGCTGCATTCTCCCGGTGTATCCTGTACAAACCACCCCACCCGCTCCCGCCTACCGGAACTGTCCAGGCCCGATCATGCCGCCTCTGGCGTCACCGCCAACCTGGCCGAACATGTCCAACAGGTGCCGGGAAGAAGGGGGAGGCACTTGCGGTCCGGGGTTGCCATCAAAAGGTCCCTGTCCACGGTGGGCAAGCCCCATGAGAGCATCCCCGTTGGGCGGCATGGGTGGGAAGCCAGAGGGCGGGGGCCCGTTCATGTAGCCCGGGGGAGGCATCATGCCGGGAGGAGGCGGGCGTGGGAAGGGTTCGCGCTCGCTAAGCGGTGGAGCAGCAGCATGCATAGGCATCATGTTTGACATGTAGCTTGGGTTAACCCCGCGCGTAGGTGTCGGGATACCCGGCGGAGGGGCCAAAGGCGCCGGTCCGGCAGCTTGCTGTGGCGGAAGCTGAGGGCCTGGCCAGCCGGGAGGAGGCAGGTGCTCGAAGCCTGGAGGTCGCTGCATGCCCATGGCCGGGTGAGCTTGGCCCTGGGGACCCCGAGTTCCGCCGGGCGTGATGGGGAGGTGGTTGCCCTGGGGAAACGGCATATCTTCGAAATACCCCATGGGCGGCCCATTTGCGGGTCTGCGGCGGAGATGATCGGCGTCAGGTCTCTGCATGTTAGCGATCGCCGGGTCATCCAGGAAGTTGGGGCCCTTTTGAGCAGATGGGATGCCTGGTGGAGGAGACAGCACTTCCGGCATACTCATTAAACCAGGAGCCGGGCCAACAGGGCCAGCGCTCTGTGGCTGGCTCTGGATACCCGGGTTAGCAACAGGACTGACGCGAACCTGTTGCATCAATCGCAGGAGATGTTCCCGGTCACGAGCCTGAGTTTCCTGAATGTAAGGGTTCTCCTTGAAGGGAGGGCCAGCGGTCCGGGCAACCGTCTCCTGCATGGCCAGGTACTCCTGCCGCTTGATCTGATCCCGAGCCGGAGATGAAACGGCGCTTCGAATTTGCTCGGCCTGCACCTGAGAAGGCGGTCGGTTAGTTGGCATAGGGTCATTATGAGGCGTAGCGTTGCGTGATCTTCCTCCACCAAGCATCTGCAGGATACGTTGGAACCCTTCCTGATCAGCATCGGTATTGACAGCGTGGGTGGAAGGCGATGACTTCGTCTCTGGTTGATATTCCGGGTCCTTGGCGGGGCTCCCTGGAGGTGGTGAGAATAAACCAGCAAATCGTGAGGACTTCCCAAGTTTTCCCGGAAGAGGCTCTTTCTTGTTTGAAGCTTCCATGGCAGGGGGCGGGCTGATCTCTTGGGGCACCTGGGGTACCTGGGGGGGCGGGGGTGGCTTGGAGTCCCCGAGCAATCCGAAGAAGCGCTCCATGGCAGAATCCGACGTAAACGGAGTGCCGTTGCTGCTGAAGATCTCGCCATCGGTAGGCCGAGGCTCTGGCTTCGGCGCAGGCGCAGCAGCTGGCTCCACGGGGACTTCCTTTTCCTCAGTCTGAGCCTGGGAAGAGCCTGCCTTCATCCTTTCCTTCCAGCGCTCAAAGTCTTCTTGTGTGTGCACGCGCCGAGACTCATCTTTATCGGTCGAATCCAACCATTCGGGCTCCTGTTCAAACTTGGCACCCCGAGTCCAGTCACGGTCTGCACCGTGCCGATCCCGACGCCATTCTCGGTTTCGTACCGGAGTCTTCTCCTCATCCGCCTCGGGCGCATCATGAGCATTATCATCACGGAACCAACTTCCCTCATGTCTCGCACGTCCGGGAGTGTTGTCCTTCCGCGGGAAGAATCGCGCATCCTTATCTCTAGCTCCGCGGTCATTGTTGGGATCACGCTGATCGCGGGTTGCTTCCCACCGATCAAATTCTCCGTTGCGTCTGGGCTTTCTTTCTTGCTCTTCTTGGCCGAAGGTACGGCGGGGGCGTCCGCTGTTCCAGTCTTCTCGGTCCCCACGCCGGTTGTTAAATGTTCCTAGTTTCGCATCTCGTCGGTCAAAGTCACGTTCACCAGACTCCCGGTCTTTGAAAAACTTCTCCCGTAAGTTGAATCGGTCGTTCTTCGAATCGTCCTGGTCTGTAGGTTTGGAAGGTCGTTCCGTAGCATCTATCGATCCTTTACCGGGTATGCGAGATGCCGAAGCAAAAGCGGTCTTGGGGGGTCCGAGAATGATGTCTTCTATAGATGAACAATTGCGTGTGTCAGCAATGCTCTACTGCCCCGCTTGAAAACAGTAATATCTCAAATAAAAACCGGACGAAGATGATGGATGCAATTTACCTGAAGCTGATCCACGGGAGATATGACGAGTTTCAAAGATACTGGGTCTTCTGGGGGTCGTCTCATGTGGGTTATTGGGGTCTCGAGGATTGGTGATTTTCCGTTGGGTAGCTGGATCGGGGATTGGGCTAGCAAATCAATGGCATCAGCTTCAGAATACCGCATTGATTGGGAACCACAGGAGCACTTACCCCATCCATTCTTCTACCGAGGGTAAAGTGGGAGGCTTTGTGACCAGAGGCGATGAGCGCAGCCATAGCAGCTCATCGATCTGGTAACGTCGCGCCATGAGGATGGCTGGAGTGGGTGTGTGGGAGGCTATCGGGATGCCGTTACGTCGTTCTCATTGGTCGCCGTCAGTCCAAGGATGAGAAACGGTGGAGTTAATTTATCGCGGAACAGGAGAGCAGGAGAGAGGCTCAGGACAGGCGGGCTGCGACAGATGGGTAGGGAGGAGAGGCAGGGAGCAAAACCACTTGCCAGTGGCAAGCAAAAGGCGGAGGGAGCTTCGATCGGTCAAGGTCCAGGAGCACTTCGTTGGGGGAGCCGATGAGGGGCACCAGTGGTGCAACAAGCCCTGCGACCTGGGTTGCTTCTGGATAGAATATCACAGTTGGTCTCGAGGAAGATGGGCAGACGAGCGAGCAAGTGGAAGGGGACGAAGGTGGTGGGCAAAGGACAAAGGGGGCAGTGGTGGATGGTGGTGAAGGGGAGAGTGGAAGTTGCGGGCAAAGATCGAGGACCACCGCCGGACCGCAGAGAAGTTCAAAACGTGTGCTCTACCCAATGGGGAAGGCCGCCGGTCAGTGTCTCTTTGGTCGCTCTCCTCCACCTCCCCCCAATTTTCGGGAGATCTTCCAGCAACGGCCAATTCCATTTCAGATCGGCTATTCTCCAGCTCATCCATTGCTTCAGATCCTTCTCTGTCCATGACTCCTCCCAAAAGCGTTCGTGTTCCCTGCGCAACCGCCTCGTTACCGCACCCTCCGGAGACGGTCTAAAATCCATACTCACGCCATCGCTTGGGATATGTCATATGAACGTCCCATCTTTACAGATATAATGTGTCTCATTACTTCCCCAATGATGGCACCCGAGTGTACAGATACAATTGCAAATCAAATCAACCTATCATCTGCTATCCAGAACGGTCCAAACATATCGATACAGCTGGCTCTAGATGCCCTAAATCAGATGCCAATTAATATCCAGCCGAGGACCTAGACCATGTACAGCTCTTGCGTCTAGCCCACAATGTTCTCCACCGCTCGCAAGGCGGCACCTCCACTCCACTTGGAAACCCGATCACCGTCCGACGTTTCCTTCAAGGACTGAGCAATGGCCGTGAAAGTCTGGGTGTCCTTGGCCGTCACAGCCGGAATCTGACTTTGGATCCAGCTGAGGATGCCTGCTCGAGTGACCAGCGTCGTGCTTCCCCGTACTTGAGTCGAGCGATACACCAACTGCAAGACCTTTCTCTTGGCAGAGTGGCCTGCACTAGGCGACTCGTAGAATGAGAGTGTTCTCTCGAAGACATTCGCGCGGCGGTAAATATCCATATCCTGTTGTAAATCAGCAAGGTGGCCACAAAAGAACAAGTGAATGGTAGGTGACATACAGCTTCAGTGCGAAGGCCCTTGATAAGCAGATCTAGAAGCCAGCTAGTCTCGTCAAAATAGCCGTCGTCAAGCTCGGGCTCATTCAGGAAGATCTTGTCGATCCAGTAGGACGGGATCTTCTCCGGCTCCCAGGAAGGAGCCTTTTGCAGGAACTTGTTGACCTTTCCATACATCTTATGCATGGGGTTCGTAAGAACAGCGAGACAGCTGGAAGCGCATTCCCCGACAATCCATGGAACCGGAGATTCAAGGCCGATCTGCTTGACAGTCTCGAGAAGCTCTCCAGTGAGGATGTAGACTGATCGCCATTCTGCGTAGTTAGACTCCTGTGGATGTGTTAGATTGCCTACAAAGAAGGGTGCCATGTCAACGGTCTACCTACCTTGAGCTTAGCCATGAAGCGAACTGTATTCGAAAATGCCTGCTTCCGGACTTCTTCATGTTCTGAGCACAGGCAGAGCAGCAAATCGGCTATCCGGCCTTGCTCCACAGCAATTTCAATGTCATCCTTTTCCCATCGGCGCAGCCCATTATGGGTGGTACCCTCCGTTGGTAAGGTGCCGAAAACTTCATCTAGATCTACTTCTTCCTTGCCAGCGGTGGCTGCGGCGTCTTGCGGCGAATCATCAGCGTCCATGTCATGATCATTGTCAGCATCCTCAGTATCTTTCAGTGCTTTCTTGAGCGTCGATCTCGACTTCTTGTTCTCGGCGCTGTCCACCAGCTTGTCTCGGGCAGTCTTCAATGTCTTGCCGTCTTCTCCGGCGCGCTTCAAATTTGCAAGGGCTTTGGCGATCCAGGCCACCACTGCGCTCTCGGAATCGGCGTCTCCGGACTTGACCACAAAGGGCCACTGTTCGATGATAGCAGCCACGAGAGGGCTGACCGGGCTTGAACCACCCTGGAACAAGGAGCTCTGAAGATCTTGGTAGTGAACCGGCTTCTTTGCAATACGGCAAGCACAGTTGTCGAAAAATGACAATTGACGCTGGAGCCTCTCCGAGTCTGAAGCGTCGAAGCTCGACAGAAGTGCGGGGAATGATGAAGGGTGCTGTAAGACGGAGTGTTCAGTAAGAACTGTCCGTAGGAGGCTGTCAATCTCACTCAGAGATTCTTTGGATGCTGCTTCGGCCAGAACTTTCAGGATTGATGTGAAAGCCGAATATTGCATAGACCCTAGTGTTCATTAGCATTGCTGGTTTATAAGGGCACCAATTCGCTTACCTGGCTGCTGCCACCAACGCATGGATGATGACTGCTGTATAATTCTTAGGATATTTTGCAATTGGCTCAGCAAGGATTCGGAATCATTCTCGTCGAGGTTCTGCTCATCCAGTCGTTTCAGGATGTCAACCAAAATCAGTGACACATCGAGCCCCTCCTCAAATGCAGCGTCCGGGATCACTTCATAAAACGAAGCCAGAAGGTCTGAAACAGCATCCTGCTGTTGCAAATCCTCCTTGTCCGTTCTCTTGAAGAGAAGTATAACCTCCTTTACTCCAGGGCACCGGCGACTGAACTCAGCAATCAGCTTGCTTGCCGCCTGCGTCCACAGTGGCTGGGTAACCCCATGATCAGCATTGAAGATCTTCAGAACAGCCCGTAGCTTGTTGAAGGCAATTGTCAAGATTCGAACCGCAAACAGGGTCACAATCTCAGCGTTCAAGTTCAGGCAGCGGGTGAGGATTTTCTGGGTCAGCGGGCGTGGAAGCACATTCTCAATGACCACAGAGACTGGGGGCGGTGTCGGGGGCAACTTCTCCTTCCAACCACAGTTCGTAGGTACGGGCAACTGTACAGTAGAGAAAAGAAGCGCGGATTCTGCCAGCCAGGACGGGGTTGGCTTTGGGTCGGAAATGAACATCGTCTTCTTCGTGAAGAAATCAGCAACAAGCTCCGGGGCCGCCTTGAAAATCGCCACTAGCAACTCGATCTGGAGACTATCGGCATCGGGGCGGAGAGTCTGGATCAGATAAGACAGAGTTCCATTACGAACAGGCACAGTCTGGCTGTATTTGTCAACATGGACAGCAGAATCAAGTCCCAAATCAATCAACGTATCATCGTCCACAGGGAGCGACTCGGGATCACTTCCCTGTGGGTACCAACCATTCTCTGGGAGCAAAACTCCGAGATCGGTGTTCGTGCAAAGGTTCATCAAAATTTTGTGGATCTCGTCTGCAGTGGATACATTCGTTGGATTGGGCTCCTCTGATTCACGATCGTAACCATAGAGGGTAACAAGTCGCTCCAGGTTCCATCGGCTGAAGAATTTGCTCTTTGCAATGCGAGAAATCGAAGCATCTTGGATAATATCCTTGTCCACACACTTGATGATCTCCAAGACGATGTCTCTTGGGTCTTTGCGAATGTACTCAAGGAACGCTCTGATGACTTTGTGTTGCTCGATAACTTCACTCTTCGCAGCTGACTGCAGGAATCTGAAGTTCGCAAGGACATACTTCTGAGCATTCCTCCGCAGAGTGGGTCTGCTAGCCTCGGACACTTCTTCCAGCTGGGCTTTATTAGGGGTAAGAAAGACCTCGATGCGTTTGAACGTGATATACCGGGCGGCATGGACGTGGCGCGCCGCAGCTCCACCATCGAAGCTGACCATCTCCGTAAGAAGACGGAGACAAGGGGAGATTAGATGCTCCTTTGACTTGGTGGCTGTCAAGCCACGGTTGAAAAGCCTCAGCTGTTCTTTCTGGACGAGGTGCTTGCATAGTGCCACTCCGAATTCCCGGAATTCCAAATTACTGGACACTGACTTGAAGAATTGAGCTAGGATGGAGGGGACCACGGTCAACAACGACTCGTTGTTATTGCTGTCTGCAAAACTCCAAGTCTGGATCAGGTCGGGAAAGCACACTGCGTCATTCTCATTCGTCTTTGAGAATTGCGAATCACAATACGCTTTAAGGATGCGGAACTTGTTGGCTTTTTCGCCCTCGTCCTCGGCCTGTCCAATGGACGTGAGAAAGTCCTTAAATTTTCTTATACCTGTTCTTTATTAGCATGAAGACATGTGCCTGAACTCATAGCATAGAACTAGCTCACCTTGCTTGGATTCATTAACATTCTGTTGAAAAGTCAGGGCCGCACGGAGTTGCGTGTGAGAGGATATGGTAGCAGGGGCCTCGGCATCCTGAGCATTATCTAGCTTTCTCCTCTTGTTACGAGGAAACTGTTCCTCGTGGGAAGACATTCTGAGCTAAAGCCGGTGCTTTGGTGATGGAGATGACCGGGGACTTGATCTCGAAAATAAAGGGTGCCTCGCCCGATTCAGACCTTCAGAGTTTTGCGGCTTCTGATTGGGTCTCGGGATAGTGCCACTACAGCGGATTCCGCAAAGATGAAATCTTCACTTATTAGGTATGTACTCTAAGGTGTTATATAAATGAAAATTATAGAAAAGTGAAAAGTAAGGAAGGCGAGATATGCCGTTTGCGACAAGAAGAAACGGCCGGAAAGTCCTGCGCAGAGTCGATCCACTGCCGTCCAGATACTTGGCTCCTATTGGTTGATGTATTCAGTATGGTTTAAAAAGCGATGTACTTTAGTGGGGATTGTAACACTTTGCCCGGTCAATGGTAGAATGATATTGTCCAAATCTTGATTAGAACCTTTCGTGGTAATAGGGTGACTCACGAATTGTGGTAGAATGGCAAAGCCCTTTCACGGATAATCTCTCAGGTGCTTCACTGGCAAAACATTTTGTTTGCCTTAAGTAACAAAGCAACTTATCCATCTTCAACAAACTAGCTCCTATGGCTCAGTTGGTAGAGCGCATGACTAGTAATCATGAGGTCCGCGGTTCAAATCCGCGTGGGAGCATTTTTTGCTTTTCTTTTTCAAAGCTACCCACTCATCAAAATTGATCTGGTCAATCAATTTTTAGTCTACAATCAACCTGAGAATCTATTTTACTACCCAAAAACTAATGACTAGTCTAGTAGAATATGCAGAAAGTTGGTGTTGAGTCAACCATCCCAGAACCAAGGGAATGGCCACCAACTCAGGAACTATATATTCCCACAGCACCCACTCAATTGGCCGGTAACCAACATCCTCTACCAGCAATCCGGTTTATAGCATCCTGCACCGAGATTCTCTAGATTCGCCTAGACACCAGTAAACCTTCCAATGTCCAGGTCATAATTGCCTCAATCGCAATGTCTACATCCTTAACCTCATATACACCCACACCGGCCCTACATACACCAGTATCCAACACACCCAACCCCCTAACAAAACCACACCCTCCCCAACCCCAACACAACACCCCATAACAACCCCATAACCACCACCAATGACCCCCCCACCCACCCTCCCCCACTCCATACTCGGCACCTGGACCCTCCTCGAATACACCTCCGAGCCCTTCGACCGCAAAGGCCCCACCATCCACCCGATGGGCCCCAACGCACGAGGCCTCCTCACCTACACCTCCGACGGCTACATGACCATGACCGTGATGCCGCCGACCGCAGGCAACAAAATCAAGCAGTCGGTGCACGACGGGGTCATGTATACCGGTCGTTACTGGATCGATAAGCCCCAGGCGGATGGGAAAACGGGCGTCATGTGTCATGAAGTGCAGATGGCGTGTCCGGCCGAGTTGGAGAATACGGTGCTTAAGAGACAGATTATGGTTGAGGGGGGGAGGTTGAGGTTGAAGTCGTTGAGGTTTGTGGATTTGGAGGTGCGTTTTGCGTTTTGCTGTCCCCGTATCCCGCCTTTGGTGGTGTTGGTGATGGGTGCGGGCTGACTGGTGGTTGGGTAGGGGCTTATGGTTAAGCCGGAGTTGGTGTGGGAGAGGGTTAGTCGGCCGTGATGATGATGATGATGATGATGGAATATAGTGTGTTTTGGGTTTGGTGTTTGGGAGTTCTGCGGATGTTGGGATCTGGCGTTGGTGCTGGGATACTTAAAAGGGCAGTATATCTGCAGGGTCAAGGGTAGCACTGCTGGTCGGTCTTTTCATACAAAATGGGCGGCATTATCCAAGGCAACAATCAATATCTACTTGATACAGTCATAGACAATTCCAATTAAATACATATCTAGCCAACATGAGGAAAGAAAGCCAGTCGGCTCAGCATGGGATTTCGTAAGGGTATGCTTTAATATCATATATATGCCCGTAGAATGGTATGAGAAAACACGGCGCAAGAGTAAAAAGAACAGCCAGGAGGTTAGATCAACCCCAGGTTCCACCACCACCACCCCTGCCCTGTCGTCTCTGTGCGGATAGACGCCAGTCATCCTCGCCTGCAAAGCGGTTGTGGAGAGGCTGGATCCGCTCGGCCTTCTTGCGTTTCGAAAGACGGTCGGTGGGTGCCACCTTGAAGAATGTGGGAGCCGCTTCGACGAGCCACTTGGGTTCGATAGAGGTGGTGCAATGCATGTACTCCTTCGTCGTCAGAACCAGTGTGTGGTAAATGACATGCTCGGACGGCTTGCCAAATAATGCGGAGCTGGGATGCATGTAAACCGGTGTCCCTTCGACGAGGGTCTTGTATCCTTCCTGAGGATCTTTACGAGCTGCATTCCGGAAAAAGCCCGTGCAAAGCGCCTGGCGCACTTTGGTGGTGTTTCTTCCGCAAGAGACAATCCGGTGGTGGTACCGATCCATGATACCCAGCAGCTGCTGACGCACATCCTGAGCACGACGGATCTGACGCGCCTGGATGAAGTTCTCGAAACACCAGGCATTGTTGAATTTGGAGTTCTTCCATCCGTTGTAGACATTGAGAAGGGTCAGGTGGTCCCCATGAGGATCATGGAACTTGGCCTTTTTCTGGTCTGCTTGTTGCTGCTTCTCTTTGGGACGATAGAACACCGACTGGATAGAAAGCATAGCGACGATGCTCAGCATTTCCTCCGAGCATCCCATATCCACCGAGGCGATGAGGACCTTGGCAAGGGCCGGCTCCATGGGGAAGTCGGCCATCTTCCTACCCAAGCGAGTCAAGAGACCCTCGTCATCCAGAGCAGACAATGCATACAGCTCTTCCAAGGCAGTAAGCATAGTGTTTGTTGGCGGGGGATCCATGAAGTCGAAATGCAAGAGATCGTTGATGCCCATGGCCTTGAGCATGAGAATAGTATGCGAAAGGTTCTGACGTTGAATTTCGGGAATCGTGGTCGGCAACATCTCCGATTGATAGGCTGCCTCAGTATACAACCGGAAGCACTTTCCGGGACCGGTTCTGCCTGCACGACCAGCTCGTTGCTTGGCCTGCGCCTGGGAAATGGGCGTCACCACCAACGAATCCATACCAAGCTTGGGATCGTAGGCGTTTTGCTTGACGAAACCCGGATCAATGACGTAGTAGATATTGTCAATGGTAATGGATGTCTCGGCAATATTCGTCGCGATGACAACCTTTCTACCTCCTGGCGGCGCGGCCTCGAAGATTCGACTTTGCATTTCACTGGGAAGGGCAGAGTAAACAGGCAGAATGACCAACTCTGGTACTGTAGACCCTAAAGCCTTCATTCGCTCGTATAAGATCTCGCAGGCGGTGTCAATTTCCTCTTGACCTGTCAAGAACAGAAGGATATCACCCGAGGGTTCCGTTAGGTGAATCTGCATGACGGTGATGAGAGCTGCATCGAGATAGTCGGACTCGGGCTCCTTGGAGTACATGATCTCAACGGGGAACGTACGACCAGGAATCGAGAAGATGGGGCAACCGTTGAAGTACTCCGAGAACTTTTCAGCGTCCAGAGTCGCCGAGGTAACAATGAGTCGGAGGTCTGGTCTGCGTTTGAGGGTCTTCTTGAGCAGTCCGAAAAGAACATCAGTGGCGATGGTTCGTTCGTGAGCCTCGTCAAGCATGATGACCGAGTACTTCTTCAAATCCGGGTCCAGGAGAACCTCTCTTTGAAGCATACCATCAGTCATGTACTTGATCTTGGTCTCCGGACTTGTGCAATCCTCGAAACGGATCGTGTACCCGACCTCTGCACCGAGTCTACAGCCGACTTCCTCCGCCACACGTTTAGCAACAGACATGGCGGCGACACGACGAGGCTGTGTACATCCGATGATACCGTTGTTGGCGTAGCCGCCTTCAGCCAAGTATTGCGTAACCTGGGTGGTCTTTCCAGACCCCGTATCTCCGACAACAATCAACAACTGATTATCACGTACAGCATCGAGGAGTTGCTTGCGGAATTTGAAGACCGGCAGGCTTTCACGCTGTTGCTTGATGGACATGCTGGTCCGCTTTCCGAACGACTGATTCTTGCCCATCGTGACCCGTTTCCACTCGGGCACCGACTCATCCGGCTTGGACTGCTGGGCAGTCCGGAGATCAGCGGCGAATTTCCGCTCTTCAGGCGCAACCATAGGATCCTGCCACTGCGCATTGAGATCGACTCCCGCCGCTTGTTCGGCCGCCTTGTCCTGGGCCTCTTGCTGTCTGATGTCTCTTCGCTCCTTGGCTAGGTTGGTACCTGCCATTGCAGCCCGGTTCATAGAGCCATCAGGAGCTTTCACGACTCGGATCGGGGAGAGTTCCAGAGATATCTTAGTCTGACCAGCCAGGAAGGGCGGCTCCTCGTCCCTGACCTCGATATCGACATCTTCCTCTTCCTCGAACGTACCCTCGCCCGTCAAGGTATCGTGATACTCTTGATCAATATCAGGGTAATCAGCTGCCGAAACAGCGCCAGACGCAATCAGTTGTTTGATCTCCCACCTCTCTGGCGATGTCATGCGCTTTCTGTTCTTCATCGGCTTTCCGTTTGACTCCTCAATGACTGGCACTTCCGAACTTAGGTTGCCATATCTGTCCTTGCCCGTCATGCCGTCAAGGCGCTCCATATTTGCCCCCGAAGCCAGGCGCCGTTGAGGGATAAGATCGAGACCAGTGACCTGATCCACCTCCTTCATGGACAGTCCGATACGAGAGCCTTGGATGCTGATCACCTTGACCTTAACCGGCTGGCCTCGTGATACTAAATCGGACGGATGATTGACACGAGCCCCTTCCTGCATGGCCGAGACGTGTACTAACCCATCCACTTTGCCCTTGACACCAAGCAAATTCACAAAAGCGCCGAAATCCTTCACCCCGGTGACACGACCATCATAGACCTTATATAATGTCGGCTGATCATCCAGCTCGACCGGGGGCGGTTTCCGGAAATATTCGTCGTCATCCCGATCCCGTCGACTCCTCCGCTCACTGTGTCCATTGCGATGCCCATCATCCCTGCTGCTGTATTTGCTCTTTGACCGGCCAAACTCATCCACATCATCATCTCTCTTGCTATAGCGGGGACTGTGTGATCGCGACCGGGAACGGTATCGATCATTGCGTCTGCGCCCACGGTCGTAGTCATCGTAATCGGGGCTTCTGCTGCGTTTCCTGCTCCCGCGGTCGGTTCGAGACGGACGCTTATCCTCGCGCGCCTTTCCTGCCAGCCCTTCCAACATCGCAAACGTATCATCCATAGCGTCCGCCTTAGCATCACTTTCCTCCACATCCTTCCGCTGGATGTAATCTTCATCATCGTTCCACTGCTGCACCTTGTCGGGCACCGCAAGTCCCTTGAACACGCGCGCTTTCTTCTCCAAAGCATCCAGAACATCCATATCATCATCGCCATTCCCCGCGTTATTCGTCGATTCCGCCTTCTTCGCCTTGTACTTTGGGTGCATGGTGAGCACCAAACGGTCGATACTCCCCAACAGACTCTGAGGAAATTCGGCGCCCATCTCCTCCATGCTCTTGCTGAATTCCCCAAAAGAGCCACATTTTAAGTGCTGGTCGATCACGAATTCCGCTAATGTCTTGTCGTTGACGCCCAAGTGGTTCTGAATTTCGCCGGTTATCCGCGAGACGAGCGAAAAGAGCTCCAGCGACTGGAGGTCATCCATGGCGGATGAAGAGGGATCGTGGCCGCAGTGGAGGTTGAGAGGGTGGGTGAAGCGATGTGACGGAAGTTTGGTGGTTAATTGCGAGAGAGTGCAAACACTCCTCTGGTCGCGAAAGAGGACTGTCTTCTCCGCGATCTTGCGAACCGGCAAAGCTCATGTCGCGGAAAATCGTTGTGGCGTTCGGGCACCCGCCACCGATAAGATAAGCCGCGCTCTACAGTACGGAGTATATGACGCTACCATGTATAGCGTAATATTGAAAAGGTATCAAAATCTTCTAGAGTTGGGGATGAGTTTTGTCGATCAATTACTTGTAAATCTCATGTCATTATATGTTAAGGTGCCTGGTTGGCTGATAGGCGAGGATCACGTGTTCTGATCATATTGGCCACTACTAACAAGACATTCTTCTTCTTTCCAGCTATAGTCTAGATAGTGAATATAACTAATATCTTTAATTCTCTGAGTTATATTTTATAATAAATTATAAGTCTAGTCTTATACACTTTAATATCAATCTTTATATTATTTTTATTATTTTAAGTATTTTTTAAATTATTTTATATATATAGCATCTCTTAATAGATTTCTTAATATAATAATCTTTATTATATATTTAGTAATTATAATCATTTTTAAAATTTATTAATTTTATTATTTATTATTTTATAAATTTATAAATTATATAATTCCTACCTGCTAAGGCCTAATATAGTTTAATAATATAATTTAATTAATTAAATTAAAAATTAGGTCTATGAGATGGCCGTTCAACACAACAAAATGAGGTCATATTAGTGCTAATTACTCTAGAACTTTAAGCATAAGGAGGAAAAAAGGAAAATAAGAAGTATTATAGACGCTTGCTTAAAGAAAATAATAGTAAAGTAAATAAAATAAATATAATTCTATAATTATAAATAAGACTACTATTATATTATTCCCTTATTTAAACCTGACTGCCCTTAGTTAGGGGAATATTATTATTATTATAATCTATAGTGAATTTGTCGTTCTCTGCAGCTGTAATCTATATAG